CTCGAGGCAAATGTCCAACCAGTGATAATGGTTCAATCTTGCCTCTGATTTTGGTGAAAAGACCAATAGCATATGGGTCGAATAGGTTCCTTGATTCTGGCTTTACTGTTAACTGCTGGTTGATCCTTGGAGCCCAAATTTTTCTGTATTCATGAAAACCTCGTGATGCGCAAGCCAGGGAAAACGATGTCTCCTTGGTGCTGTGTTTCACTGAATCAGAGTCGTCTGTTTCTGAATCGTAGGTTTCTTGAAGTGAGTCGAGTGCATAAGTGCAGTTAGATGCATACTTTTCTTTCCCATCGCACGCTTCACATAAAGCAACACTCGAACCACTTTTCCATCCAGGATAGTCTTCAGATGCAGGGATTGAACACTGGATTCCTCGGTTACAAACAAATGATTTGCACTTTAAACATGTGTATTTTGTGAACTCATTGCAGCCTACACAAATGCCCTCCATTTTTCCAACACAACAGAACAGTCAATGAGCAGTCGCATTTGCTTTAGGTGTTACATGTCATTTGATGTGTTATTATTATTTTACTGAATGATTTTACTTCCTTATTAGTAACTAATTGGCTAAAATGTCAAACATTTCCGTTCAAGTATTGGTAACAGAGAATAGCTTGTGCGGGAAATCAACGCACATGGCTCTGTTAAAATATTTCAAAAAAGTTTCCCAGGACGATATTTCTGTTGCATCATCGAACAGCAAACTAAATGCTGCCGAAGAAACTGCAGTAAGAGAGCAAATATCTGTTGACGCTCCAGAGCCAAAGAAAAAGAGGGTCAAATATGGGGCATATGATGCTTTTCAACGAGCAGAAATTGCAAAATGGGGAATTGCGCACGGAATAAGGCCGGCAGCAAGAAAGTATTCTGTACCAGAGTCTACTGTTCGTGGACTTGTGAAATCTTACAAAGATCGAAAAGAAAGCACCGAACTCGACCAATTGCCAAGGAAGCATCGTGGAGCAAAAACTTTGTTACCCACAAACATTGATGAGAAAGTTATCAGTATGATCAAAAGCATGAGAGCGGCCGGTTGTGTTGTCAATTACAACATTGCTATTTCCATAGCGAAGGGGATAGTAATGGCTAATGATCGGTCTTTGTTAAAAGAAAACGGAGGAATCCTGGAATTCCACAATACATGGTGCCAGTCAATTTTCAGAAGATTGGGTTTCAGTAAACGCCGAGCAACAACTGCAAAACAACCCGTATCTCCTGGCTTCTTGAAAGAAATTCGCTTCACATTTTGTCGTTCTGTCAAGGAGGTGGTTAGTGCTTATGACGTCCCGGACGATCTCATCATAAACATTGACCAGACCCCTCTCCCGTTTGTGCTCATCAGCAAGTATACAATGGACAAAACCAACGAGAAGTTTGTGCCCATCAGTGATAGCGCCGATTATCGCCAAATTACTGGGACATTCTCAGTCACCGCGTCGGGAAAGTTTCTGCCCATTCAACTAATCTACCAGGGGAAAACAGATCGGTGTCACCCTAAATTCAAGTTTCCAAAAGAATTCCACGTTACACACACGGAAAATCATTGGTCTAACGAAACGAAAGCACTTGAATTGGTCAATCGTATTCTCATCCCCTATGTTAAGCAAGTTAGAGAAGAGCTTGGTTTTCGCGCAACAAAACAATGGGTTTTAGTAGCGGATGTTTTTAAAGCACATTGGACGGATGCCGTGAAGAAGATCATTTCCGACAACAACGGCAAGATGATACCTGTTCCCAATAATATGACATCATACCTGCAGCCCTTAGATTTAACGGTCAATCGCTCTTGCAAAGCATTCCTTCGAAACCAAGCGCAAACATGGTACTCAGAGCAAGTCCAAGCCCAAATAGAGAGAGATATCCTACCTGATAAAGTGTCGGTTGATTTGAGAATTAGCGTGCTCAAACCACTTCACGCAAAATGGGTAGTGCAGTTCTATGACTACATGCAATCGAACAAGGACATTGTCGTCAAAGGTTGGCAACGATCAGGTGTGAGCGCCGCATTGGATGAGCCACAACGAAAAGAGGATCCATTTGAACTCTAGCTAAAAGTTTGTTTGACTTGGTTTAAACTATAATGTTAAGCAATACCATTTATGAACCAATATAATATACAGGAAATCAGGAATACTAATAAAGATTGTTGGTTTTGTTATTGTATTTGGCCGTGGGAACCATAGTAATACAAATACATTATTTTTTTAGTTCTTATCGGTATTTTGACTCATGCTTTATTGTTATCATACATTTTGCTTGCATTATATAATTCTGAAGCCACCTAATCAAACGTAATCGCTTTTTGATTAAGTTCTGACATTTATTGAGATATTTGTTGATGAAAAGTGCTCATTATAAATGCGTTAATTGTTAATATAGTTCTATTAAACAAAGCAACAAGAACGAAGACGGAAAATTACTTGCGCGAATTTAAAGCTGCGCGAATAAGTCTCATCAAGGTGCGCGAAATTAAATCGCGCGAATTTAAAGCTGAGCGAAAATGAGTACCGCGCGAATTTTAATACAAGTAAGGTATGACAAATTTGGATCGTGCGAAAATCCGGTTTGTCAATACTGGCAAACTCGCGAGAGAGAACCGCGATTTTAGCGAACAAAATATGTTATAACAAAGAGTCTTGAATTAAGCTTAGTTAATCTATCTTATTTTTGTTTCACCATCCATGCTAATGAATCTCATTCGTCTCGAAACGTTAGCTGTCAATATCAGTGCTCCTCGGGAAGAATGGCGTCACTTTTTGTCGCTTAGATTGCGTTCAAAAACAGCGTTAAGTGGACACAGAAGAGACACTGAATTACCGTGCATGTGAACAAAATCTCAGGCCTTTTAATTCGTCATTCTTGATTTTTAATCATAGCAGCGTTGCTTAGCATTGGGCTGCGATCCCTTTGCTAATGGAATCATAGCGCTTAACGTCGCAACTGGGGTGGGTCCCTTTGCCAGCGCTGGTCAAGGCACGTGACCGGGCCCTCGTCTCCGTAGACGCCTGGCATTCAAAGACGGTATAGTAGAAATGCAGTAATTTACATGTTTTACTCAATGCAATATTGCAACTCGAACAAATAGATTTAAAAAAGGTAAAGATGACTGTGATATCAAATAGTCATTACTGCATGGCCACATTATTCATTAAGATGAAAGTCCTTGTAGAAATTAAGTTAGAAACCCTTTAGGTTAAGAGCAAGTCTTTAAAGTTTGAGAATATTGTTCAAGATGACCTCCTTCAAGTGAAGTTTATTAAAGCAGAATATAAGTGCAATGCTATTTTTGCATGAATATATCTGTGTTCTACCTGTGTTCATGAATATATCTGTGTTCTAATGAATATTCTACCCGAAGGACTGACACAGGAGTTGAACGCAAGTTCCAGAACTTAGAATGGGTAAAATGGGTACCCGTACCTATTTCATCCGTGCTTGGCCTTTGTTTTGGTAGCCTGGACACTAATAACATTGGGTACCAATTTTAGCCGTGCCGTGCCGATAAATTGAGTGTAGTGTAAACGGGGCTTGAGATGTCCTATTGCAGTTACACGATGTATTAAATTCTAGCCCTTCATAAGGTCGTCATGTAAGGGGAATTCCCTTCCGAACGTGTACACACCTGACACCAACGGAAACAAATCCTAGCTTAATAAGCCCATCATCTATTGACACGCTATGACTCTGAACCTGTTAATTGACTATTACGAATTACAAGACAATGCGTTATGAAACCGTCGCCACGAAGCGACATTTTTTTTAGTTTCAACTATGCAGCAAATCCGCTTCGCGCGAAAAATATCGCTGGTGGAAAATCGGCATAAGCCAGGCACAACCGGGGTTGGCTATTTAGGGAACGCTCTCTTCGGCGAAGTTTCGAGACGCAGGTTTTATTAGAAAGAGGACGTACATTGCATGGTATACGATAAATACTTTATAAAGAAATTCCTGGAACTCATAACATTTAAAATTACCACCATCAAACAAGTTAGGACGATGACACGAGATGGGTTTTCACCCAGTGGCGTAGCCGATTTTGTCCCGCTATGTAAATTTCGAGTTACTATAATTATTCATGTCTTTAGAAATTCATTGTGTTCAACAGTCAGTGAACACTAAAATATTAGCATAGCGGGACAAATCGACAGGCTGGCTACGCTATACTGTTTTCACCACAGATCTCAAGGACTCAATCCGACACAAATAGAGGCTATATGGTTTCCCATTGTCCTGGCAATAGAAGAATTTGAACGTACAGCTCTCTACGGCTGTTCCTGGTGGTAATCAAACTGAAAAATTCAAAGGATTTTCGTTTGATGACATATTGAGTGATCGAGTAGTGTACCAGGATAAAATAGTGAACGTCTGTATTTACCATTTCGTCGAATATATCCTTAATCAGGCTCTCAATGATTACCGGTCAAAGGTAATCACTTGCTGCATGAAGTATTTAACAAGCTGCCGTAATATTAAAACTTTAAATTAACAACCGTCTTGGTAGGGTGAAGCACTGTATTATTTCATCAACCGATAACAACGCGCTTTTAGCCGTTTAAACGATTACGATTCCATATAAGGCCATATATTTGAATAAATAAGGCCATATATTATTTATATTTGAAGACCAGAACCTAGCCAATGAAATTATTCCATGTGTCGAAAAATTTTAGTACCAGTGGCGGCGCTAGGGGGGTGGGGCAAGGAGGACCATTCCTCCCCACAAATTTGTTTTCTGTCCCCAGTTTGCTCCCCCAGATGTTACGTATAAGTAGTTTATAGTTTCATGTGATGTTCGCTTCAGCTTGCCCCCCAAACATTTTTTAACCCTTTTAAATTGCCTCCCCCCGATTCATATTAACCTGTCCACGCCATGTTTTTAGAGTACAAGACAATATTTTAGTACATTGACTACAGGACTATATCTCTTGTTCTAATACCCGGTTCTTTTCAATGACAGTAGACATGGCAATGGCGAATACTACGAACTTGGCCGAGTTTGTCACCGAGTTGGAAAATGGATACAGATGCACACAGTGTAGTTTCCTTCTGCGAACTCCGTTTCAAACCGCATGTGGCCATCGATTTTGTAAACATTGCATCGACTTTATAATGTCGTAAGTTTCACTTTCACAGCTATTTATAAGTTATTGTATTTGTTTTTATTGGGTTGGTACAGATTTTGCGAGTAATACTCGCAATTCTCGTACCTCGGACAACAACTTCCTATATATGCAGTATGGCTCGTGTGTAGTATGTACACCACCTTAAGTATTTGAAATGACTTCATGTGAAACAATACCGAATTAGCGCAGTATATATTAAACGGTGTTATAATTCATCACATTGTAACTTTTTAACAGTTAACATTGTTCTAGTTAGACTATAGTTCAGGGCCCGGTTGTATCAAGGCCGTTTAGCTTGAACGGCGGATAAGTCAAAATTAAATAACACTCTTACATCTCTCTTGAATGAGTCAACTTGAATTTTATGCACTGAATATATAGTTGTAAACAGTATCTTTGTATTAAGGTTAAAGACATTTAGTTTGCTTCTTGAATAAAACGATAGACTTGCTTTCTATTTTGAACTTAACCGGCCCTAGAACCACATGCGAATTTTCGACCACTCACTGTCTCGCCCTATTATTTTGACTGAATATCATTTCAAATCTGAATGCATATCATACAGAAAATCCATTTGATTTTGTCATCAAACAAAAATGGTTGTATGTCTCATTATAGAGGTCCTAAACTGTGTCCCAAAGATAAGAAAATTCTACGTGAACACGAAATCTTCCGTGATAGAAACTGTGAACGCCAAATCGTACAACGGTTATGCTTTTGCTCCTGCGAAGAGCGCGGATTCACGTGGTCTGGCCCTTTTGAGTTACTTGAGGTAGACATCTACAGTTTTGTATACAAGCATTTATTATTATCATTTCTTGATAGAGTATAGAAGTGCGTATACAAGTCTTTATATACATATCATGCAATACCGAAGTTTAGTATACCTGCAAACTTGAAAAAGAAACTTCGAGACATTTAGACTGTAATTGCCTTCGCCTTGTGAGCAAGGCCAAGGTCTGTTTCATGCAAACAATGTGTTTCTCATGTATTGAAAGCAGTTAAAACAGTAGGTGTATGATATCAGTCGAGATATCTATTTTTGTTCATGTACGAATAACACCAGCTTTAAATTGAGATTGGCCTTGCATGAAGTTATTAACTCTCAGTTTTTACTGTATAGAGTTACATGCTTATTTATGAGAGTATACTTATTTACGACGACGAGACTAGCCCGACCGCTCTTATTTATATCACCAAACATTTCATAGTCATAGAAATATTGTTTACAAAACATATTTTTATATGTATCATGCTAGGCCCATGAGGCAATTTGCCCGTACATGATAATATCCTGTCCAAAAGAATGTGGAAGGAAGCTTCCTCGTAGGAAAATACACGAACATTTTTCCAGAGACTGTCCATTAGCTATTGGAAGCTGTCCAATGGATCAATGTGATTTTCAAGTATGAAACAAGCATTTATTACTTTTATATATCATTTTTGTGCATATTAACTGTGAATTAGTCATAAACCGACGATTGTTGCATGGTTGTATATTCGAGATATAGATACGCCTAGTTTACCCGAAATCAAAATATTCGCCCCCAAGAATATAAAGAATTCTCAACGAGTATCTTCCATGGAAATGTTTAGATTATGAATTCAAAAGTATATGGACTAGCTTTTTCGAAGTGCGTTTCATTTTCAATTTAGTGTATTTATATACATATTTCTATTATGGAAGGGCCGTAGCAGAGCAGAGCTCAGAAAGCATCTGGAAGAAAGTAACGTGGAACATATCTACATGTTGCAAGATACAATACATGCGTTGCGTTCCAAAAATGCCATGTTGCAGGCGAAATTATCGTATTCACAACGGAGACTGTAAAAATATAAGGTACGGCGATTGTTTCCTGTACGGCGTTGTGCTGTTGTTAGTCGTAAGTCAAATGATTAACGAGCATCGAAAAATCATAGATTTTTACACTGTAAGTTAGGAATACGACGCAAACCGTCGTATATGCGAAACTCGATATGTTTTCAAGCAGTTGTTCAAAGGTCTTTCTCTAGTTGACGGCGAAAATGTGTTCGAAAATTTACACATGTACGTTTTAAAAAGTCAACTGAATTACGTTTAAATTGCATATTCATCAAATTCACAAGTATATATATCTGCATGTCTAGATGCACGAGAATGTCATGTTATTCTTTGACTTCGAATAATTTCAGTTATTTATTCCATGCGGTTGCGACATAGAATGCAAAGTGTTGCAACATGTATAATAAGCCCTCGTATTTTACAGAAAAATTGTGTATAAATTGTACCTTTTACCACTTATGTTGATCAAAGTTGAAATCCCATATTTTATATACGAAGTTCAAATTCGATGTATTTCGTCTGTACTCTGTAGACTGTAGGAATTACTGGCGTCGGTGGCTAAATGCATAGCGCTTTCAGTATATGCTTTCCAAAATAAGCGAAATGAGTGCCAACTTCGCTCATTGAATCATTTCCTCAATCGGAAAGTAATTGAACAGGCAACAACATTTTTCAAATCACAGCTTTCACGTATAACAACAAATACCCTTATGAGACTTAAGGATGTATATTACTTTGCAAATATGACACGTCATGTATTTAGACGGCTTATTAATACTACACCAAAAACCACGTTAACCTGTCCATGTTGCGATAGATCAATTTCAAATTCCTGAACATAGTTCTATTAAAGAACATAGTAATATATCATTATATTTATATTTATACGCTCATGTCTTACCCAAAGAAGCCGTGTTTTTATTATCTATCAGCATCCCCAAAACCGCGCATTTGAGACATATAGCCACAATTTAGAAATATTTCGATAAATTGCTGTATGATTATCGGAGTCATGGGTGGTTTAATACTGTTGAAAGTTGAAACAATGCACTTTCGCAAGGCAACGCAATTAACACTGGTATTGTTTCCGTTTGGAATCTTGCACTGCATAGTAAATTCGACGTTTTTAACTGCAAATATGTACTCAAATACTTCTAACAAAACCTTAAAAATATGCACAGGAATTAGCTGTTGACAATTTTAACCATGAACACAGAAACGTGATAACACTGAAAACTGTGCCGTGGCAAATATATTTTCTGATATATGAATAGAATAAACATATTAGTATTAAGAGATTTAATTGTTTATCTCCTCCATATGTCATTCTCCTTTATGCCCAATTCATCTTATCCTAGTTAGCCTAGCTGTCTAGTGTCATTCTTAAACTACTCCAGTGTCAATTCATGAGTTATGCCTGGGTGACTTTAGAAGTTATGCAATTTAGCAGACATGATGAGAAAAGCAAAAAGCTTTTACTACACATATACTGTCACAGACAGAGTTATATACTAGAGTTGCAGTGCATGTTTAACAAGCCCATAAACTGTTTAATGCATTAAATGAAATTAAACCCAACATTATAAATGTTGTATACAACTGTAGATATTATATTACAATATTTAAAATCAATAGAAAATCATGGTGTCAATTTAATATTGTGCCAGTTTATATTGATGAACCATTTCAGGGTCATGATAATTGTACAATTATTCTATTTTCACCATGTATAACTATATTTAAAAAAATCCTTGGATAATTAATGTGCATTTTAGTAAGTTGTAATTTTCAATTGACAGACATTGGATTCCTGGGGCCAGTTGTATCAAGCCTGTTTAGCTTAAACGGTGGTTAAGTTCAAAATAGAAAGCAAGTCTATCGTTTTATTCAACAAGCGAACTAAATCTTTTTAACCTTAATACAAAGATACTGTTTACAATGTACTACATATTCAGTGCATAATATTCAAGTTGACTCATTCAAGAGAGATGTAAGATGGTTATTTAATTTTGACTTATCCACCGTTTAAGCTAAACGGGCTTGATACAACCGGCCCCTGGAGGAATACCTTGTCAATATAATTGTTTGATGTTAAAATTTTTTATCTTTCTAATTGTCTGTGCTGATATTAGTTCTTAGCTTGGAATAAACCCTCTTTAATATAATTTTGGTCGTAAATACAGTGTAATGGATTTCAATTATTGTGACTGGCTTACACTGATTAGCAACTCTGAAGCATTATTTAGTAATCTACCTTTTTCTATACAGATGTGGATGATTTAAAATGCTAGTATATAAATTATTTATATATTATTATAACTTTGAAAATTTATACTAAAACAATCATTCACCATAGGCTCAGTGATTATGGTGAATATCCACCGACATGATCACTTTGTCTTTGCAAATAATTGTTATTATCATTTTTGTTAAATTTGTAACTTAAACTTAATTGGCAATGTAATTGTTTGATGTATGTAATTTTGTTCATATCTTCTGTACTGTTAGTTTTCCTGCTTAAAAGAGACTTATCATTTTTGTTAAATTTGATTTGCAACTTGGCAATGTTATTGTAGTTGTTTGATGTAGGTAATTTTTATATATTTTTTACATCTCTGTGTACTATGAGTACTCATGCTTGAGGGGACTTTGTCAAATTTGATTTGATGTAGGTAATTTCTATAACTGTTAGTATACTCCTGCTTGATAGAGACTTGTCAATTTTTGTAAATTAGATTTGTGACTTAACAACATTTTTTCAATATATTTTTGCATCTTGTGTACTATTATTAGAAATATTGTCATTTTGTTATTGACTTTGCCTGTGATTTGTGATATGTCTGTCAATCTGTAGCCTGCTACCAGATTGAATCTTAATTTGCCAGAAGTTTGAAAAAGGTTAAAATTCAAAATGGAGAAATCCCCGATCCCAAACTTCTGGCAAATTAAAATTCAGTTTTGTAGCAGGGTGTGAGAGGCCAAAACCACTTGGTCAAAACTGTCAACATGCACTTTGAAGACACTTTGTTACATGTTTTCAACAGTCAATAGCATGTCATTTTAGTTAGACAGGGTACACTATTACCCCACTATCTATTAGTGAACCCAAGGTTCTGGAATCAAGGAATAGATTTCCTGGGAGTGCAAGAGGGGTGTAAATTGGGTGTATTATCAAATTTGTTAGATGGAAATCAGTGTCCAAATTATAAGAATTTTTGTGTAGTTCGTAAGTTTAAACTTTTTACCGAGGTAATCTAGGTAGTACCTTATGGTCTCATTTTCATATTCTTTTAAACAAAGATACATTTTAATATCTCGTCCAGCGCTTTTACCCTAACCAATGCCCTGGCAACTGGTCTGAACCTCACATAAAAAACTGATCTGGACCCATTGCCCTGACAGTATTTAAATCCCACTGTGATCAAGAGCTCTAATTTTTTAGCGTGCCTTGTATGTTACTAAAAGTAGCACCATCACAATACCTTTTCATGTTTTTGTGCTTAATGTAAAGTGTTTGGAATAATATAAAACACATTCTAGGTGACAGTTTTCAATCATTAGCACTAAATAAATGCATTTCCAAAAGCATGCATGACTGATTCATAAAAGTCTAAATTCCAGAAATACATCAGTCATAGAAAACTTAGAATATATAATGTTGGGTAAGTAATGTTATCATGTGGGATGAAAATCCATATTGCATTCTTGTCATGAATGTGTCAAACTATGTATATGAATATGCATTTGACAGTTCAGCTGGTAAGACTGATATTTTGTTACTCGTGACAGACAGATATGTGTAACAAAAACAAAACAGACCATTAAAACCAATCAGTTGTTTGAAACATGCCAGTTCACCTGGATGTTTCAACTACTGCTGGTTCTGTTGAAATGGACAATTCACACACTTATTCCTTGCTAAGGAATAATTCTGTTTTTTGTATAAATCAGGCCAATATTTATATTGAAAGCGAACGTATACAACTCTTCAGATTGAGCTATTAGATCATGTATTGTTTTAATTTGCTTCAAATATTAAAGACCACAATAACTTGATTTTATATGATCCTCAATTAAGCTCTCGTTCTTAGCCACAAGCAACAACAAAATGATTGAACATAATATATTTCCCGATTCACGAGCATTGAATTTTCAAATATTAAAAAAATATGTTGGAGCATTAATGGATAAATTACTACATTCTAAGCCCTAAAACATGATCATACGTTGGAAAATAAAGCACATTTCGTTTCTTCTTACCTGTCTCGTCCATTACGTGATGTTTCTTGCTTCAGGGCTTTGAAACACTCAAACTACAGGTAAAATATGAATTTAAAAGCAAGTTGATCTTTAGATCTCTGCTTGCATGTTCCTGTTGCTTGATGCAAGCCAACGTTCGCACTATTTATGTAATACTTCGGCGACTTCCGTTCCATTGACGTAATTTATCGGATTGATTTCGGTCACTCCCGAATAAACGACGTTGGCTTTAGATTACTAACATTACTTGCTCAAGATAACATTGACCTGGACCAGATTACATACAGGCGTTACATACAAACACAGTTTGATCTTAAAACGTTCAGTAGAGTACCATTGAGAGAGTAAAGTCACCATTGAGTTCATGTTCATTGTTCTGTGTGCTCTACCAGGAAAACTGCGGTCGTGTACTCAGTATTAAAATAGTTCCTTTGAACCTAACATTTTTGGTTTTCGAAAAACAAGATTTAATACCGAAATTAAGTTCCTTTTTAGGCATCTTACACAAAAAGACAAATTTTCGTGTTGTGAAAACTTACACCCATGGCTTCACACGCCCGTAAATGGCCGTAAATGTAAAAAATACTGATACGCCCACGAATCGTCACGTTCCTGTTTCATACTAAAAGTAACCTCAGTTTTGTCAGTTTGATGATGAAATAAGTCAAAACTGGCAAAACGCAGGGAAGAGTTGTGTGAACAGTGTCATCGAAGACGAAGAGATCTAGAAGGACATTATTAGGCTTAGGCTAATGTTATTGAAGTTCTTCGGCAATTCTTGAGCAATATTTTAATATCAACATTGTGTATACTTCAAAGAGTGAAACATGGTAGCAGCACTTCCTCTTTTTAAACTGGCTTCATTAGCTATTAAACAATCGGCAAAACCTGTAGCAAATGTTATCAAAAGGGGGGCAAAAGAAAGTGAAATATTTAAGAAATATCTTTGTTATTATCCCGGTCAAGGTAAACGATTTGTATTGAATAAGAATAAGATCATTAGTGATTTATCGTCGTTGCATGCACGGCTGAATTTAAGTCATATATGTGGGCAGGAATTCATTTTTGTGGCCTTGTCAAACGCGTAATGCGTAGGATGGTTCCTCCCTTAAGTACCACTTTAATAGTATAAACGCCAGCAATTTGCTATCATTATAAAATTTTCAAGTACAGTATTTATTCTGTTATCATTGCAATGTTATTTTAAAAACAAATAGCTGAGTCAATGGAAGTACAAAAATTTTTAAAATGCAAACAATATGAACTATGACCATGCAGGTATTTTGTATACCTGTCATACAAAATACCAATTAGGGGTTATAGGCATACACCTTGTATGCAGAGGCACTGGGGGCAGTTCAGGGCAGCAGGGGCAGAATTGTAGAAAAGGGCACATTCATTTTACCTCAGCAAGACTCAAGAGCACAAAAAGGAAACTTTTGTAGGCACAAGTACATGCTGGCTTGCAGATTGTAACTCCAGGTTGTATCTATAGTGGTTTTAGAAGGATGAAATGTAATTTGAAATGACAGGCACAATGGCAGATAGCTGTAGGATTCTGTATCTGCTGGTGTTATCAGCACTCATGGTAAAATGCAATGATTTGAAATTATTGTGGGTAATTAACAAGGAACATTGGTAGAAGGTTTAGCACCCCACTTCACCCTCTCCTTTTAAAATACTACAATCAAGCTACAATCTATAATAAACTTGTTTGTGGGTTCCCTCCATTTTGACAATGGTACTTATATTCCCTACATGCAACACATTGTGGGAGAACATAAAGAAACTGAAAATTACAAACTAATGCACATTTCTCTGTAGCATACCATCGCCTGGAATTTCACATAAGAATGAGACTCATGGGCCACAAAGGAAAAATACAAGTGGAGCCTTTAAAGGAAAATGCAGCTGTTGATTTGGGAGCAGAAATGCTTGGTGAGGTAGTTGTGTTTGGTATCGGAGTTGCTCTTTTATATGCCGAGTACAGAAGACAGAAGCGAGGTGAAAGCCGCGAAGAAGATAAACATCAAGAAAACTTTCAAAATTTGCAAAAAAAAGTGGAAGAACTTGGACTTTGTGTTGAAAAACAGACTGAACAGATAGCAACGCTAAATGAAGCTATTAGAAACATTGAGGATAATTTTAGCAAAGTCAAAGAAAAGAAATGAACTGATAATTAGATATTGTATTTGTATATGAATTAAGAATAAGGATAAGGAGACATATTTAGGAGTTACTACAAAACAAAATTCATGCATTTCAGATTTTGAATTGGGCATTTAGATTGTTATTGAAAACCTACCCCAGAGATTTATTCCTAAAGACCTTCTCTGAATTTCAGGATGTTCACTCCTCTGCAATTCAAACAAATTCAAGATTTTACCCTATTTAGATGTCAAGTAAAGTATTTGAATTTTGCAGAGCATTTTTAAACTTTACTTCCTCTGCACCAAAAACACAACTTTCTGTTAACTTATTAAGTACCTATTAAACTGAAAAATACAACTAAACTATTTAGTAATTTACTTTGGAAAGATCGTCAACAGTGGAGTGGTATGTAGAGTGATGACCAAACGGTTCCTCTATTACCTGCTACCTTTTTACCAGCTGAAAATATTTAAATCACATTCGTTATTTCTTATTACTTTCAAATTTCACTCAATTTAGTTGGTATAAAAAATTAACATAATTTATTCAATGAAAATCAACATAATTTGCGATGAACTTTTTAAACAGCGATTATAAGCTCATGTTACACAAGTGGTTTCTTTTTTAACTATATTAGTCGTGCGCGTCTAAGCAAAATTTTGAGAAACTACTCGAGATTTGAGTATAGAAATACACTGTTTTTCTCGAACAATTGGGGTGCTTCCAAAGACAGTTCAGTCGGTAACTCTTCCGTCGAATGATAGCCATCAGCGCGGTGAACACTAAAACAATCAAATGAACGTGCGAAACGGAGGCAATCATACCAAGAACGCAATATTATTTGACGAAAATCGCAGAGATACGGGGAGATACATGACTCGTCATGATTACCCTGCAACGAGAAGAAACGAGGCGCGCGTTCCTACTTCACAATCATCTCAAACTAAAACCCACAGATATTGTTATGAGAAAACGTCATATCTGGTGGCTGTGATTGTTGTCGGGGTTTTATCGTCAGCTATCAGCTTTTATGTTTTGTATCAAGTGCTGAACAACGCGAATACCGAATGTCAGTGCACGAACAACAAGAACTATATCAAGGGTAATCTCTGCTTTCACCCTTTATCAAGCTTAAAAGTGCTTTTACCGTTAACTTGTTTTAAGATAAGTTGATTAAGGGTTTCATAGAGCTCGAGTAGAGATATATTTAAACAGAAATATATTTAGAAGTTATTGTATCATAACTATCATTTCACCCACAAATTGTTCCCACTGATCTTAAATACACTGGATATCGGTACTTTACTTACCTAAAAACAAAAGCAGAATCAATAAACTTCTGGGGGGCTCCCGTTCCAATCCCTTGTTCAATACCTTTCAGTTCCAAAACATCTATATATCTTGCTTACCTTGCCTTATTATTGAGAAACTAATTGGGCCAATTTTTCCCAGTCGTGGTCTTTAAACATTGGTGACTATAAATAAGTAGTCAAGATTTGAAATGCTACTAAAGTATAGTTGATTTTTTGTCATTTCAATTGCATACCAAGACGAAAACCCTGGGTTTGAATCAGTGGGTTGAATTCCATAGTATATTCTATAGCAAGAAAGTATATTCTTATGATATAATCGATTGAAAACATACATTTTACAATATTTTCGGTTCTGTTCAAGATAGATGGCTGAAAAGACTGTCATAAGTCGCAGAGACTGAAAGAAAACGCCTTACGTTATCCTTTAACAAGACTTAGCCCATTTTACTTCAGACAAAAAGCGGTGATATGAAATGATAATATTATTTTTCTATAGGTCATGCAATTCGTCAAAACTTTACAGAAGTTATAAACGACTTGAAGGCAAAGTTAGAAAAGAGCATCAAAGATTTGAGAAATCAAATGGTGGGTTTATCAAATGTTCATTTCAAGCCACTCATTTGCTTATTAACTCGTACGTTTTTTTAATGAATTTCAGGATAATGATTCAAGAACTGTCAATGGTGGACAGCCAAATTCGGTAGGTATTGTTACGTGATAAATTTGACTACTAAACACGTTGAAATGAGCTTTCAAATGACGACCAATCACACACACCTGCAGCGTACAATATCGTGTCTATAGTGAAAAAAAGGCAGAGCCAGAGATCCACACGTTCTAGAAAACTTGGTACAGAGTACATATAATCGTTAAGCGATTTCTCTATGGTAACATTTTGGGCTAAGCCTAAATTTATTTATTTCTCAATTGAAAATTTAAAATAATGAGTTCATATATTATTATTAGGGTGACGGATTTGATGCGGTGTATAAAAAGACAGAACAAAGTTTGGAGAGACATTATAACGTAAGTCGTGATTGCTGCCTTAATCTTAATCTTAATCCTAATCTTAATCTAAGGGCGCTTTCAATATAACCAGGAAGCATGTGGTATAACAACTGCCTAAAATAAACTAAACACTTCTCGACGTTTCGACCTAAGGGCCTCGTCAGGAGAGTTAGTATGAGAAAAAGGGCGGCGCTTTCCTTTACACGGTAAATGTTTCGGAGGTCAGAGTTTTGAGCTGAAATTTACCCCGCCATAATTTTTGCGCCAAGACGTCGCGCTGTACCAAACTAAAACTATAACCACACAACACTGGACGAAGCAAGTATACTGGACTTTTGCGTATTATAGCTCTATGCATTGCAGATGTGGTTAAATTACATTGCCGATTTACAAGAATGGTATGCCTAAGATAAAAATTTCTTGACAACAGACATACAGCATAAATCGTCAGGCTGTTAACCTGTTATCATCATATATGTAAAGTGTAAACATCAAATGAAGGTCATTTGTGGTTCGTTTCATTATTTTGTGGCCAAAAACAACCGAATAAAAGTTCATTTACAAGCCTAATATACAGATTTTTCTTTGTAGCAAACAGAAACAAATATTTCACGCCAAATACAGGAGACAAATGCAACGGTAGTGTAAACATGATTGAGGAGTGACATTACAATATTTGGTTGAACTTGACTGCTCTAAGTGATTTTCAGGCTGAAATCTTTACCGTGGTTTTAATAAAACGAGTATATTAGTTCCTATCGTTCCGTACGGAACATAGGTCGTCCACCAGAGAACGCCATCCCCTCCTGTCCTGGGCCTTCCGCTCGAGCTGTCCCCTGAAAGCCAGCGGCCTTCGCTTCGGCTTCCGTTGCGAACGAGTATTCACTCAATTTTTTAGGTGAAAGTATGCTCAGAGTTATCGAGTCCCTCTTATTTAGATTTCATTTAGACCACTGACTTGAATTTGTACTTTACTTAACACATTCATCGTTAATTCGAATGTCTGTCTGTTTTTCCAGATTGAAAGAATCAGAGTGGAGGAAGGGAAGCCAAAGTGCCTTCTTAGACAAGCGAGAAAAAGCCAAAATAACACAGCCATAACTGTGAATGTACCGAGACGTTTCGAGGTATGAAGGGGGGGGGGGGGATACTCGGGCAGGTTCGAGTTTGTAAATGAGCGAGGGTGCTTCCACTTGTGCTGGCTCTTATTGTCAGCGGCTGTCTTGTGTAATTTTAAGATCAAACGGTTAAAAAAGCAGAGCTTTATATTTTCCGGCTGTGAACCCCCGTGGCCCAGCATAATGCCGTTTTTGGACGAAGCTTGTCAAAAATAAAGAGTTCGATAAAAGTATAGATTGCCAAGATTGTCAAGACTTCTGTTTCCGTCTTTCTAAATTTAGAATTAACACGTCAATTAACAGCTATTTCCCGGGTAGCACTGTGTGAACAAAACGCAATCTTTTGGCTCTTAAAAGATATAATACATACATTGTGTTGAGGTAGACTTTTCACGCTTTAGGAACGCGTGACAGTTGCGGTGACTTGCTCAACAACGCTTGAACATACAGCCGATGTTCGCTACTTGATCCCAGCAAGTGAGGACGATGACGTGTACACATGTTACTGTGGCAACAAGAATACCAAACCGACGGATTGCCTAGCTTACTATTGGCAATGTAAACTGTAGTAACTTATTAACTCGTAGCTTCATTGAGCTTATTAGTGTTGCACGAATCACGAATAGAAGAAAAAAAGACAGGCTAAACTGCATAGGTATACAACTTCTTTACTTGAGACAAATGACACAGCTTCATCTCATCCTTTAGGATACGTTTTTGTTTTGCCGGCTTGAACTCTGTGAGCTGATTGACAAAGTAATGAATATATTTACAATCATGAATATATATTTTTTGAACACTGCATATCTACGTACGTATTTCTACAACGTGGTTATCGTGGACACATTCCAATCGAACGAACGTTTAGTGTATTGACATTTCAGCCAGAAATCGCCGTGGTGTATAGTGAGTAAATAACATTGCGCATTGCATATTTATTTATTCACATTTTTAGTCTTAACTTAATCTATTTCAGTTTAATATATAATGCATTACGGCGATATAACTTCTTTATTTGGGCTTTCTTCTGTAATGTTATGGTAAAGGGATTATTCTCAATTAATTCCCAAAAGGTTTTCTTCCATTGCCTTAGTTTGGTTCAAGGATGAATTCTTAGTGATATTGTAACACATATTCTCATCCAACATGGCCGCCGGCTGAACGCATCTCCACTTGTAGCCATTCGTGCCCTGACCGCGGATAAATCTGGCATAGATAACGGTTTCTTTGAACTTTTTTTCACACCATTCATCTCGCAGATGCTGTACTCGATATTCTGAAGTATAAATCAAAAATAAAAACCAATTTCTACTGAAGTAAACACAGATATACTGTAGTAAAGGTTAAAACGAGGAAGGTTTAAGTCTTCGATTCTGACGAGAAGGGAATATTTGCAACCATGACACAAACATGCGATTTACAACCAAACTGAGAATAAAGTTTCTACTGATACGCAAGTTACTACGGTATGTATACGTGGTCTTTTGAAAGGGAGAAAGGCAAAGAGGTTATATCATTTTTGATGGACGATGGTTATAAGTTCACCACTTAACATATAGTTGCGTTTTCCTTCTTCTCATTTTTTGCTATACAGTATACAGTTGTTAAAGTTACTGGAGGTGATCTCTACATATTCGCTACCGTTTCGTAATCCACGTTTATAATATAAGAATATCATAATGACATGCAAGATGAACTTAACAAGTGTGCACGTGTGCCACATGAATACCTGGAATCTCTGCTTCGGATCCGTTCCGTATAGTCACGTTACCAAACAAATGTTTGGTTCTGAAATCTCTCCATTGGAGAAGATTTCCGTTAACATTGATGACCCCAGATGCCATTCCTTGAATAACATTGACTGTCAAAAATTGCCTCCAGAGATTCAACCCTGCGAGGCTTCCTTTAAACGCTTGATGACTTTGAAAACCCCCGCCATGAGAATCCATTTCCTGACCAAGAACTACGGTACCGTTGGCAGGTATAATGTAATCCTTGGTTCCGTTATCACTCGTCCCCAGTTTTTTCCCATCTTGATATATCTCGTGCAAACCATCCGTGCTTCTCCACTGCAGGCAATAGAAATGCCACGAATCAGGGGTCAACACCTTCTCTCTTAAAAGGATAAATGATTTTTTAACATACACGATTTAATATAGTAAATATATTCAATTTAAGACTTAATTAATTTATTTATTAAATTCGTTCTACTAACTACTATAGTATGGTATATAATGCAGTAATCAATATTATATTATAGGATTTATTTCACAAACCTCTTATCCACCACACGCGAAGAATCATAATTGAGAAAAAAGACCAAATCTGATTCCTTTTTATCGTAATGCACCCAGATTTCGTCTGAATTACTCTTAGTGGAGTAGGCAAATATGCTAGACACCTCATTTGTAGCCGGGAATTTCGCCCAAAAACAAAGGGAAAAGACCGAGATTTGGTAGGTAAAGACGTTTTCTATCTTGACGTAGTTTTCTTTTGAAGCCTCAAGAAAAGTCATCTGAAACATAGACTCTGTTCCTGAGGAAAAAGTCAGTAAGTTTAGGATAATAAAATACGGCTGGCCATTGAAAGATTGGGAAGTTCTCGTATGATTACGCTTCGCGATTTTAAATTACAAAATGGTTTCCAGCATCGACGGTCCTGGCGTTAGCAAATTGCAATGCAAAAACAATCTGGACAGCAGCGACATCCCACAGCGAATTTTGAGTCATTTATACGAGTATTTGCGAGCAATCAAGTAGGAACTTTAAATAATATCGTATAATGCGCTAGTGTTTGGGATTAATTTAAGCCGCGGTGTCTATATATTTTCTATCGTAAAATGGCTCTGATGTGCCCCGGGTGTGCGAATGTGCCCTGAAATATTAGATATGGTTGGTGGTTACAGGCCCTTACAACCATTTTCCCTTAAAAGTTCAGAGGCCTTTTCGACCGGAGTGCAATCAACTGCATTGAACTATAAACTGAGGAACTCGCCCACACACTGAACTGAGCGCAATTTGCTAACGCGACACGACCTAGCTATCATAATATTCCTACCTATGATAACCTATCATAATATTCTTGTAGATTACTTAACGATTTTAATTACTTAACTAATTTTGACTGCTCTAGCGTCCATAGATTCCAAATTTTGATTCCAGAATTTGATTTATAAGCTTCTGAAAATTGAAAATTCGCGTCGCGTTGCCGCATCGCGTCCGGTCTGTGTCGATTTTTAACAAATTTTGAGAGTTGGAAAACGACAGCTCTCAGTCATACTATAAACAAGTTACACTTACGAGAATTGTGTAGATCATCCGGCGTTTCTTGGAATTCTATAGAATTATCTTTTTCAACCTTCGATTTTATTCCATACCACGCAAAGACATTACCGTTTTCAAACAATGGTCCTTTGTTTGCCATCAATGATAAAGCATGTCCATCAATTTCATAGTTCCAGATATTGAGTCTACTTTGAGAGCTGTTCTCGTATCCATCTGAAAAACATACACAGTAAAACAGCTAATCACACTGATAAATTTTAATCTTAATAGCACTGGCTCCTTGGTCAAAGTTCACTTAGTTACAGCTTGATCCAGTCCTATCATAGCTATATATAGGTATCTCAAAATCATTCACTTTTGAAGTTGTTCTAAAGCAGGCTGGACAAACGCTTTAGTCCTTGAGATTAGTTAAATCTGTTCCAATACTCATTTTCGCCCCAGGCCTCCGACTTCCAAGTAAAAGGATCAATAGAAAACTAATCCAGTGCTCATTGATGTAGCATGTATTGTACCTGTCATGTGATAACCTGTTTTATCCTCCATAGGATTCTTTGTACACAATAATTGGACACGAAAGTGGTGAATTTCGAAACAGAAAGTCAGCCTTGTGACTTCCAAGTTGTGCTATTTGTTGAGTATGTTCGGTTTTTCTGTTCTTAATTTAGGATTTTAATAACTAATTTCGACCAAAAACCTGTCCATTAAATATCAATTTTGGTTGTCAAAACAACCGCGCGGCCGCCATCTTAAATTTCTATTGCGATAAAGAATTTCATAGCGAAGTTTAAAATAAGAATGAATCTTACTTAATTGGAAGTAAAGTTGTCTTCCTGCAGGAATGATAATATTTGTAGCTACATCATGCATAATGGAGACCAATGAACCATCTAGATATATCTTCCAGTGTCCTGTATCACTTGACCATGTGGTAGCAATATGGTGCCAGTACGCTGGAGATTCGTTCCAAAACCATGGAATCCTTGCTTCTCTAGAGGTTGTAAACATTTATAGCTACGTATAAAAACGTCTACAGTAAAAGCTGGATTGCTTTTTCGTCAGTTTTTAAATTACCTTGTAATGAATCACTACGAGTAGCTATACGACTGAGTAAATCAATGTTAGAATTTACATTAGGAAAACGGCAACCTTTCGTTAGGGCAATCGGCTTCCTTTCAGTATGCATAAGTAAAGCAAGTTTGCTCATTGGAACTAAAATCTAAAAAAATCTCATGAAGTGATATAATTTCTCGTAGCGACTTGCCTTTTTTCACCTCCATCTATTTCCAACGCGAGACTTTCAGCCGTAAGATAAAATGAGAGCAAGCTGGTCCCTGAATCATTTTTGTAGTCAAGAAATTTCTGAAGTTCTGCGTTCAGTTTCAGCGACGCGTTCTTCTCATATTTTACCCACGCTGTGATTGTGAAACCATCGAGTCGTTCTTCATATGTTATGTTATGGACGGACCGATTGTTTTGTGATGGTTTTGTGACAATGTCATACCTCGGGTCTAAAAAAAGTTAACCAAGACCAGTTATAATTTTTCAAAGCATCTTTCGCGCTTACGATGTAAAGGTCTGATATATTTTTTAAGTAAATTTGGTGCTCAAGAACTTAATTGCCGGTTAAATATAATTGGGAAAAGTGAATTAATTTCAATGGTAATTTTATGCATTTTATGCATTCACAACCCCCCGCAGACAAACACCTGCGCGCGCATGACCTACGTTTGTATTTTAAAGCTCTCTCGCACCCAAACTTATTGAGGGAAAAAGGTCACTATACTCATTTTCATGTCAAACTCATTCACTGGTAAATCTCGAATAAGAGCTTTGTTTTCAGTAATTGTGTGCGAGTAAGCTTTTTTAATACATGCATGCAGACGTTACTCCCAATTCCGAACTGAACTGAACTGAACTGAAACTTTTATTTAATCACGGTAGACTAATCAGGATTTACAAAAATGAAGTAAAATACAAGAAAAGCGAACACACATACATATACATATACAAGTTATAATACAAGTAAGATACCTGTTTTCCATTAGTGCCGTGAATTTAATTAAGATAAAAAGGAATTATCGAATAAAACTGTTGCATTCAGATCTGAATTTACGCAAAGAATTAACATGTCGTAGTTCATTAGGTAGAGAATTCCATAGCACCGCACCACTATAGCTGAAGCTATTTTTCAAATAATTTGTACGTGGTTGCGGTACTGCTAATTTGCGATTGGTGTCTCTCAACGTGAAATTTGTTATTCTACTGCGATCAATAAACATTTTAGAGAGATAATCTGGTGCAAGACCATTTAGCGATTTATATACCATAGTAGCTTTGGCAATTTTGCGCTGAGATGCGAGACTTTTCCAGCCAAGTTTTTCGAACAGATATTCCGCGTTTGTATCATGGCTGGAAAACGTCAGAACTCTGGCGGCTCGATTTTGTAATTTTTGTAGTTTATCTGCGAGAGTGCTACCGCAAGTATCCCACACCTCAGAGCAATAGTCGAAGTAGGGTTGAACTAAACAGTTGTATATTAGTCGCAGTGTGGAGTGAGGAACAAAAGGCCTTATACGTTTTAGAGCACCTATACCTGAGGCAACTTTTTTGCACAGTTTTCTAATATGAATCTTCCAAGACATATTTTCATCAATATATGTACCAAGAGATTTTGTGAAAGTGACTTGTCTAATTGGAACATTATCAATCACCAATGAAGGAGATGATTGAAATGTACCGATTCTTTGATAGGATCCGATTAACATGAATTCGGTTTTAGATTGATTTAAAGTAAGTCTGTTCGCTGAGAGCCATTCACTGACACTAGCAAGATCTTCGTTAAAACAATGATTAATTAATGTCATCAATATTATTACTTGCATAAGTCAAGCTGGTATCATCAGCAAACATCCGAGCCCGAGAATGTGAAAGGCAGTTTGGTAGATCATTGATTTAAATTAGAAACAAAATTGGCCCTAATATAGTGCCCTGCGGTACTCCGCAACGAAGCAAACGACTAGTCGAAAGATGACCATTAAGAAAACACTTTTGTTCCCGCCCATTAAGGTAAGATCTAAACCAATTACCAGCAATTCCATTAATGCCGTATGCATTCAGTTTACCTAGCAGAATTTCATGATCTACAGTATCAAAAGCTTTCTTGAGGTCAAGGAACATAACAGCATTGACATTTCCATGGTCAATGTTGTAGGCCCATTCATTAGTGGCTTCAAGAAGAGCAGTAACAGTTGAATGTAGACCACGAAAACCTGACTGGCAATTAGTTAGCAATTTATTTTGAGATAGATAAAGTTGCAATTGATCATATATAATCCTTTCGAAAACCTTGGCAATGACAGGTACAATCGAAATCGGTCTATAGTTATCGACACAGTTCCGTTTCCTTGTTTGTGTATGGGAACGACTTTAGCACATTTCACTCATTCGGAAATATACCTGTAGTAAATGGAACGATTAAAAATAAGAGTAAGCGACTCCGCGATTAAATCTGGGCATTCTCGAAGTAATCTAGAAGATATTTTATCCAAGCCTGTTGCTTTTGATCTACTCAACCTGGATAAGAGCGTGAAAACCAATGACTGATTAGTTTCTTTAAGATGGAAAGAGACATTATCATTTTGGGACGGTAAAAAATCGATATATGACCGGTTCGTTTCACTAGAGCATATTTTATCGGCAAGTTTAGGTCCAATATTAGAAAAATGTTCATTAAAAGCATCAGCAATTTCATTAGAATCGTTAATAATGTCTCCATTCAGATCAATTTCATTAATATGAGAACGTTTTTGATTCCTAGATGTAAGTTCATTGATGATATTCCAGGTCTTTTTTGGATTGTATTTATTTTCACAAAATGCCTTTTTGAAGTAGCTTTCTTTAGCTTTAAAGATTTCTTGATTTACAGCATTACGCATTTTTTTAAACAAGCACCAATCGAAAGGATTGTTGGAACGAACTGCTTTAATCTTTTGAATATCTCTTTCATGCATTTTGGCTTTTAAATAAGGCGTAATCCAAGGTGATTTGAAAGCTTTGACACGTTTTGTGCGTAACGGAGCATGTTTTTCTACAACAGAGTTGAATGTAGTTTTCCAAGCGTGCCACATATCATTAGGATTTTCAAACTCATTAATATAGGTCCAGTCTAGGAGACTGATATCGTTACGAAATTTAATAGAGTCGAAATTTCTAAAGTTTCTGTAGCAAATAGTGGAGTGGCCTCTGCTAGATGAGCCTACAGATAGTTTTCGAAAGGCGTAAATGAGACTGTGATCGCTTATACTCACGTGAGAGACACCAGAGCAAACAACTTTATCAGGAGCGTTTGTAAAAATGTGATCAATTAGTGTAGAAGAATGACTTGTAATCCGAGTCGGTTCATTTATCAATTGAGAAAGATTGTATAATTCAGCAGTATCCATGAGCAATCTTGAACTATGATCCAAGACACTAGAGCTCAAATCACAGTTCAAGTCACCCAATAGATAATACTCGATATTTTCGGCGTCAATTATCTCTAATAGAGATTCAAACAAATGAAATTTAGCCAGAGTCGAATTTGGTGGTCTGTACCAGGTTGCTACGAGAAAAGGCTTGGATTTAGGTTTGTTGATTAAAATGCACAAATTTTCCAATTGATCAAATGACAAGTCGTGGCGAACTGAAAAATTAATACAGCTGCGAATATAAAAACAAACACCTCCCCCATATCTACCGTTTGTGTTTCTATCCCGACGAACAATTTCATAGCCATTTATGTGCACTTCATTATCACTAACCATAGAATCAAGCCTTGTCTCATTAATGGCCAATACATCAATCATGTTATCAGTTAGATAGACTCTCAACTCATCGATATGCTTAACTAAGCTAGTAATATTAAGTGATGCAAGTTTAAAGCCACTCATTTTAGGTAAATGCAGGTTTAGACTTTTAGAACTAGTAGTTTGCGAAGATTGCGTATTAATTACTGAAGCATCAGCTCTAAACGACACGGTATCATGTCAATTACTATCTAAATTATTTGAAAATTCAATAAAATTATTTTGTAAAGATAAGCTACCTAATTTGTTTAAATGCACCCCTCTTTTGTTCAGATGACTATGGTTGATATTAGCGTTTCGTAAGAAAGGAATGCATGCGGTGTGAGCATCGCAAAGGAAGAGACCGAGAAAAAGAAGTACAGCGATGTCTTTTCATGAAGCTCTAGTAAAGATAAACGCAATCACGAGGGAATGGTAAACTCAAGTAAAGAGGTGAAAAGGTAAAGGTTATTAAACATTCTTCACAAAACTTACTTTTTCGAAGTGGTTTACACGAGCTTGGCTGTTCCATGACGACCATGCTGTTACAATTGTCCTTAAGAGAACTCCAGGTAAAGACATTTCCAAGTGCTTCTTTATTCAAACAACTTTGGTTTTTTAATTTCATTTCGGCCAGCCATCGGCAGCTGCAAATCTGCTCCACCATTTACATTTACTGCGCTTAGTTTGCCAGAGAATGAACTCTCTGAATTCCCGTCTGAACTTCCCAATTTCTGACCTACGACAAAAGCACCTCCAGATTTCAATGGTACATTCGAGCCAAGTCCATCTCCGCTGTAGACCAATGTACTGTCAAGGAAAATAGTGTAGTTTCCAAGCCGAGACCACGATACTCCCAGATGATGCCAATAGCCGTCATTGATTGGCGGGACAAAAAAATACCTGCAATGAAAGAGCATGCACCGAGCTACGTTTTTGCGCTGGATTTTCTACAGAAATAAGTTAAAGATAGATAGGCGTACAAGGTTAGGGCAGGGGGAGGGATGGACATTCCCACCGAATTAGTCTAAAATGGTAATTGCCTAATAAGTCAGACAATTTTTCCTTGAGCGTTGGGCAATTTTCCTGCAGATGACTGCTTGATCCCCTGTCCTGCTTTTAGCATACAAATTTCTGTATTCAACAAAACAAATGCACTTCATACTTTTTCAATTGTTGAACTTTGAGGTACATCTTTTCCCTTTCAACTGAGAATGCAAATTCTTCGGTACCGCCCACGACGTAGGATAAAACTGTCATTTTGTCAGCGTTCAATGTGTTGATCCAAAACATGAATGTCATATCAGACATCTCTGGCACATTGTTGTCCAGCAAAGTAAAGTTTTGAACGCTTTCAAAACTCAGATCAAAGTCTGTACGAAATAAATCTAAGAAGAACAATTATAACATAGACTATCCATAAAAATGCTGGGCTGATCAAAGCCCCGTTTACACTACTCTCGATTTATTGGCACGGCACGGCTAAAATGGGTACCCGTGCCCATTTCATCTGTGCCCGGCCTTTGTTTTGGTAGCCTGACAACTAGTAAAATTGGGCACGGGTACCCATTTTAGCCGTGCCGTGTCGATAAATTGACTGTAGTGTAAACGGGGCTAAAGAAAATCAAGGAAGAACACGAGTTTGATTGAGACTAACGACCAGGGGAAGGATTACTTGAATATTCTTAAAACATGCAGGTGAACTTGTTTAGCAGCCGTATTTGCCATTTTCCGGCGAATATGACCATGGTCGTATTTGCCATTTTCCGGCGAATATGACCATGGTCGTATTTGCCATTTTCCGGCGAATATGACCATGGTCGTATTTGCCATTTTGCAGCGAATATGACCTTGGTCGTATTTGCCATTTTCCGGCGAATATGACCATGGTCGTATTTGCCATTTTCCGGCGAATATGACCATGGTCGTATTTGCCATTTTCCGACGAATATGACCATGGTCGTATTTGCCATTTTCCGGCGAATATGACCATGGTCGTATTTGCCATTTTCCGGCGAATATGACCATGGTCATATTTGCCATTTTCCGGCGAATATGACCATGGTCGTATTTGCCATTTTCCGACGAATATGACCATGGTCGTATTTGCCATTTTCCGGCGAATATGACCATGGTCGTATTTGCCATTTTCCGGCGAATATGACCATGGTCGTATTTGCCATTTTCCGGCGAATATGACCATGGTCGTATTTGCCATTTTCCGGCGAATATGACCATGGTCGTATTTCCATTTTCCGGCGAATATGACCATGGTCGTATTTGCCATTTTCCGGCGAATATGAACATGGTCCTATTTGCCATTCTCCGGCGAATATGACCATGGTCGTATTTGCCATTTTCCGACGAATATGACCATGGTCGTATTTGCCATTTTCCGGCGAATATGACCATGGTCGTATTTGCCATTTTCTGGCGAATATGACCATGGTCGTATTTGCCATTTTCCGGCGAAAATGACCATGGTCGTATTTGCCATTTTCCGGCGAATATGCATGACCATGGTCGTATTTGCCATTTTCCGGCGAATATGACCATGGTCGTATTTGCCATTTTCCGGCGAATATGACCTTGGTTGCGTATATATGTATATATATAAATTATATATATTATATTTAAAATTGTTTTTTATTGAGCTTTCGACTCGGTACTATTATTTACATGTGTATATAGCTTTATATATTGAAGTTTAAGTTTCAATAAAAAACAATTTTAAATCCGGAGAACATTCATTGACAAACAAATATGCCTGGATTACAAATTTTTAAACATATATATATATATATTTCTGACCTGTTGCATCTGTCCAAATACAACCAGTTTTTAAAGCAAACAATATACATACCTTCTTCGTTGGCACAGCTGCTATCATCATATCCCTGTAAAGAAATATCTTGATGAAAATATTGAAAACGAAAAAGGAGTCACGTCCAAGGCTTAGGCACCCGGAACGAAGGGTTTACGGTCACAGTCGGGAATTAAAACGCCGGCCAATATTTTGACTCCAGGATCAGACTCCGATGGGTTTTTAAACCGGATTGACATCGCAGTTTTAAATTGAAATTTGTCGGTAGAAATATACTACAATCATAACAAGCCCGCATGAATATCCTGTTTGTTCAAACTGGCCCAAATGAAAAGAACGCGAAAACGAGTTCATGGGCCACTCTGGAAAATTTACATCAACATTGACATAAAATTGTTCAGATCACGCAGATGTTGCAATATAGTTGTTCAGATAAGGCAGATGTTGAACTAAACTGATTCGCATATAAATTACTTTGCATCACTGTACTGAAATGTTATTTTGACGGTAAAATTTACGGCCAGGTTTTAGCATCGCGTTTCATGTTATCGTTCAACTGAACGGGTCGGCTTTATACAGTAAAACTGTCCCTAAACAGCGCGCAATGTTATATAACTTTTTTTTCTGTGAAAAAATAATACGACTAATAATTTAAGACAAGTTTTTTCCTCTCCACTTGTTTGAAGAGTTTATTGACGTCGCGTTGCTTTCCTCGGGAATTTTCTACGGAATAGCTTTCATGCATGTAACATGTAAATATAGAAATAGAGTGCATTATTAGTGCAATAAAACGCCACTCATAACATCATTCTCTTGCAATTCATTTTCTATTTAGCATGACCGCATCATGTGTCTTCTCTGAACGTCGTAAATCATTCGTAACGTATTTATAATAATTATAATCATTTGAAATTGTCTTTACCTTCAATGGTGCAGTCAAATAAACATAATCGTAAGATGAATTGCTTTCCAACTCCGCTGTCGTATTGCCGATCACATCGTGTAGCATTTCACAGCGACATGCCTGATCATGTTGTAATCTTTCCCCGTAATTCACAGATCTGCAACACTGCTCTTTCACACACGACAATATGCACTGAATTTTGTTTGGAGCGTTCGTCCTCTTCAGAATTATGCTGTTGAGTCGGGTGCCTGTCATTCAAAGGGATTAAAAATAATGAATGTATATATCTATACAATCGAGTGCTGAAACTAAGGGCTGTATTAAAAAAAAGTCACTCATAATCATAATATACTAATTGAGCGTGGCGTACAAATTCTGTTATTACTGTGCAATTTGAGGTTAAACACTGAAAATCAAGCTCTTCTATGGGAAATACTGCCATGGAATTTTATAAGAACAGCGAGTGAGCCTTTAGAATACAGGCGTAAGCCTGATTCAAATGAAATAAGCAAAAGCATATTAGCATAAGGATTAAGGAAAGACAATTGAAAAGTCAAAACAAATAAACGCAATGAAGCAAGCGGCACAAGCGTCGACATAAGCACAAGCATAAGAACAAAACTCGAAGCATAAGCGAAACTGCGTGGAGAAAAAAGATTTGAAAAGAAAATTCGTTTGGCTTTGTCTTTTTGAGCCTAGAAGAAAAGATTTCTCCTTGTGCTTATTTCACTCGTACAAGAGCCTGTTTACATAGAACGAGTTATCCCTGTCAGGCGAGGCAAAAACTGCATATAATGAAAGACTAATCAGGTTAAGCCTTTGATGTGAAACAGCCCCTAAACCAAGCTGTAGTTCTTTCCCCGCGCAGGCCGCAGGGACGAGGTAATTTAACTTTTATCGACATAGCTACAGGAGGAAAAGCGTAGAAACTGCAAGGCAATACTTAAACATATCAGTGACATATAAGTGATCCCTTCGTTTTTTTTCGATAGACAAAGGATTTTATGCATCAATGACCACCAACAATAGCCATCGCCGATGAATTACGATATATGAAAACCAGGCAGGCATGGTTCACACTTGCTCCTAAGAATCGGGGATCCATTGTATTACTGATTTTCCGACAGACAAAGGATTTTGCGAACTAGTGATCCCAGACAAAGGGAACCAGGGAATTGTGAACCAGGCTGAATATACCGTCCGTCGTAATGTGTAAGGTACACGGCAGTTTGCCGTTGCTTGAAATTACCTTCATGGTTGGCATCGAAACAGAAATCCAAAGATTCGCTTTGAGGCAGAAGTGCAAACAGAAGTGAAATTACAAGAACTTGACTTATGCCAAAACCACGCGTTTTGGGTCGAGGAATACAGTTCCACCACAACATCGATCTTTTCAATACACTTTAATTTTAACGTTGATGGGGTTTTATGAGGCGAGAAGTCTTCTAATAGTTAAGACCTCCAAACCCTACGACATCCTGCCAACGCTTAATTTATAGCTAACGTTTGGCGACTGACGGTATGTTATTTTATGTTTAAGTTGCGCGTCAGACCTAATTGAGCACTCAGACACCTGCGTTTAAATGCATCCATGAAGACTACCTAGGATACGAAATGAAAACAGTCATATACATAGCACCTGCTTGTATTCTGCAAAACCGCGAACACGTCCTGATGATGGGTTCGTTTATCGAGTTAAAGAAGTTTCCATTATTACAATTATCGGTGGCAAATATTAATGTGGTTGCTTGGGTAGACAATTAATGCGTGAAACATGACAGACGAAACGTTCTCACAAATTGAACTTCGTCAGAATATATACTACTTTAGTCTCTGACATCCAAGGAGATCTTTACAAAATATACTTGCCAGGCATTTTTTTTATAATTAAACCACATCTAAAAGCATTAATTAACGGTCGAGCTTAACACTACGAGAGCTTCTTAAGTTAAAAGCCATATGATATGCATGAATATTTTAGACGTATATCATTAATAATTAGTTGCTTTATTACGTGTATCAATTACGTTTTCACGCCAGACTGAAAAAGATGAAAACGACCGCACGGTGTTTAAAAGGCAACTTCTGGTGTCATGGATTCGTTTTGGATGTTTTAAAATCGACTTGAACGAGACAAGCCCTGAATAAATGCAGATGACATCGTAAAGGTCCTTAATTTTCGACTTTGAACACATGCATGCATTATTGATGCCGTTAACCTTTCCATCAGAAACTGCTACTGCCTGTATTAAAATCTTAAAACAGAACTGATGACAGCCAACTTTTACTGCATGCTTACATAACTCAACACGCCAAATTAAAAAAAGAATGGTTAACAAAAATGTGAACGGGTTAACACTTAATAGACATAGTCATAGGTACCGGTTAATTTTGTGTAAAATTTGAATATATTATAAACTATACTCAAATGAATAGTGTTATGTTTACAAAATATTCAATGACATGACAAAGTGAAATGACTGTGTACAAAATAAATATCCGATAAAGACCCTAATTATGCACTCATAATGCGCTATAGTCTATAGATTAAATTTATATCATTCTATAGGCGATAACTAAACTTTACAAAGTTTCAGTGCAAATAAACTTTACAGAGTTTTGCAACTAAACTTTGCAAGTACGCGAATTTCAGTATGATATTTCTTGCAATGGTAATAATATATTTCCTTCATGTTGTTGTCCAGATCTATACATAGTGCATTTGGTCAAATAGTGCCAAAAAAGACTAGAGGAATCACGTGCTTCGCTTATTAATGTCCGCTGACCGGTAGGACCGTCAGCGGACATATTGCTACAGTGATTGCTATCGTGCAGAGATTTTGTGTGACTTTACCACTCTTCTCCACCGAAATTCGCCGAAGCTACCCGACCGGGCGGCACCATAATGGCATGGCCACGAGACTTGATCTTTAATTTTTCGTTCTGTTGTCTTCGGCGCCGTTCGCTCTTCGAAACTCTTGTGATTGAGTTGGAAGTGGTTGCTTTTGTATAGTGGCACACGTACTGTAGCAAACTCAAACGCCTTAGCAGAGTTTGTTTATGAACTACACTCAAGCGCTTATCGTGAAAGTAAAGTAAGTGCCTTTTAAAGAGGTCCTGAATTAACTCATCCTCGTCCCCAGGGGCTAGCTCCGTTGCTCTCCATACCTATGTGTGGAGCGCAACGGAGCTAGGCCCTGGGGACGAGGATGGAATTAACTCATTGACTTCCCGGTTTCAGACCCCTATATTTTCACGCGGTTCGTGCATATTTCCAGCCTATAATTACAATACTAAATACGGTGCATAATTACAATACGAAAAGCTCACGCCATCCAGCTGATCTGGGTATAAAAATCAACCAATCAGAAGCCAGACCTTCGACAAAACTGAATTATCATTTCCTTTATTGCATATGACTTCGACACTCGAAAATATCAAGTAACTTTATTATATTTAGGCGGAAACATGCCTATTTTTCCCAACTGTAAATTAGAATTTAAATTTTTAGCCCTTTATACTATTAGTTAGAAGAATAAGGACAAATAACACCAGGCGTATGATAACTCAGTTTTGTCGAGACGCCTTATGACGTCATGATCTCAGATCAGCTGGATATACTATTATCAATACTTTATGTATATTTACATATTTCTGCAACGTTCAAATTTAAATAACTATAAACCTTTTAAATTCTTTCAGCTGTAGTTTGTTATAGACACAATATGAATAAAATTATTAAATATTTTAGTGCCACCTACAGGCTAGAGATCTACATTTTGTAAAACCTGGAGAGAATACGTATAAGCAAGTAAACTGACTTTCATTTAACCAATCTCGTGTCGTCTACTACACTATACAATTCATAATGTACGAAGGTTTCACATGGCTGACGATTGAGATACATTATGATTACAGTGTATATATAATATATATATTTATGTATGTATATATGCTGAACGTTTACCGGCTATAAAGCCTATATACTATTAATAATGTATGTATATTTACATATTTCTACAACGTTAAAATAACTATTAAACTTTTTCTATTCTTTCGTTTATTACAGACGCAATAAAATCAATAAATATTCAGTTAGTGCCAGTGACAATGTGCATTAATCATATATTAAAGCGTCGGCAATACTCAATAGGAATAAAGAAATTGACATCTTGCGTTGCATGTTTACTAATTTAGTCATATATGCATACCTCGCTTTAGTTTAGTCTATTTTAGTTACTAATGCATTAGGTAAAGGGATTATTCTCAATTAATTCCCAAAAGGTTTTCTTCCATTGCCTCAGTTTGGTACAAGGATGAATTCTTAGTGATATTGTAACACATATTCTCATCCAACATGGCCGCCGGCTGAACGCATCTCCACTTGTAGCCATTCGTGTCCTGACCGCGGATAAATCTGGCATAGATAACCGTTTCATAACTTTCATTGGACTTTTTTTCACACCATTCATCTCGCAGATTCTGCACTCGATATTCTGAAGTATAAATATGAAATGAAACAAATTTCTATTGAATTATGCAAATATATGCATGGATTTGTGGTCGGAGATAGTCTTTTAAACGAGAGAAAGGCAAAAAAGTGAGGTTTGTGATGGTTGAATTCACCTCTTCGTGTTTTTCATCACCATTTCCCGGGTAATCGTTTTGTCGACATACCCTGGGAACGAGGTTGTTTTTCATGTCATTTTTAATTCATAGATAATAATATAATGACGTTTGCAAGAGTGACGACGCAAATTATGTGTATCATCTCAATAAATACCTGGAATCTCTGCTTCGGATCCGTTCCGCATAGTCACGTTACCAGACAAATATTTGGTTCTGAAATCTCTCCATTGGAGAAGATTTCCGTTAACATTGATGACCCCAGATGTCATTCCTTGAATAACATTGACTGTCAAAAATTGCCTCCAGAGATTCAACCCTGCGAGGCTTCCTTTAAACGCTTGATTGCTATCAAAACCCTTGCCATGAGAATCCATTTCCTGTCCAAGAACTACGGTACCGTTGGCAGGTATAATGTAACCCTTAGTTCCGTTATCACTCGTCCCCAGTTTTTTCCCATCTTGATAAATCTCGTTCAAACCATCCGTGCTTCTCCATTGCAGGCAATAGAAATGCCACGAATCAGGGGCTAAGACCTTCTCTCTTAAAAGGACATATATTTTATATTTTTAACTTTACATTTATACTTATATAAAAATGTCGTTTTGTTTACGAAAAACTAGAGAGTGCTATAAATACCATATAAATAGAGCAGATAAAAATGCCAAAAATTGCCCACTACAATCTGTTTCATCCCGCGCGCAGGAATCTTCAGGTGGTATACAAATAACAAAATGATCAACCACCTTGAATATTCCTACAAGGATGAAACAGACTGTAGTGGATGATTTTTGGTAATACAGGCAATAGAAATGCTACGAATCATGCAGGGTTAAGACCTTCTATCTTAAAAAACCTTTTCTCTTAAAAGAAATAATTATTGAGACAAATGCAAAGATTGTCTGATCTACAAAACCATTTTGTCAACAGGCTTATTATTCTGACCAACCTTTTTTTTAACTAACTGCTTCCATAACCACACAACATAAGAAGTTCAATATGAATTTTTTTGTTGCACTTACCTCTTATTTACTATTTGTGTTTCATTACCGAGACGAAAGACCAAATCTGATTTATTTTTACTGTAATGCACCGTGATTTCATCTGAATTACTCTTAGTGGAGTAGGCAAATATTCCAGACAACTCATTTGTAGCCGAGAATTTTGCCCAAAAACAAAGGGAAAAGACCGAGATTTCGTAGGTGAAGACGTTTTCTATCTTGACGTAGTTTTCGTCTGAAGCGTTGGGAAAAGTCATCTGAAACATAGACTCTGTTCCTGGGGAAAAGTCAATAAGAATAGGATAATAAGAGACGCGTACGGCTGGCAATTGAAAGATTGGGAGATTCTCGTATAACCCTAGAGAACTTTACATTACAAAATGCTTCCAGTATCGACGCTCCTGCCGTTAGGAGTTAGTAAACTGCAATGCAAAAACGATCTTGACAGGAACGACATCGCGCATTTTTTTCCGTACACAGTCGGGCACATCATTAATGGTCGGGCACATCCTTCCACCAAACGCTCACATGCACTCTTATTAACGACAAGTGCACAGTAAATAAACCAGACTCTCAAATAACCTTAATAACTAACGAAAATGTATCGTTTCTGGTTCAATTTTAGGAGTTTGCAAATATCGCAAAATATTTAAAAAGTAAAAAAACTGGAAATAAAATGGCACTATGCAGTATTCAAACCCAGACATCCCACATTGGAACAAACCCCTTGACCTCTACACTGCTATGCATCGATAAAAAGCCCACTAGTTTTACATTATATAACGTTGTAACGAAAATCAAAGATGTTTAAGCGGTAAATACCGCAGCCACGTTTTTGAGAGTTGGAAAACGACGGCTCTATAGCTAAGGTCAGTCATACTATAAACAAGTTACACTTACGAGAATTGTGTAGATCATCCGGCGTTTCTTGGAATTCTATAGAATTATTTTTTTCAACCTTCGACTTTATTCCATACCACGCAAAGATATTACCGTTTTCAAACAATGGTCCTTTGTTTGCCATCAATGATAAAGCATGTCCATCAATTTCATAGTTCCAGATATTGAGTCTACTTTGAGAGCTGTTCTCGTATCCACCTGAAAAATATATAACAGTAAAACAGCTAATCACACTGATATATTTTAATCATATAAATAATAAATGCATTGGTTGCCTGGCCGAAGTTCACTTAGTTACAGCTTGATTCAGTCCTAGCATAGCTATAGGTACAGTATCTTAAAATATTCACTTTTGAAGTTGTTCTAAGGCAGGCTGGACAAACGTTTTAGTACTTGAAATTAATTTTTTATCCTCTCTATATATATGGTTCTTTGTACACAATAATTGGAAACGAAAGTAGTGAATTTCGATACAAAAAGCCAGCCATGTGCATGACTTTAAATTTTAATACAAACTTCAACCAGAAACTTGTGCATTAAATATCAATTTTGGTTGTCAAAACAAGCGCACGGCCGCCATCTTAAATTTCTGCAGAGGGACAGAAAACGATATCAGTGACATATCGTTTTCACGTCACAAGTATACGATGAAGAATTTCATAGCGGAGCTCAAGATAAAAATAAATAGTCAAAAAAAATGGAAGTAAAGTTGTCTTCCTGCAGGAATGGTAATATTTGTAGCTACATCATGCAAAATGGAGACCAATGAACCATCCAGATATATCTTCCAGTGTCCTGTATCACTCGACCATGTGGTAGCAATATGGTGCCAGTATGCTGGAGATTCATTCCAAAACCATGGAATCCTTGCTTCTCTAGAGGTTGTAAACATTTATAGCTACGTATAAAAACGTCTACAGTAAAAGCTGGATTGCTTTTTCGTCAGTTTTTAAATTACCTTGTAATGAATCACTACGAGTAGCTATACGACTGAGTAAATCAATGTTAGAATTTACATTAGGAAAACGGCAACCTTTCGTTAGGGCAATCGGCTTCCTTTCAGTATGCATAAGTAAAGCAAGTTTGCTCATTGGAACTAAAATCTAAAAAAATCTCATGAAGTGATATAATTTCTCGTAGCGACTTGCCTTTTTTCACCGCCATCTATTTCCAACGCGAGACTTTCAGCCGTAAGATAAAATGAGAGCAAGCTGGTCCCTGAATCATTTTTGTAGTCAAGAAATTTCTGAAGTTCTGCGTTCAGTTTCAGCGACGCGTTCTTCTCATATTTTACCCACGCTGTGATTGTGAAACCATGGAGTTCTTCTTCATATGTTATGTTATGGACGGACCGATTGTTTTGTGATGGTTTTATGACAATGTCATACTTTGAGTCTAAAAAAAGGTTACGATTATGTTATGAATTCCCTACGTTGATGCGGTGTGAACATCGCAAAGGAAGAGACCGAGAAAATGAAGTACAGCAATGTCTTTTCATGAAGCTCCAGTAGAATTAAGGCTAAACGCAATCACGAGGGAATGGTAAACTCAAGTAAACAGGTGTAAAGGTTAAACGTTCTTCATGAAAACTTACTTTTTCGAAGTGGTTTACACGAGCTTGGTTGTTCCATGACGACCATGCTGTTACAATTGTCCTTAAGAGAACTCCAGGTAAAGACATTTCCAAGTGCTTCTTTATTCAAACAACTTTGGTTTTTTAATTTCCTTTCGGCAGCATCGGCAGACATAAATCTACTCCATACATTTAACTGGCTTAGTTTGCCTGAGAATGAACTCTCTGAATTCCCGTCTGCCGAACTTCCCTGTTCCTGACCTACGACAAAAGCACCTCCAGATTTCAATGTTACATTCGAGCCAAGGTCATCTCCGCTGTAGACCAATGTACCGTCAAGGAAAATAGTGTAGTTTCCAAACTGAGACCACGATGCTCCCACGTGATGCCAATAGCCGTCATTGATTGGCGGGACAAAGAAATACCTGCAATGAAAGGGCACCGTGCTACGTTTTTGCGCTGGGATTTTCTACAGAAATAAGTTAAGAAAGAAAGATAGGCGTACAAGGTTAGGACAGGGGGAGGGATGGACCATTCCCACCGAATTAGTCTAAAATGGTAATTGCCTGATAAGTCGGGCAATTTTTCCTCGAAAGTCGGGTAATTTTCCTGAAATCATCTGTTTGATCCCCTGTCCTGCTTTTAGCATTCAAGTTTCTGTATTCAACAAAACAAATGCACTTCGTACTTTTCCACTCGTTGAACTTTGAGGTACATCTTTTCCCTTTCAACTGAGAATGCAAATTCTTCGGTACCGTTCACAGCATAGGATAAAACTGTCATTTTGTCAGCGTTCAATGTGTTGATCCAAAACATGAATGTCATATCAGACATCTCTGGCACATCGTTGTCCAGCAAAGTAAACTTTTGAACGCTTTCAAAACTCAGATCAAAGTCTGTATACGAATCAAAATTAAAGGAGAACAATTATATCATAGACTATCCGTAAAAATGCTGAGTTGAGGTGGCGTTGCCAGCCTGATGATTTAGTCATGTTATGCAAATTTCAAGGCCGGCGCACACTAGAACTATGTGCTTAAAAAGTCATTCTTGGCCATTGGCACGAATGCCCAAAGTCGCCGGGAAAGTCGCTCGCACACAAGAGCAACTGGCTAAAGCCTATTTTCCACTAGGTGGAATTTTACCCGCGGAGCGGAATTTTTAATTGTCTGCGCGCTTTCACGCAGAACTAATGTGAGAAAAACAAAGAAAAATTCCGCTCCGCGAGCAAAATTCCGCCTAGTGGAAAACTGGCTTAACGCAAATGGCGCGAATGACTTTTTGCTAAGCACACAACTCTAGAGTGCGTCTGCCTTCAAGTTATTACACCATTATTCATTTCTTTAGAAATTCATTGTTTTCACAGTCAATAAACCCCAAAATATTAGCAAAACATGACTAAATTGTCGGGCTGGCTACGCCACTGGTGAGCTGATAAAGAAAATCAAGGAAGAACACGCGTTTCATTGAGACTCACAACCAGGGCGAGGATTACTTGAATCTTCTTTAATCAGGTGAACTTGTTTGGCCGTATTAATTTTACACAACATAAATCGTATCACTCAAAATATTTGTTTTAAGGCCCGCACAATGTCAATCGTATCACTCACAATATTTGTTTTAAGACCCACGCACTGGACGAGACTCGGTAACCCAACACGAATTTTCCATTTTCAGAAGCAAATAAACGCGATTCTGAAAGAACACTTTGAGAGATATGGTTACCAGACCAGTCAAAATGTGCTATCATTCAGTAGTTACCAAGCCATATCACAACATTGTCAAAATTAATAAATTTTCAAAACTGAAAATCGCGTCCAGTGTCTGTGGGTTTTCCACTTACGCGTTTTTCATACGCACGTACACGCACGTAAAAGTCTAAATGCTTGTTTGTACATGTTACCTTTGAAAAAACTTAGTGAATAAATCGAAGGAACTTAGTTTTCTGCATATCTTAGTTTGCATTAGTTGACCTAGATGTTAAATAATATAAATTTAAAAACATTTAAAATTTTCCGTACGTGTACGTGCGTATAAAAAACACGTAAATGGAAAGCAGCCTTAAGTCAACAATGGACTGAAACTACGCGCGTTGAGACAATGATCCATACAGCAGTGTAACTATCATGCTTAAATTTCGAACCCGAAAAATTATAACGAATACAACAAAAATATGGTTAGTTGAGCATTTATAACCATAATTAATAGTATATGCTGTGACATACTTGCAGACAAAGCATATTTCTGATTGGTCAACTGGGCATAAATTGGCGAATCAGAAGCTTACATACCTTCTTCGTTGGCACAGCTGCTATTATATCCCTGCAAAAAAACATCTTAATGAAAAAACTGAAAAGGAAAAATGAGTAACGTCCAAGGCTTGGGCACCCGGAACGAAGGTTTAACTGGATGAACATCGCAGTTTCAAATTGAAATTTATCGGTAGAAATATACTACAATAAAAAAGACTGAACATCCTGATTGTTCAAACTGGCCTAAATAAAAATAGCGCGAAAATGAGTTCATGGGCTACGTATACTCTGGAAAATTTACATGGAGGTGACGTCTATACTAAGTAGGTATATGCCTCGACATAGAATTGTTTAGATCACGCAGATGTTGCAAAACAGTTGTTCAGATCAGGCAGATGTTAAACTAAATTCGCGTCTAAGTTACTTTGCATCACCGTAGTGAAATTCTTACGGGAAATGTTATTCTGATGTTAAATATGTTTTGCAATGTTTTTGAAGGCTCTTTTTTCTGTGCAAAAATCATACGATTAATAATTTAGTTAGATTTAATTAGAGGAGTTTTATTTTCCTCCATTTGTTTGAAGAGTTTATTGACGTCGCGTTGCTGTCCTCGAGTATTTTCTACGGAATAGAGTGCACGATTCGTGCAATAAAACGCCAATTAACATCATTCTCTTGCAATCAATTTGCTATTTAGCATGACCGCATCATCTACTCTGAACCTCTTAAATGATCATTCGTAAAGTATTCATAATAATCATAATCATTTGAAATTGTCTTTACCTTCAATGGTGCAGTTAAATAAACATAGTCGTAAGATGAATTCTTTTCCAACTCTGTCTCTGCTGTCTTATTGCCGATCACGTCGTGTAGCATTTCACAGCGACATTCCTGTTCACGTTGCAATCTTTTCCAGTAATTCACAGATCTGCAACACTGCTCTTTCACACACGACAGTATGCACTGAATTTTGCTTGGAGCGTTTGTTCTCTTCAGAATTGTGCGGTTGAGTCGGAAGCCTGTTAATTCAAAGTGATTAGAAATAATGAATATATGTAGCAATTGAAACTTTTATCGACATGGCTGCAGGAAGAAAAACGTAGGAAGCAGGGAAATAATCAAACAACAACAATTGTAAGTTACATATAAGTGAAAAACCCTCCTTCATCCTGGTTTTCATTTGTCGTAATTCATCGGCGATGGTCTACGATCTATTGTCGGTGATCAATTAAGTATATAATTTTCTTCGATAAACAAAGAATTTTATGCATCAATGACCACCAACAATAGCCATCGCCGATCAATTACGACATATGAAAACAAGGCTTAAACCTGGTTCACACTTCACACTTGCTCCTAAGAATCGGGGATCCATTGTATTATTTTCCGACAGACAAAGGATTTGGCGCACAAGTGATCGCAGACAAAGGGAACCAGGAAAGTGTAGACCAGGCTGAATATACCGTCGGTCGTAATGTATAAGGTACACGGCAGTTTGCCGTTACTTGAAATTACCTTCTTTGTTGGCATCGAAACAGAAATCCAAAGATTCGCTTTGAGGCAGAAATACGAACAGAAGTGAAATTACAAGAATTTGACTCTTGCCAAAACCACGCGTTTTGGGTCGAGGAATACAGTTCCACCACAACATCGATCTTTTCAATAGACTATAGTTTCAATGTTGATTGGGTTTTATGAGGCGAGAAGTCTTCTAATGGTTAAGACTTCCAAACCCTACGAATGCCTGCAAACGTTTTATAGCTAACGTTAGGCAACTTAAGTTGCGCGTCAGATCTAACTAAGCTCTCAGACATGCACCTGCGTTTAAATGCATCCATGAAGACTACCAAGGATACCAAACCAAAACAGTCATATACAAAGCACCTGCTTGCTTTCTGCAAAACCGCGAACACGTCCTGGTGATGGATAATTCGTTTATCGAGTTAAAGGAGTTTCTAATATTACAATTACTGGTGGCAAATATTATGTGGTTGCTTGCATGGGTAGACAATTAGTGTGTGAAACATGACAAATTGAACTTCGTCAGAATATATACTACTTTAGTTTCTGACATTCAGGGAGATCTTTACAAAATATATTTGCCAGGCAAGGTGTTTATAATTAAACCACATCTGAGAGCATTAACGGTAGAGCTTCACACTACGAGGTTCCCTTAAGTTAAAAGCCATATGACAAGCATGAATTTTTTAGGAATATATGATTAATAATTAGTTGCTTTGTTACGTGTATCAATTACGTTTTCAGGCCAGAACTGAAAAAGACAAAGGCGACCAAACGGTATTTAAAAGGCGAATCCTGGTGTCCTGGATTCGTTTTGGATGTTTTAAAATCGACTTGAACGAGACGAACCCTGAATGAATGCAGATGACATCGTCAAGGTCCTTAATTTTCAACTTTGAACACATGGATTATTATTTATTAATGCCATTAACCTTTCCATCAGACACTGTCACTGTCTATATTTAATCTTAATTTCTATATTTAAAACAGAAATGACAGCCAGTAGACATAGGTCTGCGTGTAAAATTTGAATATATTATTAACTATACGAAATGCATAGTGTTATAAAGTATTAAGTTACAAACTGAAGACTGAATTATGCGCTCATAATGCAGCTATATAGTCTATAGATTATATTTATATCTATACGCGATACTAAAGAAATTTTACGATGTTTTGCAACTAAACTCAGCACAAAGTTTTCCAACTAAACTTTGCAATTACGTGAATTTCAGTATGATATTTCTGGCTATGGTAATAATATATTTCCTTCATGTTGTTGTCCAGGGGTCGGTTGTTCGAAAGCGAGTAAAATTTAACCCTGCACTGGTTAGCGTTACCGGCTTTTGAACAACCGGCCCGTAATCTATATATAGCGCATGATGACGATCAACTAGTGCCAAAAAAAGACTAAGAAAAGCACGTGTGACGCCGAGCAAGGAAAAAACGAAGACATTGTCGTTTAAATAATTAAGAAAAATTAAACTACATGTGCTTACTCGATTTTTTAAAATTGCTATAACGTTATCAATATCACCTAGGATACGATATCAGTTTATAACCGATCAGAGTGATGAATAATTTCTGAGGAAACTGGGCTCTTATAATTAGGGTTCGTATCATCCTCGTTCCAGATTTTTGCGTACTGCTTGTGCCACAGTCTAGTCCCTAGGCCTCATTGCGCTGGTTTTGAAAATCCGTGACGTCACCGAATGAAACACGGGCGAGAGGCCTAGCGCAAAATGTTTTCTAATCTTAACGGGCCCATAACCGCTCATTTAATGTTGTCTTTTAGTAAGAATTGTTATTACAAAGTAAATGTTTGCAATTTACAACAAGAACCGTTATAAAGGAAGCAAGAATATTTGAAATTGGCGGATTGTTTTACATGCAGGGAAATCTACATTAATTAGGGGTTCACTGACGTGTCTGCTTTGACCATCAGTCCAATAAGAATACAGAAATATTTTAAATGACAAATTGACTGTATCCCTTAGTGAAAGTAAATTCAAATTTAAAAAAGTACTCAATTGCAAGTGTCTCTTTCGTTTACGGAAAATATTTGACCCGTGGCTAGATAATTACACTTACAGGCTAAAGAAACACATATCTTGTAAAACCTGAATTGAATACGTATAAGCAAGTGAAACTGACTTTATTTAACCAATCTCGTGTCGTCTACTACATAATTATACAATTCATGTCGCACGAAGGTTTCGCATGCTGACGAATTGAGATACATTAGAATTGAGATACTGATACATAAAGTTTACCGGCTATATACGATTAATACTATATGTATATTAGGATATTTCTACAACGTTTATTAACATATTTCTACAAAATACTATAAACCTATTCTTTCGGCTGTAGTTTATTATAGACGCAATAAATACGATAAATATTTTAGTGCCAATGACAATGTTCATTAATTAATCATATATTAAATAATATTCAATAGGAATTATTCTCAATTAATTCCCAAAAGGTTTTCTTCCTTTGCCTCAGTTTGGTACAAGGATGAATTCTTAGTGATATTGTAACACATATTCTCATCCAACATGGCCGCCGGCTGAACGAATCTCCACTTGTAGCCATTCGTTCCCTGACCGCGGATAAATCTGGCATAGATAACCGTTTCATTGAACTTTTTTTCACACCATTCATCTCGCAGATGCTGTACTCGATATTCTGAAGTATAAATTAGAAATAAAAACCAATTCCTACTGAAGTAAACACAGATATAGTAAAGGTTAAAACGAGGAAGGTTCAAGTCTTCAATTCTGACGAGAAGGGACTATTTGCAACCATGACACAAACATGCGATTTACAACCAAACTGAGAATAAAATTTCTACTGATACGCAAGTTATACGGTATGTATACGTGGTCTTTTGAAAGGGAGAAAGGCGGGCAAAGAGGTTATATTATTTTTGATGGACGATGGTTATAAGTTCACCACTTAACATATAGTTGCGTTTTTCTTCTTCTCATTTTTTGCTATACAGTTGTTAAAGTTACTGGAGGTGCATGATCTCTACATATTTGCTACCGTTTCGTAATCCACGTTTATAATATAAGAATATAATAATGACATGCAAGATGAACTTAACAAGTGTGCACGTGTGTCACATGAATACCTGGAATCTCTGCTTCGGATCCGTTCCGTATAGTCACGCTACCAAACAAATGTTTGGTTCTGATATTTCTCCATTGGAGAAGATTTCCGTTAACATTGATGACCCCAGATGCCATTCCTTGAATAACATTGACTGTCAAAAATTGCCTCCAGAGATTCAACCCTGCGAGGCTTCCTTTAAACGCTTGTTGGCCTTGAAAACCCCCGCCATGAGAATCCATTTCCTGTCCAAGAACTACGGTACCGTTGGCAGGTATAATGTGACCATTGGTTCCGTTATCACTCGTCCCCAGTTTTTCCCCATCTTGATAAATCTCGTGCAAACCATCGCTGTTTCTCCACTGCAGGCAATAGAAATGCCACGAATCAGGGGTCAACACCTTCTCTCTTAAAAGGATAAATTATTTTTTAACATACACGATGCGATATAATAAATATATTCAATTTAAGACTTAATTAACTTATTTATTAAATTCGTTCTACTAACTACTTATAGTACGGTATGGTATATAATGCAGTAATCAATATTATATTATAGGATTTATTTCACAAACCTCTTATTTACTACCGCATTCGTGAGATCTTTATAATTGAGAAGAAAGACCAAATCTGATTTCGTTTTATGGTAATACACCAAGATTTCGTCTGGATCATTGTTAGTGGAGTAGGCAAATATTCCAGACACCTCATTTGTAGCCGGGAATTTCGCCCAAAAACAAAGGGAAAAGACCGAGATTTGGTAGGTAAAGACGTTTTCTATCTTGACGTAGTTTTTATCTGAAGCCTCAAGAAAAGTCATCTGAAACTCAGACTCTGTTCCTGGGAAAAAATGAATAAGCATAGGATAATAGGATACAGCTAGCCATTGAAACTTTCGCAAGTTTTCGTATAGTCAGCTTTAGCAATGCAATATCTCCAACATTGAAATTTAATTGTTTTTTCGAGTGTTTGTGACCATGCAATCACGTATAAAAATAACACCGTAGAAATGCATTCACTTGTCGGGATTATTAAAATAGCGGGGTTTTTCGCTCGTGTATAAATGGCCCTAATGCGGGGTGTGCGGTTATAGGCGACATTTGGCTTAATTCCAGTCAATTCGGAGAAAAATATCACATATATGCCGATGGAAGCCTAAGAAAAAACTAGTGTGTTTATCTGAAACCAAACTGTGTGGGCAAAAATGACTCAATGCTGTCCGCTGTTGCAGTTCATATCAGTTTACGTAATTCTAGATGTGGTTGCAGGGCCTTTCAAATATGTTTAATGCATGCATCGAATGCACCATCCAGCGAGTATCCCATTATGCGTTCAGAGGCATTTCGACCGGAGTGTGACTAACTGCATGGAGCTATAAGCGGTTGAGACTTAGAAAACGTTTGCTTTAAAACCTATGAACAAACCATATAATAGGTTACGTATAATAGGTTACACTTACGAGAATTGTGTATATCATACGGCGTTTCTTGAAATTCTATAGAATTATCGTCTTCAACCTTCGACTTTATTCCATACCACGCAAAGACATTACCGTTTTCAAACAATGGTCCTTTGTTTGCCATCAATGATAAAGCATGTCCATCAATTTCATAGTTCCAGATATTGAGTCTACTTTGAGAGCTGTCTTCGTATCCATCTGAAAAATATATAACAGCTAATGATCACACTGATCTATTTTACTCATAATAACACTGGATTCCCAGGCTGGAGATCGCATCTTACTTAATTGGAGGTAACGTTTTCTTCCTGCAGGAATGGTGATATTTGTAGCTACATCATGCATAATGGAGACCAATGAACCATCCAGATATATCTTCCAGTGTCCTGTATCACTCGACCATGTGGTAGCAATATGGTGCCAGTATGCTGGAGATTCATTCCAAAACCATGGAATCCTTGCTTCTCTAGAGGTTGATGATATTGGGTTATGGGGAATAAGGTTATGGGGAATAAGTGAACTCAATATTAAATAACACTCTTAAATCTCCCTTAAAGCAGTCAACTTGAATATTATGCACTGAATATGTAGTTGTAAACAGTATCTTTGTTTTAAGGTTAAAAACATTTAGTTTGTTAGAAGTGTGTGCTGTGCATCTTTTTATTTCCTGAATAAAAATATCTACAGTACAAGCAGGATTGCTTTTTTGTGTTTTTAAAACCTTGCCTTTTTTCAGCTCCATTTATTTCCAAGGTGAGACTTTCAGCCGTAAGATAAAATGAGAGCAAGCTGGTCCCTGAAGCGTTTTTGTAGTCAACAAATTTCTGAAGTTCTGCGTTCAGTTTCAGCGACGCGTTCTTCTCGTATTTTACCCACGCTGTGATTGTGAAACCATCGAGTTCTTCATCATATGTTATGTTATGGACGGACCGTTTGTTTTGTGATGGTTTTATGACAATGTCATACCTCGGGTCTAAAAAACCATGAATTCCTTACGTTGATGCATGCGGTGTGAACATCGCAAAGGAAGAGACCGAGAAAAAGAAGTACAGCAATGTCTTTTCATGAAGCGTTAGTAGAATTAAGGCTAAACGCAATCACGGGGGAATGGTGAATCCAAGTAAATAGGTGTTAAGGTTATTAAACGCTCTTCATGAAAACTTACTTTTTCGAAGCGGCTTACACGAGCTTGGCTGTTCCATGACGACCATGCTGTTACAATTGTCCTTAAGAGAACTCCAAGTAAAGACATTTCCAAGTGCTTCTTTATTGAAACAACTTTGGTTTTTTAATTTCATTTCGGCAGCATCGGCAGACATAAATCTACTCCATACATTTAACTGGCTCAGTTTGCCAGAGAATGAACTCTCTGAATTCCCGTCTGAGCTTCCCAGTTTCTGACCTACGACAAAAGCACCTCCAGATTTCAATGGTAAATTCGAGCCAAGTTCATCGCCGCTGTAGACCAATGTACCGTCAAGGAAAATAGTGTAGTTTCCAAGCCGAGACATTGATGCTCCCACGTGATGCCAATAGCCGTCATTGATTGGCGGGACAAAGAAATACCTGAAATTATAGATCAGTGTCTCTGGGATTTCCATCCACAAGGAATCGATGAAACAATTAAAGTCAGTTCTCTCCCCTTATCTGTGCCACTGACATGCATTGCATTTGTAAGTATTGAAAAAACTCTCCACGAGGGAGGGTACTGTGTATTCTTAGAAATTTGCAGATAATGGTTGAACTGTTGTAAATCATGTCTCATTTGCATTTAATGGGTAGACAATTTAGTTATCAGTTGTTAATAAGCTTACGTTCGATCTTTCCTGCTTTTATCACACTTTTTAACAAAACAAAATACAATTATTAATTGAGTGAAAATTAATTTAGGATTTGAGAAGTTTATTTTTTATGTCTATCAAAACTCTGTGAAATCGTGGAAGGATTTTTAGTAACAAGTGGTTTAGCGATCGAAGGTTTCATGAAAAAAAGTAAAACAAATGCACTTCATACTTTTCCAATTGTTGAACTTTGAGGTACATCTTTTCCCTTTCAACCGAGAATGCAAATTCTTCGGTACCGCCCACAGCATAGGATAAAACTGTCATTTTGTCAGCGTTCAATGTGTTGATCCAAAACATGAGTGTCATATCAGACATCTCTGGCACGTTGTTGTCCAGCAAAGTAAACTTTTGAACGCTTTCAAAACTCAGATCAAAGTCACCTGGGACTATAGGCAAAAAAAATCATCATAAAAATGAAATGGGGCTGCAAAGCCGAAGGTTGAGTTACACGGAGAGGCACATATAGCATTTGGACATTCGGAAAAGCCAACGTCAAATAGATTGCAGGTGGTCATGGGAATTATACACTGCCTCGTCGTGTATACCTAGACTGTCTCGTTTCTACTTATATATATCTAAACATAATCTGAATAATGTCCATACATATGATCATCTTCCAATAAGCTCAGTATAATAAACATTATATGGGTTTTCAAAATCCTCTATTCTGATTGGTTGACGAGCGGTCCGTAAAAACCCATATCCGGACCGTGGTATTCCGTATCTGGACCAATATCCCGGATGTCTCGTGCAGTTCAGCCATATAATAGAGAGATTATTGACCTCGTTTGTTCGTTCTGTACTGTGAAATATAAGACCGAGGTTTTTTGCATACTAAAAAGCCTCGGTCTGATATTTCACAGTACAGACCTCACCTTCGGTCAGGCAATAATAAGTTAATATATACCTTTGATATTGACACAGCTGCTTTTGTGTCTCTGTCAAAAAAAGATGGCAATCTTAATGCGAAACGAAATACATTTGAAACATAAGACTTATGACTTAAACATAAACATAAGACTAATGCGAGTGGGACTTGGGACAAGAACAAGCGACTTTAAAGGCTAAAGCCTACACATACACCGCATTTGTAACTCTAAATGTAATCCAATGTGTTTATTAAATAACACCATGGAAACGCCACACAAGCAGCTGTCCATGAAGTTTTGCACAGAAATAGTTCGAACCACACAAAATACATTAACTAACTAACCGTATACTATTTCTGTGACTTTTTCTCTGGAGGCCGGATTAGATTTAGATCCATAAAAAACGTATTTTAATGATAGCTACTATAAGTAAATTTTACTGCGAAAACTGGGATCGAATTTTCAACACTTTAATTAAACTAGGAGAATAAAGTTTTAAGCGGAGAATGTATGATATTGCTCAAAAGTTTCGCAGGAAAGGGCTGCGACTTTTAGCCGAAGTTCAAGAATCAGTAATGGTATTGTAAAGAGCAAAGTAAATAAGAGCAATAATGTACTATTTCATAAAAAAGTATTAAAATTAACATCACAAATTAAACTGTAGTTCCTTTTCATGGAACCTGTAGTGTGCTTTATTTGAAGCACATTTTCTATACTCTAGCCAGTGGCGTAGCCAGCGCGACAATTTAGTCATGCTATGCTAGTATTTTGGTGTTCGTTGACTGTGAAAACAATGAATTTCTAAAGAAATGAATAATGATAATAATATAAAATTTGCATAGCTTGACTAAATCGTCAGGCTGGCTACCCCCACTCTATAGCTCTGTAGCTAAAATATTAAAAAATTTAGAAACAGTGTCAATGGAGAAAAAATACGTTTCAGAATAAACTTTAATGCCTTAATTGTTAAAACAACTGTCAATTTCACACCACAGTTATGCGAGGTAAGTCAAAATGCAAAAACATCTAAATGTTCATGTAAAAAACCTTTCATTTTCTTACCTTTCCGACTATGTAAAGATGGTCGAATTCAGGATTACGTATTCTTTCATTAGCGTTAGATGTTTTTGGAAGTGTGGAATTGTTGAGTTCACACAGACCTTTACCAATTCCAGATGTTTTGTAATTTACCGATTCACACGATCCATCATCAACGCAATGCAGGGCACATTCTAACTCGTTGTTCGTCAGTTGCTTCGTGTCTATGACATGATTACCCAAGTGCTCTTGTTGAATTTTGCGAAAGAAAGCGTGGCTAATATTTTGGCATTCACTTGGCTGCGGTATTTTTACGATTAAAAAAAGCGCGAAGAAGACCAGGATGACAGCCATTGTGAATGACGATATGCTTTTTAGAAAATACGTTCACCGTTTGCTGAGACCCGTTCACACAAAGCACCAGGTGTTGAATGTTGCGTTTATTTAAGGTGTCGCCCAAAAACGTGCAAAGCTAAAGACCATATATAAGGTCAAGATCATACATGCAGACAGGCTGTCTTGTTTAAACTGGTCAAAAGAGAGTCTATGTTCACAATTGAATGATTGAACCTAGGGTAAATAAAACTATACAAACAGAATTTTGACAAGGTATTCATGCAGCACTGATAATAAACCGCTCGTCAGTGTTGTCACTGTTCTGAAAATATAGTCTCGAAAATACACAGTTATAAGACTTCTCGTCATTTTGAGCTATCCATGAGCGTTCACCACGAGGGTAAAAATACATGACTAACTTCAGTTTTTTACGACTGGCATGCACTTAGCCTTGGGTCCGAAGGTCGAGAAGATTTTGAAGGCTGGTTTCCACCTGGAGGAAATTTTCGATCCGAATTTCCGCCAACATTATAGTCTCTACACAGCCGAGACCCTCGCTATTTTGCTATAGTTTTGTCTGAATGGAGTAGAATGAAGTCAAAGGCGGTCCTCTACTACGGTCCGTGCGATCGCACCCCAACATTTTAGAGAGCTCTATACCATAGTCTCTTTACTGAAACTGAATTGTGTGATGTAAATTCGCGTGAGCTGTCAGCTGAGAGAGCTGAAAGAGCGCACTGTTGGCAATGTAAATTCATTTCAGCTTAGCGAGCGATAAAGGTGCACTGTTGACTCAACTGAGGCTAAGGGTGCGTGGTGAACTTCATCAGAATACATACTACTTCAGTTTCTGACATTTAGAGAGATCTTTACAAAATATATTTGCCAGGCAAGGTGTTTATAATCAAACCACATCTGAGAGCATTAACGGTAGAGCTTAACACTACGAGGTTCCCTTAAGTTAAAAGCCATATGATATGCATGAATATTTTAGAAATATATGATTAATAATGAGTTGCTTTGTTACGTGCATCAATTACGTTTTCAGGCCAGAACTGAAAAAGATGAAAGCGACGGCACGGTGTTTAAAAGGCAACTTCTGGTGTCATGAATTCGTTGTGGATGTTTTAAAATCGACTTGAACGAGGCAAACCGAGAATTAATGCATCGTCAAGGTGCTTAATTTTCGCCTTTGAACACATGCATTATTAATGCCATTAACCTTTCCATCAGAAACTGTCATTGCCTATATACTTAAAACAGAAATGACAGCCAAAGACATAGGTTTGCGTGTAAAATTTGAATATATTATAAACTATACGAAATGCATAGTGTTATGTTTACAAAATATTCAGTTACAAACTGAAATGACTGTGGACAATAGACTGAATTATGCGTTCATAATGCAGCTATGTAGTCTATAGATTGATTTTATATCTATACGCGATACTAAAGAAATTTTACAATGTTTTGCAACTAAACTCAGTACAATGTTTTCCAACTAAACTTAGCAATCACGCGAATTTCAGTATGATATTTCTGGCTATGGTAATAATATATTTCCTTCATGTTGTTGTCCATGGGCCGGTTGTTCGAAAGCGGGTTAAATTTAGTAATTTACTGAACCCTGCATGGGTTAGCGTTAGCTGGGTTCTGAACAACCGGCCTGTGATCTATATATAGCGCATATGGTTATGATGAACTAGTGCCAAAAAAGACGGGGGGAAGTCGTGCGAAGCTGAGCAACACAAAAAACGAAGACATTGTCGTTTAAATAATTGAGAAAAATTAAACTACATGTGCTTACTCGATTTTCGATTTCAGTTTAAAATTGCTATAATTTAATTAATATCACCTAGGATACGATATCAGTTTATAACCGATCAGAGTGATGAATAATTTTTGAGGAAGCTGGGCTCTTATAATTCAACATATCCTCACACGTAGAATTAGGGATTATCCTTAAATGTCAAATTTGCTAAGATTAAGGATATGTCTTAAATTAATGACGCAAATGAGCGCGCGTATATATAGCTTCCTGGGCACACGCACATGGCTACGATTTTGTCAATATGGCGGATGTTCCAGCTTCGAACTTCGGTAAGTCATTAAATTTTCATGACTTTACACAGCTATTGAATATTCAATTTCTAAAGTTTATTATGAAAAAATGCAACGTGAATAAGTAGTGTTTATTCTAATGATTATATGTATGCTCATTTGTTGTATATTACCTGAAAATATAAAGTAAATATGAACATTGAACATCTATGCTAGTCATGTTGAAATTTGAAGGACAAATAAGGTTCTAAATACAGCTCAATAAAAAGCTGGCTTATGATGTATATAAGATCGTAATTTTGCAGTTGTATTGTGTCGTTTTTTTTACAGCTTTGCGGTCCAGTGTAGTCTTATAGTTGAGCTTAATTAAACCAGGGTAATGCCATGAAACTCTGTGCCGATCGAAAATATGCCAGTAATAATAACTATAGATAGTATTGTAATTTGTCAAACTAATACCAATTTTCTTCAAATTCTGGTATAGAGGGGTACATTGCTGAGTTGACAAGACATTTTTAAGTGTTTAAAAACAGCAGATACGAGAACATATTGTCAAAATTGTCTGGCATTAATCAGACAGGGTATAAAATAACAAAGAAGGGCATATTTTTTACTTTCACATGACATGCACTCTCACAACTCTCGGCGCATTGACATTGTAGTCAACTAGTCTGCAAGGAAACACAGTTAACTCTCGGCACATTGTACTCAACTAGTTTGGAAGGAAACACAGTTATTTCTTGTCAGATTGGGTGGATTGTTCACAATATAGTCTATATGTAACTGAATTTATGTTTGGTGGAAAATTTTCATGCAAGATACAGTAGCATCATTTATGTTCTCACTAAGTCATAAGCTTTGTGTGTATAGTTATAAACATATCAGTTGAATATCTTTGTGTTGATACATACTTGGAGTAACATGATACAAGCATTGATATTAGCCTGAGTGCATTGCACCAACATAGAACAAAATTATCACAAAAGATTACAGCAACATAGAAGGAACTAGATTATTCCAAAATATCACATACTTGAACAGATTTCACCATGTATTAAATATATAAAGTTTAAAGGTGATCTCCAGTTCGTTCTGTGCATCGGTTCTGCTCATAACAAAGGGGAACTCACCGATATAAACATTGCCCAAATATCGCATCTTTCGAACTTTTTCTGAATTGAAACTCTGGTTTATATTCATTTACGAGCATAACAAACCAGAACAGTGTAAGATATTCAGTTAGTATATCATATTTTACAAATATAGCAGTTCGAAATGTAAACAAAGCGTTTGTTTACATTACGGACTGGAGATCACCATTAAAAGCATAGTGATCTTTGGCATGATGTTTTCTTCTAGTTTGATAAAAAAGCTATCCAATGGTTGAAAGAAAGTGTCATTATATAAATTTAAATTGAACATTGAAATAACCTTTTTATATGATCCCAGCTAGGGGTGCAACCACCAGAACTTGGTTCCGGCCAGACCTCAGATGTTTTAAGGTTCCGGCCAGAACCGTTGAAAAAGGCACAGCCAGAACTGTTTTATTTCTATACATTGTTATAGTCATAAAAAAGAAACAAAACTTTATAGCATCTCTAAACTTCTAATTGTCCAATGCTAGGTTTATTAACATGTTAAGGTGTGTGACATATACTCCAAATAAGTAACTTAGGTCTAGCGAAACTTTGGAATGTTATCTTTTCAACTACTGAAAGTGTTTGGAAAATTTTTAAAAGAATCTATGGAAGGGAAACATTCAAAATTGCAAAAATCACGTTTTATCAATTTGAAATATTTCCCTTCCACAGAATTTTTTTAAAATTTTATAAGCACTTCCTTTCAGTAGTTGTAAAAGATCTATGAAATAAAAAATGGATGTCACCAAACTTTTTTGGGAGTTACAGCGACCTAAAGCCAAAATATCCGCCATGTTGTAACGTCATGATTGCCATAGCAACACGAGTTAAGAAACATATTAGAAAATTTTTGAACACGTTAAATTTTGCTTTATCAATATCGCAGACCTTTACTCTTCCAGTAGTTACTTGTTGACCAAATTGAAAGACGTCAAAAACTTTTTTTAAGAGTCTATCTTATCCAGCCGCATCTTTGGCCTCATTTGAACTACTCCTAATCTATTTATCTCAATATGCTGCTGAAGGACAGCCAGAAAAATTTTGACTATAGAAAAACAAACGTGTCTTCGTCAACATATACCAGGTGGCGCAAAAAAAGTTGACTTGTTTGATAAATTATAACATACTCGTTTCTCCATGATTTAATGCTTCAGGGAAACATGTAATAAAACAGAAAATAAAACGACCTTGCCACTCTTTAATATGCCATTTTTACCTAATTTTTACATTTTTCAAAAGTGCATATTTAAATTGAACCTGCGATATCTCGGTCAAAGCTGCATGAAAAACCTTATGCTATATATCAAAATTTAAGTTAGACATTGGTGAATATAAAAAAACATGATTTCATTGTAGTAGCTTTTTTAATTTTAGAGTTATATTGAGTCAACAGGATTACTTTTTTTGCGCTACACGGTATATGAACACATTTGTAAAGTTGTGAGTTCCAATTTTTAGAAGAGTCGATGATTTTTGACACAAAAATCGCCGACCCTTCTAAAAACTGAAACTTACTACTTTACAGAGAAGCACTACACATCAAAAAACGCGAACCCATACTAAACTAGAAAATACATGCATGCATACATTCTTACAAAGTGAGACATATATAAGCTACAATATAAGCATCTATCTATCTATCTATCTATCTATCTATCTATTTATCTATCTATCTAACTATCTATCTATCTATCACAAACCTCTTCGCAAAACGTTCTCATATTCAGTCAAATTTACGTATTAAATATTACTTGCGAAACAAATTACGCGAGCAAGTTTCATCTAATGGGGATGCACGCATTTAGTAACTTGCCGTGCATGCGCATGAAAAAAGTGGGTACACTAAATCATCAGACTAAATACAGTTAATCTATAGCTTTTAATCTATTGTTGCTTTCTCATTGCATCTCAGATTTTCCATATTTAATCTTATTGTCTTACTGTAATCACACAAAATCACAGATTTAAGAGAAAAAATCTACTGTGAAAGTTAGGTCGCTATTTTTCGTATTTGTTGAGTGAAGCTAAAAATAAAGCAAAAATGTTATAGCATAAGTTGACTGCAATGTTTTTTTAAATTGTAACCTTTGTTTTTCAGAATTTTCTGCTGTGGTGACAGAGAAATCAAATGAGGTATATTCAGTATTTAGGTCATTTTCTGACTAGCTTAATTGCTCAATCAGTTTTCTGTAACGTTTCACCAACAACAAGCACATTTTTTGGTTTAGTTACTCGTAGTGTTATGTTTGATTGGCTTGAGCTGACTAGTTTTCCAACGACATACATTTTGGACTTGTGTTTTCTGTTGAAAGCTAGCCTAGCCGGCACCAACAAAACCGGTTCATGCACACCTGTCCATAAAAAAATTAATGTATTTATTATTTATTTGTAAAAATTTTGGAATCAGTTTAAACGCTTGCATTGTAGACAAGAAAGCCATTCGTATTTTGGGTTTTGGCACAAACTGCATAAATTAGCGTCACATCATAGGGTGCTACATTTTTTCAGTATACCACGAAATCACATCAAACGTGGTATAATTGTTTTCATATACCACGGTGATGTCATTACTCCAAAATTGAGCAGCTACCGAGCGGATATGACAATTTTACCAACAGCTCCTAGCCAATCAAAACTCCTGAATTACTTTCAACAAATGTATGTATATACCATGTCTGATCTCTTGGTAATTGCTCGTTTGCAATTGACATCTTGGTTGATTTTCGTTGCAACTAAAATTTTATATTCTTTATTCTTTGTCGTTTTGTGCCAGATATCGATAATACAGTAACATGTTTTCAAAGCAAACGAAATATATTAAAATAACTCAACTATTTCCATGTAAATGGCTTGATAAACCAAAATGGCGCCTGTTGACACGTACTGTAACTCATGTGCAAGCAAAGAATTGAGGCAATAACAGAAAAGGAACCTGGGCAGTACCAAACAGTTTAAGATCACTATCTTTAGCTCCGCCTGTTCAACGTAGTTGTCAACAACTAACTTCCTGTTAGTTTACGGCGAAGGATTACATTCGCATAATTTAATATTTTTGGCCATATTTTAGTCAAAAAAGAAAGTCAGAGGGAAAATGTGTGATTTGTGTGGCATGTATTCTCCTATTGCTTCCAAACGCTGTAAGGATACAGCATGTACACACGAATTTGCTGCAAAAATGAAAGATGAAAAATATTGGGATGACATTAGGAACAAGAAGATGACAAATGCAACAGATCAGAGAAAATTGCTTGAATACAGGGTAAGTACATATACGTATAAAACATTTATATACTAAGCCGTATTAAAATAGAGTTTACAAACATGTCTGTTAGAGTTAAAGCAAATATGTTTTATACCTCAACCGCAAGTCTCGTATCTAGTGTAAGTTTCATTTTATGAGGGGTTTTGAAAGATATTTTTTGCCTATTGTCAACTGTTAACGTAATTTATGCCAGGATTATAGTCAGAACTATGATGCAGCTTTATTATCATAATGGTAGACTAATAAATTCAATATTAAATAGTCAATAAGTTTTGAATATGCAAAATAAATTACTTTAAAAGTTTGGGCATTCTATTGTAGTTTAAAACATATAGTAATTTAATTGTAGGAAGTACACCGATTGTTTATCAATTGGAAATAGCCGTTTTCCAATTAAGTAGCCTGTAGGGTAACTTTAAGTGCCTATGACACGAACTTTCACCCCAAATGTTTATGGTTGCATTGTAAAGGTCACTTAAAATTACTTAATAAGTTATTTTGCAGAATTTCAGTAACTTGCTTTTTTCTCAAGATATTTGACTTCGTTATTAGGTATTGAACAAATATCATCGGTGTGACATCACAGTTAACTACCAGTTATTAAATCAATACCTACACTAAGGAAATTTTAAAACTTTTGGACACGTATTCGTCAAGAAAACTACTCTTTTCTGAAAATCATTATGCGATGTGACGTCACATCGGTGATATTTGGATATGAAACAAAATTGAATATCTTGAGAAGGGAGCAAGTTACCAAAATTCCATAAAAGAACTTATTAAGTCATTTTAAGTGATCTTTACAATGCAGTCATAAACATTTAGTGTGAAATTTCATGACATAGGCTCTTTAGGAATATTAAAATTATTTGCAAATAATGAGTAATTATGGGAAGCAGTAATGTAACTTTTTTGAAACGAACATTTTTGAAACTATATAATATTTTGTTTGTGGAAACATGCACCATCGTGGTAAATTTATTACTGCAAAGCTTTTGATCCGTAATAGTGTATTTTTAGTGTAACTGCATTGGTGATTACTGAAAATTCTGCACGCTGATTGGTTGCCGTTCAGGAGCCAGTTGTTCGTACGGCGTTTAGCTTAAACGGTGGTTAAGTTCAAAATAGAAAGCCAGTTTATAGATTCATTGAATAACAAAACTAAAAGTTTTTAATCTTAATAGAACAATATAATAGTTACAACAACATGTTTATTTTATATTTTGACATAGGTAATTGGAACCAAATTGTAGTTCTTATATAGTTATAGGTTAATTTGTAACAATTGTCTGAATTAAACCAGCGTTAGGACGTTAAGGTTAGGACGTTATGTATATGTGGGCAAAAGGGGAACAAAATAAGTGATTTGTTGATTAGTTAATTGCGAATTAAGGGGTGTAGAAATAGAAATAAAAATAACCAGATGGGGTTGATGGAATGTTGTTGGACAACCGCCAACAATGTGGTGTGTTTGAAATGAAATTTTTGTAAAAGGGTTTTGTTTGTGTATGATGGAGTTCCTGAAGAACCTATGTCGTTATGTGTTTAGTAATAGGTTGTGTAGTGTTGTTGGTGCTGTTCAAATCAAAGTTATGTGAGGAAGTAGGTAAAAAGGTAAGACAGAAGACAAGACAGTCAAGCGTGCGAATCAGTATCCCCGTACGCGGCGTTTCATCCTTTTGCGGACTCGTCAGCGGGGAGCAGGGTTGGCTTTGTGTAAAAGAAACATGAAGATAAGAAGTGAGTAAAAGTGGTGTGTATTTATAGGAGAATCATAAAGAATCAAACCTGCGTGAAAGTGTATTCGTAAAAGGTAAAATAATAAAATTACACTGTGTGTCTTACCAAAGTTGTTGTTGAACTTGGATAAACCAACGCGATGAGCCATCTTAAGGTTGTTGTGAAAGCGAGTAGAATATTACAGGAATCGGCTTAAAAATGCTTAACAGCAGAGCTTGTATTCGTTCAAGAAGCTTGATCCAAAAGGGGTCAGGGATTACACATTTGTGCATAAAATGCGTTAGTATGTTACGTCACTGGGATCAGGTGTCAAAGTCTGTGTTGAAGATAGTGGGGGTTTACGTGTCAATAAACAAGGGGGACTGTTTTCTGGTTCATTGTATGAGATTGATTCAATTGTTACAACTAGAACTAAACAATATGTCGAGCTTGTTGGCGCTCTTTCCGTTCCCTATAGGGGTATCACAATGTTCATTTTGTATTTTGACATAGGTAATTGGAACCATATTGTAGTTCTTATATAGTTATAGGTTAATTTGTAACAATTATCTGAATTAAACCAGCTAGAGAAAAAGGTAAGGTCGTTATATGTGTGGGCAAAAGGGGAACATAATAAGTAATTTGTTGAATAGTTAATTGCGAATAAAGATGCGTTAGTATGTTAGGTCACTGGGGTCAGGTGTCAAAGTCATTGTTGGGGATAGTGGAGGTTTACGTGTCAATAAACAAGGGGGACTGTTTTCTGGTTCATTGTATGAGATTGATTCAATTGTTACAACTAGAACTAAACAATATGTCGAGCTTGTTGGCGCTCTCTCCGTTCCCTATAGGGGTATCACAATGTTTATTTTGTATTTTGACATAGGTAATTGGAACCATATTGTAATAGATAATCCCTAATTCTACGTGTGAGGATATGTTGTATAATTAGAGTTCGTATCATCCTCGTTCCCAGGTTGTTCGGGTACTGCGTGTGCCACAGTCTAGTCCCTAGGCCTCATTGCGCTGGTCTTAAAAATCCGCGACGTCACCGAATGAAACACGCGCGAGAGGCCTAGCACACAATGTTAACGGGCCCGTAACCGCCCATTTAATGTTGTCTTTTCTTAAGAATTGTTATGACAAAATAAATGTTTGCAATTTACAACAAGAACCGCTATAGGAAGCAAGAATAATTGAAATTGACGGCTTGCTTTTGAGGGGATTCTACATTAATCAGGAGTTCACTGACGTGTCAGCTTTGATGACATATTGACTGTATCCCTTAGTGAAAGTTAATTCAAATTTAAAAAGTACTCAATTGCAAGTGTCTCTTTCGTTTACGGAAAATGTTTGACCCGTGGCTAGATAATTACACTTACAGGCTAAAGAAATCTATATCTTGTAAAACCTGGATTGAATACGTATAAGCAAGTGAAACTGACTTTATTCAACCAACCTCGTGTCGTCTACTACATTATTATACAATTCATGTCGCACGAAGGTTTCGCATGCTGACGAATTGAGATACATTAGAATTGAGATACTGATACATAAAGTTTACCGCCTATATACGATTAATACTATATGTATATTTGCATATTTCTACAACGCTTATAAACATATTTCTACAAAATACTATAAACCTATTCTTTCGGCTGTAGTTTATTATAGACGCAATAAATACGATAAATATTTTAGTGCCAATGACAATGTTCATTAATTAATCATATATTAAATAATATTCAATAGGGATTATTCTCAATTAATTCCCAAAAGGTTTTCTTCCATTGCCTCAGTTTGGTACAAGGATGAATTCTTAGTGATATTGTAACACATGTTCTCATCCAACATGGCCGCCGGCTGAACGCATCTCCACTTGTAGCCATTCGTTCCCTGACCGCGGATAAATCTGGCATAGATAACCGTTTCATTGAACTTTTTTTCACACCATTCATCTCGCAGATTCTGTACTCGATATTCTGAAGTATAGATTAAAAATAAAAACCAATTTCTACTGAAGTAAACACAGATATAATAAAGGTTAAAACGAGGAAGGTTTAAGTCTTCGATTCTGACGAGAAGGGAATATTTGCAACCATGACACAAACATGCGATTTACAACCAAACTGAGAATAAAATTTCTACTGATACGCAAGTTACTACGGTATATATACGTGGTCTTTTGAAAGGGAGAAAGGCTGGCAAAGAGGTTATATTATTTTTGATGGACGATGGTTATAAGTTCACCACTTAACATATAGTTGCGTTTTTCTTCTTCTCATTTTTTGCTAAACAGTTGTTAAAGTTACTGGAGGTGCATGATCTCTACATATTTGCTACCGTTTCGTAATCCACGTTTATAATATAAAAATATAATAATGACATGCAAGTGTGCACGTGTGTCACATGAATACCTGGAATCTCTGCTTCGGATCCGTTCCGTATAGTCACGCTACCAAACAAATGTTTGGTTCTAAAATCTCTCCATTGGAGAAGATTTCCGTTAACATTGGTGACCCCAGATGTCATTCCTTGAATAACATTGACTGTCAAAAATTGCCTCCAGAGATTCAATCCTGCGAGGCTTCCTTTAAACGCTTGTTTGCTATCAAAACCCCCGCCATGAGAATCCATTTCCTGTCCAAGAACTAAGGTACCGTTGGCAGGTATAATGTGACCTATCGATCCGTTATCACTCGTCCCCAGTTTTTTCCCATCTTGATAAATCTCGTGCAAACCATCCTTGCTTCTCCACTGCAGGCAATAGAAATGCCAAGTATCAGGGGTCAGCACCTCCTCTCTTTTAAAAGGATAAATGATTTTTTAACATATATGATGCAATATAATAAATATATTCAATTCAAGACATAATTTAATTATTCTATTCATAATTCGTTCTACTAACTACTTATAGTATATAGTATATAACAGATGCAGTAATCAATATTATATTAGATAGATAAATAGATGGTTAATTAATGCAAACATTGCAGATAATCGGTTGAATTACGTTCATATTTATAAGAAAAAAATGTGGCTAAAAATTACTTTACATTAAAACTAAGAATGTTCTGATAAGTCTACATTGAATAATTTAATGCATCATGAATGATAAAGGTATTTTTACAACGATTAGTTTGAAATATAACATTATCTATGGCTGGATCTAAAGGTCATAGTTAACAGTTTCTTTAATATGACCATTAGATCCAGCCATAGATTTAATATATTATAGGATTTATTTCACAAACCTCTTATTTACCACCAAATTCGATAATTGAAAGACCAAATCTGATTCACTTGTATGGTAATGCACCGTGATTTCGTCTGCATTATCGTTAGTGGAGTAGGCAAATATGCCAGACGCCAGATTTGTAGCCGGGAATTTCGCCCAAAAACAAAGGGAAAAGACCGATATTTCGTAGGTAAAAGCGTTTTCTATTTTGGCGTAGTTTTCGTCTGAAGCCTGATGAAAAGTCATCTGAAACACAGACTCTGTTCCTTGGAAAAAATCAATAAGCATAGGATAATAACATACAGCAGTCAACTAGCCATTGAAAGATTGGGGAGTTTTCGTATCACCAGCTTTAGCAATGCAAAAACGCCGACAGTGAATTCAAATTGTTTTTACGAGTGTTTGCGACCATGCAATCACGGCTTAATTCCAGTCAATTCGGAGAAAAATATCACATATATGCCGATGGAAGCGTAAGAAAAAACTAGTGTGTTTATCTGAAGCCAAAATCTGTGGACAAAAATGACTCAATTTCGTCCACCGTTGCAGTTCATATCAGTTTACATCGAATGCACCATCCAGCGAGTATCCCATAATGCGTTCAGAGGCATTTCGACCGGAGTGTGACCAACTGCATGGAGCTATAAGCGGTTGAGACTTTGAACGTTTTCTCTAAAACCTATGAGCAAACCACTTAGTCTAATATAATAGGTTACACTTACGAGAATTGTGTAGATCATCCGGCGTTTCTTGGAATTCTATAGAATTATCTTCTTCAACCTTCGACTTTATTCCATACCACGCAAAGACATTACCGTTTTCAAACAATGGTCCTTTGTTTGCCATCAATGATAAAGCATGTCCATCAATTTCATAGTTCCAGATATTGAGTCTACTTTGAGAGCTGTTCTCGTATCCATCTGAAAAATATATAACATGCAGCTAATGATCATACTGATCTATTTTACTCATAATAACAACTGGATTCCCAGGCTGAAGATCCCATCTTACTTAATTGGAGGTAAAGTTGTCTTCCTGCAGGAATGGTGATATTTGTAGCTGCATCATGCATAATGGAGACCAATGAACCATCCAGATATATCTTCCAGTGTCCTGTATCACTCGACCATGTGGTAGCAATATGGTGCCAGTATGCTGGAGATTCATTCCAAAACCATGGAATCCTTGCTTCTCTAGAGGTTGATAATATTGCGTTATGGGGAATAAGTGAAGTCAATATTAAATAACACTCTTAAATCTCCCTTGAAGCAGTCAACTTGAATATTATGCACTGAATATGTAGTTGTAAACAGTATCTTTGTTTTAAGGTTAAAAACATTTAGTTTGTTAGAAGTGTGTGCTGTGCATCTTTGTATTTTCTGAATAAAAATGTCTACAGTAGAAGCAGGAATGCTTTTTTGTGTCTTTAAAACCTTGCCTTTTTTCAGCTCCATCTATTTCCAAGGTGAGACTCTCAGCCGTAAGATAAAATGAGAGCAAGCTGGTTCCTGAAGCGTTTTTGTAGTCAACAAATTTCTGAAGTTCTGCGTTCAGCGTCAGCGACGCGTTCTTCTCGTATTTTACCCACGCTGTAATTGTGAAACCATCGAGTTCTTCTTCATATGTTATGTTATGGACGAACCGATTGTTTTGTGATGGTTTTATCCCAATGTCATACTTTGAGTCTAAAAAGGACCGCAATGTGTTATTTTTAAATTCCTGGGTTTCTGACACGTCATATATCATATATTATATATACCGTAGACACAATAGCAAACAATAGCAACCAGTCGGGCATAAGGCGAATATATGAATATTCCCCCCCCCCAACACGGGTGGACCCAGCATTAGTGCACTAACTATTTCATTACAAAACAAAGTGGTTATTTTTAGCAGTTTTCTTGTGTCATGCAAATTAGTGCATTAGTGCTGGATCCACCCCTGACCCCGAAATTAAGCTTCTAGCGACAGATCTGACTTCTAGTGGTGGTCAACCAGAAATCGAAAATCGGAAATCGAAATGATTTATCATAACTATCGAAACATTTCAGGTTGATCACCACTGAAATGGTTGATTGGATTCCTAATAAAACAGTAATAAGGCCATGCAGGTGTGCTTCGAAGATAAATTGTAGTGTTTAACTACTTTCAAAATTTAGTAGAGTAAGAATAATTCCACTATAGGTCTGTCAGAACAGTACGTTTGAACTTACTTTTTCGAAGCGGCTTACATGAGCTTGGCTGTTCCATGACGACCATGCTGTTACAATTGTCCTTAAGAGAACTCCAGGTAAAGACATTTCCAAGTGCTTCTTTATTCAAACAACTTTGGTTTTTTAGTTTCATTTCGGCAGCATCGGGAGACATAAATCTACTCCATACATTTAACTGGCTCAGTTTGCCGGAGAATCTCTCTGAATTCCCGTCTGAACTTCCCAGTTTCTGACCTACGACAAAAGCACCTCCAGATTTCAATGATACATTCGAGCCAAGGTCATCTCCGCTGTAGACCAATGTACTGTCAAGGAAAATAGTGTAGTTTCCAAGCCGAGACCACGATACTCCCAGGTGATGCCAATAGCCGTCACTGATTGGCAGGACAAAGAAATACCTGAAATTATAGATCAGTGTCTCAGAGAGGTACTATGTATTCTTTGAAATTTGCGGAATATGGTTGATTATGATTGACAGTTGTAAATCATGTCTCACAACTATTCAGTTCCAGAGTTCACCACACAAGTTAATATTTTCGACAAAACAAATGCAATTTTTAATTGAAAATTACTTGAGGTTATTTTATTATGATAGCAGATTCGGGACAATTTTTATGTTCATCAAAACCTCGTGAAATCCTGGAATCATTTTCAGTGATGATCTCAGGTGCATTTATATAAGAAATAAATCATACTTTTCCAATTGTTGAACTTTAAGGTACATCTTTTCCCTTTCAACTGAGAATGCAAATTCTTCGGTACCGTTCACAACGTAGGATAAAACTGTCATTTTGTCAGCCTTCAATGTGTTGATCCAAAACATGAGTGTCATATCAGACATCTCTGGCACGTTGTTGTCCAGCAAAGTAAACTTTTGAACGCTTTCAAAACTCAGATCAAAGTCACCTGGAACTATAGGCAAAAAAAATCATTATGGAATTAATAGGACTGTATTTGGACACTGGCCCCAAACCAGAGACGCCAAGCCTCGGAAACGCCAACGTGAAAGAGATTGCAGGTGTTCATGGGAATGATACACTGCCTCATCCTCTGTAGCTAGACTCACTGAAGTCAACTTGGACTATAGGACTGGGTTCGTCCAAATGAAAACTGCTTGTCTCATTTCTACTTAAATATCTAGATATAGCCTGTATAATGTCAATATGATCATTTTCCAATAAGCTTACCATAATAAAAAATAAATACCTTTGATATTGGCACAGCTGCTTTCATAACTCTGTTAAAAAAAGATGGCCATGCATCTTAATAAAAAACGAAATACATTCGAAACAGGCGACTGTAATGGGACTGCGATTCGAAACAAGGACAAACGACTAAGGAGTATAAAATCACCGCATTTTTAACTCTAAACTAAATTTGTAATTCATTGGGGAGAGTATGATTCCAGACTCCAATAAAGGGTCATTTATACGAGCGATAAAAGTCGCGAACAGTTTGTTTATACGGGACTACGCTTTTAGGGTTGCTTTCCATTGTCGCGTTTTGTTTCCACAGTGGAGAGGAGCCCATGTTGTTAAAATTATACGCAATTGGTCGTGAACAAATGAAGCGTTTATACGACAGTTCGAGACTTATTTAAACCGAGTCTTATTTAAATGGCTTTACTGTGTTTATTTTCCCGAAATAACAGCATGACAACGCCACACAAGCATCTGGCGATGAAGTATCGCACAGAAGTGGTTCAAGATTAACTAACAAACTGTACTATTTCCGTGTGACTTTTTTTTGCCCCATGCAGTTACCAAAAATTTTCTGCCCTGCAGAATTATACATCCATAAAAGAACGTAACTATTTTTACTGATAAAGCTACTATCAGTGAATTTTAATACGAAAACTGCGCATCGAATTTTGGGTCGAACACTTTAAATTAGATAAACTATAGCCCCCTGGGGCCAGTTGTATCAAGCCCGTTTACCTTAAACGGTGGTTAAGTTCAAAATAGAAAGCCGCAAGTCTATCGTTTTATTCAACAAGCAAACTAAATGTTTTTAACCTTAATACAAAGATACTGTTTATAACTACATATTCAGTGCACGATATTCAAGTTGACTCATTCAAGAGGGATGTAAGAGTGTTATTTAATTTTGACTTATCCGCCGTTTAAGCTAAACAGGCTTGATACAACCGGACCCTGGAGAATAAAGTTAAACAGCGAATGTATGATATTGCCACATATACGGACATAGTGTCAACTGCAACTTTTAGCTATCGTAAGACGTAAGCATGGTTCGGGTCAGTTCCCCACTCTGCCCCAATAGTCCTGTCTCTCATCACACAAGCTTGAATTACACTCACTTGAATTACACTCAAACTTAAACTCAGCAAATGCTATATCAGAATCAGAAATGATATTGTAAAGAGCAAAGTAAATGAGAGCAGCAATATACTATTTCATAAAGTATATATTACAGAGTATATATTAAAATTAACATCACAAATTAAACTGTAGTTCCTTTTCATTGGACTTGTAGTCATTAGGGTGCCATGGCAACGAAAGTGGCTTTATTTGAGGTGAAACTTTTATACTCTTTACGCAATATTTCTCAGAAGTCAATAAAATTCGCTGGTCAGTAAGTTAAATAATACTCGATTATAATTTCTCGCCAAAATTGTAATGGGGAGCTTAAAGTTATGCACAATGTCATTGAAATGAACAGTAGTCAGAAACACCTAAGCAAAACAGTGTCAGTGGAGAAAAAATACGTCTCAGAATAAGCTTTAATGCCTTGTTGAAACAACTGGCCTGTTAAAATTGTGACGAAGTATGCAATTTCATACCTGCGAATGCGAGGTAAATCTAAATGAAAATGTCAAAAACATGTAATTTTCTTACCTTTTCGTCTATGTAAAGATGGTCAAACTCTGGGTTACGTATTCTTTCATTAGCGTTAGATGTTTTTGGAAGTGTGGAATTGTTGAGTTCACACAGACCTTTACCAATTCCAGATGTTTTGTAATTTACCGATTCACACGATCCATCATCAACGCAATGCATGGCACATTCTAACTCGTCGTTCGTTTGCTTCGTGTCGATGACATGATTACCCAAGTGCTCTTGTTGAATTTTGCGAAAGAAAGCCTGGCTAGTATTTTGGCATTCACTTGGCTGTGGTGTTTTTACGATTAAAAAAAGCGCGAAGAAGACCAGGATGACAGCCATTGTGAATGACGATATGCTTTTTAGAAAATACGTTCACCGTTTGCTGAGACCCGTTCACACAAAGCACCAGGTGTTGAATGTTGCGTTTATTTAAGGTGTCGCCCAAAAACGTGCAAAGCTAAAGACTATATAAGGTCAAGATCATACACGCAGACAGGGTTGTCTTGTGCAAACAAGTCAATTAAGCCGGGTTTCCATTTAGTTGTGATTGTCGTGAACTATACCTTTTCACCGATGAAAAATAGTCTGGATGTAGATTTTTCTTAATTTTTTTGTATGCAAATCAGTGATTGTTGACTGCGTACACATAGAAATATTCTTTCACATCAGCCACCTTGACAAGTCACGACACTCACGAATAACAACGGCATTAGCGGCGCTGATCTGAGAGAATCTTCATTCATAATTTATTGAAGGGTAAATAAAACTTTATGAACAGAATTGTGACAGGTATTATTATAATTATTATTAATGCAGTATATTGATGATAAACCGCTCGTGTTGAAAATATAATCTGAAAATATAGTCTCGAAAATACTCAGTTATAAGACTTCTCGTCATTTTAATCTATCCATGAGCGTTCACCACGAGGGTAAAAATATATGACTAACTTCAGTTTTTGACGACTGGTAAGCACTTAGCCTTGGGTCTAAAGGTCGAGCGCGACCGCACCCCCAACATTATAGAGAGCTCTATACTATAGTCTCTTTACTGAAACTGAATAGTGTGATGTAAATTCGCGTGAGCTGTCAGCCGGAGAGAGCTGAAAGAGCGCACTGTTGGCAATGTAAATTCATTTCAGCTTAGCGAGCGATAAAGGTGCACTGTTGACTCAACTGAGGCTAAGGGTGCGTGGTGAACTTCATCAGAATATATACTACTTCAGTTTCTGACATTCAGGGAGATCTTTACAAAATATATTTGCCAGGCATTTTTTTTATAATTAAACCACATCTCAGAGCATTAACGGCCGAACTTAGCACTACGAGACCCCCTTAGGTTAAAAGCCATATGATATGCATGAATATTTTAGAAATATATATATGATTAATAATAAGTTGCTTTATTACGTGCATCAATTACGTTTTCACGCGAGATCTGAAAAAGATGAAAGTGACGGCACGGTGTTTAAAGGCAACTTCTGGTGTCGTTTTGGATGTTTTAAAATCGACTCAAACGATGGAGGCGAACCCTGAATGAATGCAGATGACATCGTCAAGGTCCTTAATTTTCGACTTTGAACACATGCATTATTGATGCCGTTAAACTTTCCATCAGAAACTGTCTATATTTAATCTTAAGCAGAAGTGACAGGCAACTTAGTCTTTTAAGCCTGATTGCCATATGACGCCGACGTCGGCAAAGTATTATTGTTGGTGATTATTGATGAGTGAAATCTTTTGTCTTTCTGAAATTATTTTCTCTTTGCATGGATGATTACAGACAGTGAGTCAGCGACGACAGGTCGACGTCATATGGAAACCAGGCTTAATAGTATAAATGCGAGAAGACTATGCCCATGCATGTAGTGACGCAAATTTCCGGCAGCAAATAGCTGCAAAGACGTACTCCGGTATTGTGAAACAAATTTATTGAGTGCATATAAACCTATTTTACATAAACCTACTCAACTGGTAATGTGACATAGAAAAAGTAATGAAGATTGAAAAACGTTTGGTTTAATTTGCTCAAAGCCTCAAACAACGGTCCATACAACGTTGTCTCATACAACTCTCATTAAAAATTGAAGCGATATATTCTGTATTGACCTTTGTATATATAGGGTAGATAAGAATCAGATACGAGTCGATATTATAATATTAAGATTACATGGATTAACTCAATCGCGCCCACTACCGGCTGGTTCTTTTAAGTCAGCAGAATCCATTCAGAGTCCAGTTCCTATAATCATCGTGAACTTTTTGGTACACCACGTGTACACAGAATATTTTGCGCAGATTTCCTGATCGCATGACAATAATATGCCAATTGCATGCTCAAAATAGCCAGCGAAAACCCCGTATCATCAAATTCCTTGCAAACGCTTACACGAGCAAACATCGATACATCGGCGCAGGTCTTGGGCAGTCGTGAACGCGGTGAATTCGCCACAGATATATATGGACAGAACCAGAATCGGCCCTTCTGCAATGACTTTTATAAATCGAGGCTACAGCGACGACAATATAAATGGAGTCGAAATGAGAACGGAGCAACAACGGCTGGGTCGACCAAGACTTGGCAACGATGACCAAACGTGTTGCGAAGCTCAATCAAGGGCAATTTCACACAACATTCGTCACATTTCCGAGGAAAGAAACCAGAGGTCGTCGGATCGTCGCGTTCCCTGCGAAACAAGTAACGCTAAACAAACTAGATATTGTAACTGCTGCATTATTTCCCTCACTATCGTCATATTGGTCGCTCCACTTGGAATATCAGCTTACGTATTTTGGAGACAAAACTCAATAATTAACTCGAAGTGCCCGGACCATTTAGTTGGTAAGTGAATTTGCTTCGCATTTGTGCGCGGCTTCAAATATCCGGGGAAGCTTGAAGGACTCGGGGACTTTAGAACACATTTACTCGCAAAAACGCCAAAGGGGATTAAAGCGCGCAGAGCAACAAAACGTGCGCAGGTTATGCAATTGGAAACTTCATCGAAAATTCGAATAGTTTCGGCTTGTAACAGACAATCATAATTTTCAAAAGAAAATTCGTTAGTTCGCATGTATTCTGCTGATGTTTTAGTGTCTAAAAAGATAAAATTTTTCCACTGGACTGTGGCTTTGTTTAACAGCTGATGAAATTTAAATGGAGCAAATTGCGTCTGGTAATATATAAGATATTAATTTATATATAGCCAAACAAAATGTTGTTCCAAGTTACAACAGCGATGTTTTAGGGATATTAACTCAATCTGCTGCGTGAAATTTCACAATCTCCTGCACGAAGTTTGATATATCTACGAGATAATAAAATTATGAGAAAAAAAACACACGAGAAACGTCCGTCTTCAGATACAAAGCTTTGGAGTGAATTGCTCAAGCATTCATAATTGGGAACATGCCACGATCATGCACATACGGAAATCCATTTATTTCTAGAGTTAATCTGCTCGAGGTAGCGATTTTACATAATGCTACGGTATATTTAATCGCAGATCTATCCAGCTTTAAAGTCGCTGACGCACCACTAATGCTTAGATTTCTGTTTGTGATACCCTCCATGGCCTTTCGCCCTATTGTTCTGCTCAGTAATTTGACTAATTTCTATCGAAAGCGCATTATCAAAGCTTTTTCGAGTCTCATGGATGCAAGTGTGAGTGTGTGACGAAGACCCAAACTATCAATTTCGAATACGTTTTTGCTTTGTCTGCAGTGTTTTCAACGAATTCACGCTCAAGTTGAAAGAAATTGCTCAAACTTTGAAACTCGGTTTAACTGCTAAACATCACTATAGGGAGATTAGAAATGTGCGAGACATACTGCACATTATTGATGCTATTGAACAGTTTTTTATACAGATGTGTTGATTGTGTTCCTTCACATACAAATTTATAGGATTTGCATGTGGGAATAGAGATTTCAGCAGGCTGAATTGTTCAACAAACAACATGATAGTCGCCACGTTCATTGCAAACATTTTGCGCAATCTACACCAAGTAATATAAACAATACTTCTCAAGTGACCAAAGTAAGTGTTATTGTTTGCTTAACTGGGTAAAAAACGACACATAGCGTGTTTAAATGGGACGTTGCATATATATAGTGCATGTGTTTTGTAAAAAAGTGTCTTCCATTGGGCCCTGGTTTTACTAATTTACTCCGCTCCCTTGTACAAATACTTAGTTTATTTCAGCACAATGCAGTTACCTCATTTCTATAGATTAGCAGCCATATTGTTCTGTGTTAAACCGGTTTTTCTGGTTTTTTAAACCAGTTTGATGGATACCGTCCATGCATAAGAGCTTGTTGAAAAAAAAATAGAAATAAATATATCATGGTATATATCTGTCCGCTTACTGACGGCCTTATATGGCTTACGAAATAACGCACTTGAAATGAAAAAACTGAAGTTTCGATTTTCTGCATTTTAAAAAGCATGCATGAGATGCAATCTTTATCCGGATTTCAAATTGCTAAAAGTATTTTGAACGAATAGAATACTGTATATAAGTGCTTGATTCGGTAGAAATATCCGAGAAACAACGTAATGTAATTCAGCCGGATCGTAAAGGGGAATTCGTATGAAAGACTTCTCGTCCAAGACGTCAACAAGGAATTTCAATGTAGGCGGAATTGAGACCGAAAATCTCTGCTGACAGAATTAGTTACGCTTTATTGCGTAAGGCGACGATGTCTGTCATGTTCAGGAATTTTGTTATTCTTCACGTGCTTGTTTTTTAAGGTGATTTTGATCAGTCAGTGATTTTCCATTGAACAAATAAGCAATTGTTTCCTTGTTTATAAAACGTTGCTTATAGAGTCAGGCCAACGGCAAAATGCAGAAAACGTTCCAAAATCCGCAAATGCGTCACTTTAACTCTTATCTCAAATTTATCACATAATCTCCCGGCCTATAAGTTTTCGAATGGCAATAACATATTCATAATTACATTTTAAATTCTTATAGTTAATTTTAAGGCATAAGACATTCCCCGCCTAGCTAATGCCCTATTAATGTCCTTGATCTCAGCATTTGTATACGTGGGCGTCTGGAGTTTGCACATTCCTGACTTGTTTACTTCAAAAACCAATTTTTCGGAAGAGATCCATATAACTAACTTGAAACAATGAGCGTAAGTTATTATTACGATGATTCCTGAAACCGTGACAAGTAATGAAAGCTAAGCCATATGCACCTCTTTTCAGAGAAGACGTGTATCGTTGCATGTTTCATCACTTTGGGCATATGAATTTTCGACAATTAAATACCAAAAGCTTGACTCGTACATGAGCTGGTAAGGCCCAACCGAGTTGGCCAAATATGACGATGCGAATAGTATTGCTGTTTATAAGATACAGTCAGAACTTTTATCTTATATGCATTTGCAAACTTTCATCAAATTCCTATCACAAAGTCTCGCTGTATTAAAATATGTTTTCACCGCTCACCCTGTATGTGCTGATATACCATAAGTAGTTCAGCCAATCAGTGCATGGCTATGTTATATTAATAAAGTTCCAATATATTTTAAAGTCAACTATTACTCTTTGTCTAATGTTCCAACTATCACTCCGTGTCTGTTATATATTTGAATGTATTACAATGTATTAAGAGGATGTGATTGCATTTATACGGCATCTGTAGGCGCGGCTTGTGACATTGTGGTAAGTCAATGACGCACTTAGTTAAGGTACTTTTGGACTCACTGTCATCAGACGAGGCTAAATAAATAAATCTGTTGTCATTAATGTTTACAAATGCCCTGTAAATGACTAAATCTGAAGAATCCGGGAACCATTATATTATTTTCTGATAGAGAAAACATTTCGCAAACTAGTGAACTGGGACAAAAGGAATCCAAGATTCCTTTGCACAAGTGTAAACTAGGTGTTAGTGGTTATGTGACCCAGTATTAATTTTGTACTGTTTGTCTGTGATATGGTACTCTGTAAAATGGTACAATTAATCTCAGCTGATTATTGGACCAGTGCAATCGTGTTTTATTGTGCGTAAAATGTTAAATGTTTTCAAAAAACAATGTAAATCATTATTGTAACAAAGGAAAGTTTCCGTTCATCCTTTTCGTCCGTCCGCGTCCAGTCATGACCATACCCGCGCTGCCGTATCCGCATTTATTGCAACCATTTTAAATGTTTGCAAACGAATTTCCGCTTGCATCAATCTTGTGATTTCCGGCGTTGTTGACATACAATTTGTATATCAGATTTCGCAAAGAACTCACTAGCTACTCTACAGTCTTTTTGATCCTAAGTTTGTTAATATCTTTACTTTTATATTTGATATTGTTGTTGTTGTCTGCATCATCCAAAAATTTCACATCTCGTATTAAAAATCTTGAAAATATCCACAAATGACATGCCTTTGAAAGCCCTTAAAAAAATACTGAGAAAAATCCAAACTCTTTTTCGATATTCATCCTAAATTCAAAGAGATTTTCACAATCTCATGCCTTGCCCTTGGTAAAGATGGATCTTCTCTTGCACGGAGTGCGATGTGAACTGAATATGTCATATGATATGCCTCACGTTGAAGGAGATCTTCGATGCTTTTTATCTCCCAAAAGCAAACGCTAACAGTTCGTAATTTCATCGGATAGCATGTATGAATGGCATTGTCTCATTGGTCAACGAGACTTGGCGATGCCTATTGTCGTTTTTCACTGGAGGATGATGTTCTTTGTTTTTTGTATGAATATTATTTAACTTTAAAAACTATGAGAACTAGGTTTGAAATAAGTGCTTCACAATTTCTTTTCCAGATCCTTCGATAACTCCGTCAATGCAGCAAGGCCAGTCAAAATACTCCGAATTAAAGAAACTCGTCAAGGAGGTGAAAGAATTGCACAAGAAATATCAAGAATTACAAACTAGGGGAACACAGGTGAGCTTCATATACCCACAGCACACTTTGAAAATTTTCTTCCAGCTGGACAGATTAACATCAACAAAGTTTCAGCCGGAAAGATTAACATCAAGTAGAGCTGTAGAGGGTCTAAAGTCCAGGGTCTAAAGTGCAGGGTCGAAGTCGTTGAATCAACTGGAAGAAATATCAATAAGTTAATTGTTTTCGCACCGCTGACAGTTGGTTGTCGACAAGTATAGAGCAATTTGTTATGTCGGCCCAGTTCTCCATTTCAATTTACATACGGTTGAAATCGAGGTTGAAATTGGTTCAGGCAAGTCCCGCGCATGTACGACAGGACAATATTGTGTCGGCGTCAGATTATTACAGAACAGGACTAGTAGTCTAGTACGGAAGAATAGGCATTCCATTTTCCGTCGGCAAAAATGAACTCGATGTTGAAAGAAAGTGCATGATATTCTATATATGGAGGTAAATTCGAGGTTATGTCATGATGACGCGACCATGCACGTTCTCACGACGTGAAACGACTAATCTGCGGTGATTTTCACTTACGTGTATTTCATATCACGTACACGCACAGAATATTTCAAATGCTTTTGAATTCAGTTATTTGACATCTATAAGTCAATAAATGCATACGAAAATGTGCGAAAAAGTTTTTCCCATTTATCTACATAGTTTTTTTAATGATAACATATGCCTACATATAAGAATTTAGACTATACGTGCCTATGTAAAACGCGAAGGTGGAAAGTCCTACATAAAAAGAACAATGTTGTAAATATGCATAAATTTCATTGAAAACGAATGAAAACAAGGACAATATGTTGCTTGTGTATTTTTGTCTTATTAAATTTCTGTTGTATTTGTTCCCTCTTTAGTCAGGTGGCAATTCACCGGGAGGGAGCATTCGTGACCAGCGAAAAGCAAGACAGGTGAGGGTTGCTTAGAAAATGTTTCAAGTTCACAAAATATGTTCACGCTGTTTCAATGGTCAAATGCTTGTTCTATGTAAAGTTTCCAGCATGTTTGGCGCTCATATACAAACATTAGACAATATAACCATGCTTTGGTTATGATGTCCAATATTTTGAAATGGATAACCACGCTGTTTAATGGTCAAATGCTTGTCCTATGTAAAGTTTCCAGCACGTTTGGCGCTCATACACAAACATTAGACAATATAACCATGCTTTGGTTATGATGTCAAATATTTTGATATGGATAACCACGCTGTTTTAATGGTAAAATGCTTGTCCTATGTAAAGTTTCCAGCATGTTTGGCGCTCATATACAAACATTAGACAATATAACTATGCTTTGGTTATGATGTCCAACATTTTGACATGGATAACCACACTGTTTTAATGGTCAAATGCTTGTCCTATGTAAAGTTGCAAGCATGTTTCGTGCCCTATACAAACATTAGACAATATAACCACGCTGTTTTAATGGTCAAATACTTGTCGTATGTAAAGTTGATGATGTTAAATATTTTGACATGGATAACCACGCTGTTTTAGTGGTCAAATGCTTGTCCTATGTAAAGTTTCCAGCATGTTTGGCGCTCATATACAAACATTAGATAATATAACCATGCTTTGGCTATGTTGTCCAATATTTTGACATGGATAACCACGCTGTTGTAATGGTCAAATGCTTGTCCTATGTAAAGTTTCCAGCATGTTTGGCGCTCATATACAAACATTAAACAATATAACCATGCTTTGGTTATTATGTCAAATATTTTGACATGGATAACCACGCTGTTTTAATGGTCAAATGCTTGTCCTATGTAAAGTTTCCAGCATGTTTAGCGTTCATAACAAACATTAAACAATATAACCATGCTTTGGTTATGATGTCAGATTTTTTGAAATGGATAACCACGCTGTTTCAATGGTCAAATACTTGTCGTATGTAAAGTTGATGATGTTAAATATTTTGACATGGATAACCACGCTAGTTAAATGGTCTAATTCTATGTAAATTTCCAGCCTGTTTTGGCGCTCATATACAAATATTACAGAGGTTAAAAATCCTTAGGAAAAGAATGTAAGTTCAAGTCGCAAAAGGGGGGGGAGAAGTGAAGGGAGCCGGGGGGGTTTCATAAATTTTAGTCGCCGGATATTATAAGCTATAAAAAGAAAATTGAAAGGTGAAACATTTCAGAATATATAGGCATTTTAAGTGTGTTGGTGACTTTACTGAAGAAAACCTATATTGATACAGTTGCAACATACAATACAATATATTAAAAATATATATTTACACAATATTTTTCTCTACATTGAAGTTGAGTTTTTCGTTTCTGATTATGTCCATGTAAGAATGATATAAGAATCTTTGTGCCTGTATATTTACGTGTGCAAACATTTTTAACATGTCACTATTTTGATTTCATTCTAGAACTGCAGTAGCCGAGCCAATCGCCAATACGATAAATCAATAGAAGACCTAAAAATACGTTTAACCGATAAAGTAAGTGGTAACAATATAATTTCTATTAATTATCAATTATTGGACGAGGTCGAGCAAAATATCGTGCATCGGCAAATAATTGATCTGCTCGCCACCGACAAATCACGATATTTTGCGAGAACCGAGTTCAATAATTGTTTTATCATTCACCACTCAATTTTCAATTCATTCACCACTCAATTTTCAATTTTGAGTTCGTTTTATCGGACAGTTCGGCAAAGCGAGTTGCCATTGTTTATAAAATTGACATTAATGCGCATGCTCAGAGTATTATTTGCAGCTGAGTATTATTTGCACGCAGTTAACTGCAGGTAAATTAACCAATCAAAATTGAGAATACTATAAAGTGAATGATAATACATGTTATACGTGCATGCATAGTTAATAGAATATGCATGGTTTGGAGACAACATAAAACTACAATACAACTCATTAACTATGTTGAGGTAGATTCATGCAAAAAAATTGTTCCTTTCTCATCACATGTCTATTGTATTTTGCACAGATAAACCAATAGCAATCTTATAATTAACATATTTTTCAAGTCAAGGTTGATGAGCTTAGCAAGACGAATGCCATTGGTAAATTTGGCTAAAATACATGCAATAGACAAGTGATGAGAAAGCAACCATTTTTTGCAAAAACCTGGACAATAACATAGTTAAGGAGTTGAATTGTACTTTTATTTAGTCTCCAAAATTCCAAACCATGTATATTTTATTAATTGTGGTGCATTGGTTTTTTTGTTATGGGCTGTTTACATGCATGAGCCCGGTTAGCCGAGATTCTACGAAACACGAGATGACTTTGAGGTATTGAAAAGAGCACATAACTTGATCCTGGCAGTGATGTTATCACCCCGACAATAGCATGTGCTTGTTTGATGTCATATAAAGGACTTATTTCAATACCTCAAAATCATCTCACGCTTCGTTGAATCTCGGGTAACCAGGATCATGTAAACAGCCCCTTAGTCCTGAGTTGCTCTATATATAATATAAGGGCAAGTGTATCCAGAATATTTCAAAATAATTTGTTTTATAGGCGGACAACATTCAAAGGTTGTGCAAGAGCAAGATCGCAAAACTCAACAGACGGGTATAGTGACTTTTTTAGTGTATCTCTTTTTATACGCCAATTGACTTTGCGCATTGACTTTATTGCATGCTCTAGCTTTTCCTAGAATCTAGAATTTGTCCTATTTATACGCTGCAAAAAAGGTTAAAAAACGAGCCAATACAATAAGGTTAATGCAATAAGAGGTCTTGGTTAAATAAAATCAACACGAATTCTTGGCTCGGCTTGTAAGCAGAAAAAAAGTTGTTCCAAATAATTTATGTTATGTACACGTTTCAGATTGTCACTCTCCAGGCTGGGCTACAGGAAGAGACGAACGTATGCAAATTCAAAATAGAAAACAGCACTGTAGTAGATGAAGTTAAAGGCAGGCAAAAAGTGCAGCTGAATGAAGAAAAAGTAAGTCTAAATAAATCCTGTTTGGCTATTTTCTCTCAACGCTGAGAAATTTTATTCAAAAATATAGTTTAATTGGCAATATATTTGCAACTGCCTATTCTGTTATTGAACTTCCACTTTACTTTAACCCACCTCGAAAAAAGCAGGAAAAATTCCCTCTGCGCTTTTCTGCAACTTTGCACCCTACGAAGGACCCTGTGTACGAGGTTGCTTTGCACATTTGGGACCCCCTTAGGTGTCTACATAGTCATAATGAATCAATACAGCATTCAGCACAGCGACCCAGGTGTGGGCATTAATTTATTTCTCTTTTGTGAACTAAAGAAACGAATAATATTTGTGGACTGAATTTTTGCGCACGTTCGATATGTTTTACTGTAACGCTCTGTGCAGAAATTACGCTGGCATTTTCAGCAAAATATATCATCAAAATTAGTGTTTATGAAACAAAATTAACGTTTATGAAATGCGCTTCAATTGTTGGGATCAATACAACGCATCCTGGATCATGTTATCGACTTATCTCAATGCCTCAAAGTTATGCTTTCGGTTTAATCTCTGAACTCTGCGATCATTTAAGCAGGCTTTGGCAATGTTGACGTATTCTGTTTTTAGAATTCTGCGTCTCATTTCGTCGGCGTAACGTGTTGCAGCGATTATAATGCCGCGAATGTCACCAATTCGATTTTGGAAGTGAACGAAACGCTTACCAACATCACATACGCTTGTTATTGTGCGAGGAGGCAGAGATGTAGTGTTTGTTATTGGTATTGTAGCGAGAGTTCAACGCAATATCGAGGCTAACAAAAATCGTTCGCCGCGTGCGTGGTGATTGCAGGCTCAACCCTCGTACACCGGATTTCAAAAACATGCCGAAGTGAATGACGACGATGTCGATGAAAGATGAAAAAACAGCCGTGCAACGACAATGTTTGAGACTTATTCAAACACGAACCTTTGGAAGCCTATGGGTAATATGTCGTATGGTAAAACCCGCGCAAATGATTACATATCAGGGACATTAATAGCGTTTTAAGGGACAAAAAGAGTCTTATAAAACATATTTCCAAAAGTTTTGACTACTTATACGTGAGAAGAATTTGTTTCTCTACTCGCTATTTCCTGTTTCTGCATGTACGCGGTTATTACTGTATGGTGTAGTCTGCCTGGGTTTTGAGTCATGACGGGAGCAAGATTCATTTGAGTCAAGACTCCATAATCTAGATGAACAAAGACAGAATATTTGTAATTAATTTTGCAAATATGTAAGGAAAGTACTGAATATATTCAGTAGTTCTTTGAGTAAAATTTCAAGCTCTGTAAGACAATGTTAATTAAGTTCAATCAATGTTAAACTGTTCAAGAAACTTCCTAAAACGCCCGACCGGAACAGGGGGAAGTTCTTTGCCCTCACATTTCTAAACAGCACAATCATTATGCTTATGAAAGTAAATCGAAATCGAAATCGTAAATCAAAATTACACGACAAGATTTAACTTACACCTCCTTAACAACAAGCTTCATGTCGTCCCTGATTAGTGAATAAATACTTAATTTAACTAAACGTGCGTGGGCAAGAGGTATATTGAATACCTGCTGGAATTAACAAAAAGCGGAAAGTTTCGCGAGGGAGTGTTCTTTGCCGGGAAGTGGATTTCTAAGATTTCTTTACTGTATTTTTCGCTCTCGAGCTAACAAAATGATGAAAAAACTTGGTTGACGATTTGTCATAAGACGTCAATGAAGTTCTAGAAAACACAGGACGATTCAAGGTTGATTCTTACACAGCCTCGCATGTGTGTGCACGAATGTGACTGGCGTTCCACACGTATACTGTAATAATCTTTTTTTATTGAAAATTCTGGTTTCTGATTGGTCTAGCGACCTAAGCTAAATTTTCAAAATGGCGGCGAGTTGTTGCGGCTTTAGTCAGAGTGACAAATGAAGAAATCGGAAATTTTAAAGAAAATGCTGAACCTAAGACGACAAAATAAGAAAGAAAGTATTTCCTAAAATTATTTTGAGGTGAAAAACTACGTTGTGGAACGAATTTTATTTCCTTTGAAATATCGTCTTTTTCAAATCGACGTGAAATTATCGAGGGATTTCTTCACGTTTGTAAAATATGTATATTCCACAACAGTCTGTTTTTTTCGAGCAATAATCACCTGTGTAATTATACTAAAAACCTTTGTGATACCCTGAATAGAAATTCATCTCACCCACGGCGAATAATTACTTAGGTATTTTGAGAAATAAAAGACTTGTCGTGTTCGTACGATTTCAGTCTTGTAGAACAATTCGGATTATATAGAATCGCATGAAATCTAAATATATGTTGAGCACTTTATCCTAAAGCACATATAGCTCTCAACTTGCAAATAAGTAAACATACTTTAAACTTAAGTCATTACCGCGGGGTTATTACGTAGCAATAATTTCATCAAACCAGCTTCCCATCAAGGCATACGTTGCTAGCTTAGAGGTTAAAATTAAAACGGTTCCAAGGAACTAAATATGATAAAAAGGCTTCGGAATGATTTCTCGAACCGCTCCCAAATTAGGCCTTATTAAAAACCGTGAATTGAATCGCTCGCAAAGCGACACAATCAAATGGGAGACACAAACTGCTGTGTTTAATTCAAATTCTTATTCAAATTTTGTCGCAATTAACAATTGTGATTGCAACATTCTAGTCCACAACAGGAAGAAAGGGGGTAGAAAGAGCCTTAGAGTCGGTGACAATAACCGATAGGCGGTAGTGACTGGGATTAGGCAAAGTATACACATCAATAAACCCAATATCCAATACATTTGGCATGACAACTAACGAGAAGAAATCTGTCTCTGAAGACAGCAACATGACGGACTACGCTAATCTGGCGTTCAACCCGTACGCTATAAGCACGGATGATTTGACTGAGATTAGTAAGGTTAGTGGTGGTGGTTCACTAACGAAAAACGGTGGCAAGCCAATGGTGAACGGTGGATTTCAACCAGAACCGTTTGTCGAAAGCAACCCGCATTACGAGGACACCGCCGAAGTGGCGAAGAAGGCTGGCCTCACGCCCAGCACTGGCCGTAGAAAGAAGGAGAATATCGTCTACGAAGCCGCTGGATACAAGAAAAAAGCACCAAGCAAGAAGCAGCCCGAACGAGCAAGTCGAATACCTACTTCGAATTTGCCAGCTCGCCCAATCGAAGATTGGAGAGGCATCTCGACGAATACGGCTTACGGCGCTTGGAAACTGCCGTTTTTCATACTATGTCTTTTGGTTCTTATCGGTATGATTGGAGCAGCATTTGGGGTTTTGGCCTATTTTGACGAGAAGGAATGTTCGTGCAGTACTTCCCCGCACACAGAGGCACAGCGCGATCCACAAGGTAAGAAAGTAGCTACGTAGCATATAATAACATTCGATTCCACCACAACAGCACAATTAGTTCCTGAATACAATTAAGTTGAATTTCTGTGCTGCAGCTAGTGTGTAGATAAATTATGGGGGTATATAAAGTGCGCAGTTGCAGATAGTCATTACTATAGCGACAGAATATATGCTTCGATAAGGCGACAGAATCGTCTTTCGTGATTATTTCTGAGCATCGATCAGTGCCATTCTCAACTTTCCTCACGAATCGTTGGAAATGATTTGTCAAAATTAACAGTGTTGTTCATATTAGCATCGATCAAATGACTTGTTCCGTGTTGTGCTGCTGTATGTAACAATTCTGTGAGGTCATTTGAAATAACTCGGCTAACAATATAAGGCACAGCCATGCATATATACATACATATATCATGATTATCATCATCAATGGAAATCGTCACGAATTTCACGACTTCGACCGTCAAAGGCGCTATCGATCACAATAATCACATCAGTGGTGTTGATAAATGATTACAAATGTACAAACATGCGGAATGGAGTAAAAAACACCGCCGAATACCCAACTAGGAAAGGATTATGTTTTCTAGCTTTTAAACAAAAATAGCATTAGTGGACAAAAAGCTTTGTAAAGACGGTGCCCAAAATATTCCCCCGTAGTCAGTCTCAAGTGGCAAAGGGCAATAACAATGCTATGGTGCCGTGACTACATCATATACACAATCGTCAATGGTAAAAATGTTTCTAATTTGTACATACGGTGGTTTATAACGTGTCCAAGAACGATTAGGATTTTATCAAATGAGTATAGTGTACTATATATGCTAATATAATTCAGAATTATTGATCGCTACATTAAGTAACAAATTAATCTATACAGTGCCATTACTTAGGATCAATATTTCATATCCATAACTTTACAATGAGATCGAACAGGATTATAACTACCCATTGAAGTTTTGATCTCAAACATGCATGAGGTATGCCTCAGTAAATCACAACATCCAATTGATCTGGACTGGATTATAAAGCGGGAAATAACTTATCACCCCTCGTTAGCTCGCTTAGCTGTTACTGTATAGGTCGATAATTATTTCCACCGACTTTTTTCTATGATTATATTGTATGAGCGCTGCAATACAGCCTTAAATTGTCCTTGACAATGCAGCTTTTGTATGTTCTGAATAATGCTTTCGGTCAAAACAAGAAGACGGCTATCGCGGATGTATAAACACAACTGTTATGTTTATGTGGAAAGCACTTGAAAATTTTTATGAAAATTGACATGCTTGTATGCAGTTGTAATTGATGCCTCATTTCAATGATAAAGTGTACATGAATTTTGAAAGTAAAAGTAAAAGTCAGCATAATTTAGAGTGTATAAGTGTGAATTGAAAGCAAGACTGAAATTTTTGGGTGTCTACGGAGTAGGCAGCCATAGAAATGACCATAAAAGCAGTCATTCGTGCGTTAAATTACTTGTAAGCCTGCCGTATTGTGAGGTATGCAGAGACATTGCCTCGCCTCATAAAAAAAATGGAAATGTTGTCTGAAATTATGATATTAATATCGCTGAAGAAAGAGTTATCGTGTTCCCTGAACGTTTAAACAAGTAAATCAGTTAATTTGTTTGTTTTCATCTCAAGAGATTCGCCGACTGTTTGTTTTAGGATCATAAACTACCGCGGTTGTATTTTATTACGGACTATATATACATGGGAAGAAAAAACCCAATACAAGGGCCACCATGACTAAAACTTGGATGCATATCGATTAAAGTTGCTTGCCTTAATAATATGAGATGGTTCAGTATAATTTTACTATTGTCCTGAGATCATGCGCAGAACAGACATGCTGGAGAATTCGTTTATTGCAGTACTGTGAAGAATCTTGTAGAAATTGACATAGAAAACTCTAAAATTTGTGAAAGACCATCGGAAATCTTTAAAAAATCGTATAGAAATAAAAGTCTATACACTTTTGTTCAGCCTATAAAAATATGTACTTTACTGACTCAATATATGATTATTAAGGTAAATATCGCTGAGTTTTTCGAACGTCATTTGTGATCACGTCGTAGTCTCGTGCTGAAGGGTGGATTATAAACAAACCTACAAGTATATATATGCACTTATTTTCTCCGGTTTTGCAACAATAGAAAACTACACAGGTCTTCAAAAAAACCGATCTAAAGCCACAAGTATATACAGTACATGCAGACGACATGCACGCACAAGTTAATAGCAATGTTTGCGTGGTATCCGCTTCCAAAGCGTTGCTTTCAGATATTCCGTGCCCAAACAAGATTTCCAAATTCTGATTCGTTCGTTCATTTAAAGTTTGATTTATTTGTGAATACAAAGCGATTCAAGACATAATACCGAAAATATTGAACAGGCTTGATGAATAGTTTTTTGTTCAAGGGAAAATGATACAATAAAATATTATACAATTGCTTAATGTTCACTTTCTTTATTTTTTATCCGTGTGTAGCTTCCATTGTTTTAAACTAGAAGGATCTTTTTGTTTTCCAGACTTTGCCAGTCGAAAACGTAAAACGAAATTTTTTTTGTGTTCGGCAAGCTACCTCTTAATCTCTCATTGCCTTTATCGTAATTGAAAACCCTACGAAAAAACCCATCTTCACTCAAGAAACCTCACGTCTATTTTGTGACGTTTTCGATTATTTTGCTACAACATGTCAGAAGCGTCAGAAGCATTCAACCCACAAGAGTGCTATATACGTGCGTTGCCAGGCAACGTGAGTGTTTTCGAATTTGCGTGGGTTACATAAAGACGTCTTGCGGAGTTGGGAATTTCAAATGTTTAGGTGTGGTGGAGATAAGGCGTATTGAATGTTTTGTGGCGTTTTTAAAAATATCTAAACAGTGGGGAGAAACTGTTGTACGAGAAACAGCGTGAAGCCAACTATTGATATAAGTTCTTATGTACCTACGGAGCATAAACTGATTGTTCTTTTTTGTGGATTGTCGATGCTCTTAATTAATTTGGTTGCACTATAACCCCAGTAGACAAAAAAAACCCTTTTTGAAAGGGTTTTATGGCTACACGAGTCAGTTGTTACTGATTTAATTAAATCACTGACTGCATGACTTTAATAATGGTTATAGAACAAATAGAAGTCTATTAATGTTAAATTCAGATTTTGTATCCTGAATGCTGAATGGCTAGTTGTAAGAACTAGAGTGATTTTGATTGACTAATAGAAGGGGGCAATTACAGCTCAAAAGGGTGCGACTAATGATTAATCGCACTCCTCTTAACCAATGAAATTGCAGTATTTGCACCTGATTACAGAAGGTATATAATTAATCCAATAATTGCCCCTTAGACAAGGAATATATTGTTAAATATAAAATCTATAATGATACGGCCGATATCATCTTACCCTAGAGCCATATTCAATTTACTAGTTTTTATGCGCGGTTCCAACATTTTAGAGACGAATCACGGAAAAAGCCTGCATATTATAAATTAATATGTTAAATGATATAATTCTAGTGATTGGAGCTCAAGCAAAGCATTAATATAAAATATGTCATATATATTTAACAGTTATTCTGCGAACTCGAGTCGTATATGAGCTGATATACACAAACTTTGTCGCCCTTTCGGTGCATTTTGGTGTGCTATTATCAACTAGGCTTGGATTTCTATTTCACTCAACTCCCCAAATCTTTCAGCCATTTTGTTTACTTTCTCTACTAGACAGATATGAGCTAATATCTGTCTAGTAGCCAACCAATGAAATTGCAGCATACCTTATATCTGGCGCTTGTGTATATAATAAATATAGTATATAAGTATAGTTACTAAAATATAGGTCAACTCTATATTCCATGCCTTGCAAGTGGAAACTAATTTGCGGTCTCTCTTTGTTTGGTAAAACAGATTCTACAAACACATCTCAACAAATGCAAGAAATTCGTGAGCTCAGAGGAAGCATTCAGGAGTTATTCGGTAAGATTGACGAGATGAATGCCGCACTGCGTCTTCTCGACGCAAAACAAACGGATCAAGAAACAAAGGTTTGTGTTGCTTATCCCAGATGTATGTTGATGTAGCTACGTTGATCGATTATCGCCAGGGATAATTACTCGGGCTACTGTAGACAGAGCGAGTTGAAAAACGGGCTCGGTTTTTCCTTTTGCCGCGCGAGCTCACGAAAATCACGCGTGGGTGGCACGAAGTTTTCAGTGAACGAATCGAAATCGTCCTAGGATCGTTTCTCGCGTGGGTGTCACGAACATGCCATAACAGGCCAAAAATTAGGCGTTACAACTGAGCTCAAGCGTGATAACTGTAGCCCGAGTGAACGCCTGAGGAGGCGTCTTTGTTATATAAAAAAACAATGTTTGATAAATATTAACTGCCAATGGTTGTTCTGTCATGTTTGCTGGTCTGGACCATAAACAACAATGATTATATAATGTAAGCTGTGTTTGCTGTAACTTGGGCAACAAACAACTTTTGCTGTTATTGTTGACCAGGGGCAGGTTGTTCGAAAGGCGTTTAGTTTAAACGGTGGATAAGCCAAAGTTTAAAAATACTCTCATAGATCTTGTGAATGACTGAACCTGCATCTTATGCATTTAATATGTAACAAAAGACTTTTGGTGCGATCGTTAACCACCAGGATAGCCTCGATATTGAACAGTATAGTAACTATAAAAATGATTAATGTGTTCATTTTAGTTGACTCAAACGAAAAGCGCGATGAATACCACATTTAACGAACTGAGAAATGGAATTCAGACTATCAACTCAACGTTTAATCTGAAGGTATCAAATGTATAATTCGTTGTCAAAAAAGTCGTCTATCAACTGTTGTTTCTTTACTGGATAATAATATATTAATATATGAAATAGCGAAAAATTAGGCCTTTAATAGTGAAAAGTTAGGCCTAAAGGTAAAAACTACTTTGTAGCCCAGTTTACACTACACTTAATTTATTGGCACGGCACAGCTAAAATGGTACTCGTGCCCAAATTTATTAGTGTTCAGGCTACCAAAACAAAGGCCGGGCACGGATGAAATGGGCACGGGTACCCATTTTAGCCGTGCCATGCCAATAAATCCAGTGTAGTGTAAACGGGGCTACTATAGAAGGTAGAACGCTTTTCAATTTTATTTTGGGAAAACATGGTTTTATCGCTATAAACTATCCAGATATTTGTTTACGTTTGTTAAACATGTATTTTCTACAACAGATTCGGTTTTTAGTAACTTTACCTTTGTATAATTATACTAAAACAGTTATTGTTAAATAGTTGTTAAATATTGTTAGCCTTAAATATTGTTTGCATGTATGCATGGGGACGAATGTATGATGCATAACTTTGTTGTTAAATCTTTAAGTAAGTTAGTCCATAAACCAACGCTGTTTTTTATAATTTTAGTTAAAAGCCGTCAATCTCAACGTTTCATCCTTAAGTAGCGACGTAAACGAGGTATGTTATTGTAATATAACCCTGGTTATTAAAGCTTTTGTTGTTATAAATGCCATGGGTTACCAAACTTGTAAAAGCAGTCATGTCTCCCTAATTGATTGTTTGCAAATCGATTTACTCTGTTTTGAAATATGTTCGGTCATGCAAGTTCTACTTAATATGACTTATGAGATTAGCAAGTTGAGTAAGATCATATAATGTCGATCGCGAGATGTGAATGTTAATCCGCCTTGACGTTGCAAAACCGACTAATGCAAAATCGAATAATTCACTCACGTTTGTTTTAGTTAAGAAATTTCACTAAAGAGATGGGTCCTCGTGGTTTTAATGGATCGCAGGGTTTACAGGGACCTCGTGGTTACAATGGTTCTATAGGACTTCAGGGGCTACAAGGACAACAAGGGATACAGGGGATCCAAGGAGTTGGAAACTTATCTGCTTGTGTCGTTAAAGAGAAGAGCGCTCAAACTACCTATAAAGATGGGAATGGAGCAATACAGAAGGTTGATGTTGATCATGTGGAAAGACCGGTTTGTACCACACAGAGCACTTCTTGTTTTGCAACTGATTACTGATAAGCCTAGGAAGCATTCTGGCACGCTTATCCTTCCAATTTATGCTGCGATTTTCGGAATTATTTTCTCCTTTGGCTAGATGGATACTAACAAATGGTTAAGAATACTGTAAAAGTGCCTTGATTTAAATACCTATCCTATCCACTCGTTTTTTACTCAGCTTACTTATCCCCTCCCCTTTTTCTACTTTTGATAGATTTGAACGAGTAAATTAGTTATAAATGTTCAAATAGGTTCTCTTGTACATCGGAGCATTCGTAACTAATTACTCATTCATATCCCTCCAATGCAGAAAATCGTATCGAAAATGCAGCAAAAACCCTGTTAAAGGCCAGTTCACACTTGCAAATTTAGATGTGATTTTCTTCTTTTGATAGATGCGAACGAGTAATAAGTTACGTATGCTCTGATACATAAGAACTCTTATTTGAACATCAGTAATTTATTCACTCATTCATAGATGTAAACGAGTGAATTAGTTACTGATGTTCAATTAAAAGTTCTTATACGTCAGAGCATTCGTAACTAATTACTCATTCACATCTATCAAAAGAAGAAAATCACACATAAAATCGCAGCGAGCGATTTAACCATTATTTAAACGAGCTTTTAACCATTTTTTAGGGCTGGAAAGTGATTTCGGCTGTTTGTTCGACGGAAAAACACGCTGGAGCTCTTCATACAGTCCTTTCAAGAGAGAACAATAAATACATTTGCACTTGTGCAGGACCGTCAACATATTCAGAATTTGAACCAACTATTATTGACAAGGATAATAATAAGCATTTACGGTGTGTTATAATTTATTGGGAATGTCCAGTGCACACGTGATAGCAGGAAATTCGTCGAAAATGTATTTTTAAAAATCCTGGCTACGTTCCAGTGCACATGTGGTATAAATACGGGATGTAGGGCTATATGGTTTTTCAAAAGACGGAATGCGTTAAGAATTACTGGTATCACTGAAACTTGAAGACTCAGGCACTAATCATACGACATTTGTTTCGGTGCATGTCAGCTCTCACAGATTTAATTTCCTACGATCACATATTGCTTAATCTCATTATCATGCATAACTTAGGTGAGGAAACCCTAGCTTTAAGCTGTTGAACTCTATGTAGTGATGATGCGAATACGTGATGTCGCGTAACTTTGGCCCTAATTCGTCACATGTCTATATTTTTTCAATCAAGTCTTGCGAAGACACAAATTGGGGCATGCACTGTTTATCGTGGCCTTGCTTTCGAACCTACTCCAACCATGCATTTCCAGGTGATTTAAAAACACATGGCTATAGGGGCCATGCATACATTTGGCACTTGTCAGGGCCTGTTTACATGGCGCGAGTTATCCCGGCTAGGCGAGGTAAAAAGCGCATCACATCAAAGGCTTAACCTGATTAGTCTTTCATAATTTCATTATATGCAGTTTTCACCTCGCCTAGCATGCAGGGATAACTCGCTCTATGTAAACGGGCCCTCAGAAACCCATATTCCAATTGAATATTTTGATATATCACAATCTCATGAAATGTATTTCTCCCGGCTGCTTCCTAACTCAAAGTAGTGCCTGCCCTATCTGATTCTTCCTTTACCGGGTGAGCTTAAATTGCTTTCAAGACGATATACAGGCCGTCATGCGAAAGACATGCAATAGACACGTGACGAACGAGAGGCAAGCATGTACATCAACATCAGCAAGCATGGACCCCCATGAGCCAGTTGTTTGGATGCTGGATAGCGCTATCTGTTGGATGGTAGCAAAATATTTCAACATTTCGATCTAAGTCGAGAAAATCTACAATCGATTCTTATCTAATATATAACACACACGTTCATTACAAGTCTTTAGGAAGGCTTTTGAAAAATCAAAATCCAATGGCAATTAATCATTGCGCTACCCAATTTAAACAACTGATTCTAGGCTAAGTTTAACTTCTGTATACCAAAACAAAGGTTAATCTGTAAATACTCATTGTGAAAATAAAAATTTTTGACGAATATACAAATTTTGATCTGTATATTTCGACTCAAATCTGAATCATCTTCAGCGGAAAATTTTACAAAATTTTATAAAATTTTCTGCTGAAGATGATTTAGATTTGGATCGAGATATACAGATTAAAATTTATTTGTGTATTTGTCAAAATGTATTTACACAAATAATGAGTATTTTCGGAATAACCTTTGTATTTATATTTGCTGAAATTATCAGCTGGAAATAGATTTATCTTCTATCAACGGGTTGATTTGCACATGGTTTAATGACAGACAGACGTATTCACGTATAGACTACAGACCAGTTCATCGACGCGCCTGGCTAGAAAATTGTAACAGCCAAAAGTACAACCAAATGTGTACATATACATGAATGTTAATGGCAAAAAAAAACTCATCAAATGTTTTAAACATGAGGTACTTGAGCTGTCATGTTCTAAGAGCAATGCTGTCTCAATTCTGTCATCCATCATAACTAGAGCACAAGATTTCTGTTGCTGAGCTGGCCTTTCTGTTTGTTTCCGATCGCTCAGGAAACGATCAAAATTAATTAATTTAATTTATTAACAGCTTAGAAACACTTGTATATAATAACAAAAAATAGTAGAATTAACGTCAAAAGCCACGGTTTCTGGTTTTTCCGCATGCTTTCGTTAGAATACCACATATATGTTGAAGAATAAGACTCCACCATATTGCTATTAAAGATTTGGGAATCCTTCACAATGTAAATTTGTATAATTTATATATATATATATATAACTTCAAAACTAACTATAAAAACGTGTAATTTAACTTATAAATTTTCAGAATATCGACAATGATCTACCTATAAATGTCTGATATCTACTCAGTTGATTCAGAAATTTCTTCCTATATACGTATATAACATAAGGTGATGCAATTAACCATTGCCCAATCGGGCTGGGTTTAGTCCCGAACCGCAAAGCATCTATGTATCTCTGGACTGTTTGGAGGGACAGGAAAATGTAAGTCTAAATTCATTTGTCCCTCCAAACAGTCCATAGATGCTTAGCAGTTTGCGACTAGACCCAGTACCCTACTCGATTGGGAAAAGGCTAATTAGTATTTCCATGTACAGCATCAACTTAAAACATCAGTCATCAATGGAACATATACAGATCAGTGCAATTGGAAGTTTGATGCATGCTGGGAATGACGTCGATGTAAAATTGATGCCTTAATTATTCACAACCACGCACCCGTTGAAACTGAGATGATTATAATTTGCGTTTCAATAACTCGCTCAAGCCCCTTTAGAGAACCAAATTTTCTTCGAAGCACTTGTGAAAAATTATATGTGAAAAATTATATGTGAAAAACTAGATGTGAAAAATTATATTATTGATTAAAATAAGTATTTCATTAGAATTTAGTATTTTTATACAAAAAATTTCATTCGAGTGTTTATTTCAATGCATTTGCCGTGAAAAATTTCTCACAAATTTCCCACTCACAGGAGTAATAGGTTTGTTGCACAAAGTTTTCGAAAACATTTTGGCCTGCGTGAAATGCCGTGAATTCACTCCTCTGTAATGAAATTAGAGTGGCAGAGTAAGGTCAAGGCCGCGGCCCTTGCGCAGGCTGCTGACGAGAGCGAATGACGTGCAGCTTACAAACATCAAGGTAATGTGAGTACCACACATACATAACGCCTTCATTCAAAGAGTGTCATCTAAAGCGAACGCAACTGACGCACGACCCTTGTCGTAGTATAAAAGACTAAAATACTCAAATATATATCCAGTATAAGACGAAGCCGGTATGCCGAAAACTGGTAGCAACCCGGTGTATGAGATGGACGTGGATGAAGTCGTGAGCGTACCAGATTGTACGAACATGAAGAATCCAACACATGAGACAAACCATACGTATTCAAATCACAATCTGAATGGAAAGACTGAACCTGTTTATGAATCGCCAATGAGTTTGAGTGTAGCCGCTGCGACGCTATCGCGGGAAAACTCCGAAAACCAAGGACGGCGAATGAGAATCAACCATGTTTATGAAGAAAGCAAAGACGGAACGTTGCCGAAAGGGCAAAACAACGATTACGCTTACGTATCTAACAGGGACTGCCTTGTGGCTCGTTCGTCTTCGGTTCTCGCGTACGACAATCCCGTTAGCAGCGATACGCACAACAGGGACAAGGGACACGAGTACGAGGAAAGTAATCTCAAAAATGCGCGCTTCAGCCAGAACGTGGTGTACGAACCACAGAAACAGCATCCCATAAAGATCGAAGGCGTACGGAATACGGGAGAAGGGAAGCCAAAGACAAACCGGATGAATCGGGTTCAGTTATTTACTTTGCTTTTGAGCATATTAGCTTGTGTTCTTGGCGTAGTGGCGCTCCTCGTGGCTTCCAGCGTAGTACGGATTAACAGTAAGTTTGTACGTTTTTGTATGCTACGTTTGTGTACATTTCAACTATGATACCGTAATTGACAAATGAATTGCACAGGAACGTACAAGGGGAGTAGTTATATAAGTTAGTCCTAATGCACATTAATCTCAAACAACGAACAAACAGCGCTTCGTTTCATAAAATCGGTTAAGGAAAATTCATTGCCACGAGATGAATGTTTTTATTCATATGGCATGAGTAAAGTTGTCATACCTTGCACGACGTTGTTCTTTGAAGAGGTACGGAGTGGACAAAACTCAACTTGTTCACGAAAGCGCGCTGATACTTGGCTAAAATGAAAGAGAAAACGGATTATACTAATACTGTTGGTTTCAGAGAAGTACTTAAACTCTTTTAAACCACCAACTTCGCAGTTAAATGGTAGTTTAACTCTGATTTTAATTGGTTGACAGTCTCACAAATCAAACGATGACGGCCCCAGGACGATAAAACCTGCTGCTCAATAAAATATTCGTTTAAACAACCAGCGAAAGCCCACTGTTTATATCCTTCTTCACAATCGCGCCATTATGCATAAGGAATCTTTGATAAGAGACGCATTCCAGTTGCTTTTGAACGCATGCCCAATAAAGTCACTCAAACCGCGTGAAATGTTTCTTGAACAAACACTGCACGAGGCGTACAATAATTTGTTTTACTCATCTGTTCTCGTGTGTGTTTGTTAATGTACGATTCTAACTATATTTTCACAGATATACAAAATTCATAGCAAAACAACGCAAAAAATATACAACAGCGCTTGCAAAGTCGAGTTACGTTATTATCGGTCATGAACACCATTGAAATTAATCAGACTTCACGATAAATATCTTTTAATGAGTGTTCTAAAATAGGAAGGAGTTTAATACCGTTATTTTTATGTGTTAACGTCTGCCAAAACTTGCCGCAAAAGCCTGATCAAAAGAACGCACTCTGACTCAGGCAACAGGATTAAGCAACGCTAGCTTCTTGTAATTCGGATATTTTGGTTGGCCTGGCTACAGGCTTAGAGGTAAATGGATTATTTTATACAAAAAATTATATAACACTGTTAACGTATTAGCTTGTTGAATCATGTGCGTTTGCGTGAATAAAAAACGCCAACGCAAAATGCTTTGCTTTACAGAAAGAGGTTTGACGTTTGATTCGTTCGTATTTTCACGAGGGGTATGCAAATGGCCGCTAATGCCACTTCATAATAGACAGTTTTGAAATCTCTGTAATTCGCTGCACGTACATTTGGGCAAATAAAGCGAAGTGCCAATGATATGAATCTACATAATCCTCACGAAATATATACATCACACATCTAACTCTCCTTCGTATGGTTTTAAACATTTTTCGTACGTTTTAAGTGCCTATTTTTATTACGAAATCTAGCCATCATGCACTGCGAGCTTCTTCGTGGTCCATTTACCAACAATATATCACTGCAAAGCATCATGGTTGACAGTCGTTGTTAAACTTTTACCAAACGGTTAAACCACGGCATGCATAAATTGAGCGTTTAAAATATTTTTCTTGGAAAGAACCTCAGGTGGTTGCTATTAGTCACCATGGAAACGTTAAACAAAGTTTAGTACAGTTAATAAAAAATACAAGGTTTTTTTATTGATCGAATTAATTTGCATTGGAACTGTTTAAATCATTCGCTATATCGTTGGTCAAAGTACGAAAATTCGTACCAGTGTACCAGTGCGACTATTATTGTACAAATTCTAGAAACTCTATCAAAGGTCAGTCAAGGATGTCGTTAATTCGATAAAAATTAATTTTCATTAGTTCGGGAAACTCTTTTTTTTATCATTCATTAAAACCAGATGTTCAGTATATCGACCTTGACACCAACGTGAATTTGCAATGAAATAACAGATTAATCCTAGTTACTTAACCAATGTTATTATAGATAAATAAAACGTGTTCCTTGTAACAAGGGTACTGTTTAAACAAATTTGACAGAAGAAGCGACGTTTTCGAGTGGTGGATTTCACACATGAGAAATTGTACACATACGCGGGAATTTATTTCCTCCCCTCTTATCTGATAACCTTGCATTTAACAAGAATTCTTAAAGCCACACGAAATTAACCCTTCCATGCACCTAGGTCTAACATTCTGCTCGTAATTAACACAGCAGTTGAATCTGTAGAAAGTCGAAACATTTAACAAGATCTCGGCGCGGAGCCAAATTTGGCAAAACATGAATATCGTAATTAAACACATGTGAAAAAGGAAGTTCCTAAAAGGCGACTCCATGATCTATATGTTCCGTTTCAACATTCGTCAAACAGGTAAGCCAGACGTAAATGTCAAATAGTGTGTTTGCGTTGACACTGCATGGCTAAGCGCGTGATACGAAAAAGGAAATACTTGTCTAAAAAATTGCTGGAAAACCATTATTTAACTTCGCAAAATCTTGATCCACTTACATTATTAAGAAGGTTTCTATACACGTTAGCCTACAAAAAATTTACTTTCGTTAACGAACTTAGAGATTCTGTTGATTTTCGGAGACAAACCGGACAGCTATGTATATTATACATGCAAATATACACCCACAAACACTTCCTTTCCCACGCTTTCCTATTACCTAAGTAGAACCACGAGAAAGATCGCTTGGAATGAATGCAATTAGTATCTTACCAAACAGATCTGATTTCGTAATTCGAATTATCTGCGGTCGCTCTAAGGCAGTCCTGCAGGCAGAAGGCCGGACTATAAATTCTTTCGCTATATTTTCTTTTCCGAATTTTGATCGATTTTAATAGTGGACCTGCTTCGGTCGACGTTTTACAATTCAAAAGAGAATGAAGCGAAAATCTTTGTATCATGGAAAAATTCCGACTCGTGAATGCCAATATAACATGAAGTTTCATATTTCAAGTAACCGTGCAGTGAGAATATGCGCTGGTTTCCACTGTCGTGCGTTATTTTACGCGCAGAAAACCTTCCGCCTAGTTTTTTCAAATATGACATATACAAGGGTTTAGACTTTTACGCGCATGCGTGTACGTGCGTATAAAAAAGGCGACAGTGGAAAGCATTCAGCGCCAGAGCACCGAAACTTTATAATCCGCGGCAATGCAATATTCACACGAGCATCGTTTTCCAGCGTTTTTAAAAAGGTTTTCGCCTCCTCTAGAAACATTCGTGACGTTTTTGTTCAGAATTCAGTTAATCCTAAAAAAAAAAGGTTTATGTTGGAATGGTTAAAACTTCCGTTGTAATGCTGGCTTGTAAGCGAAAAAAAAAGGAGTACTCAAAAACGTTTCAGTGCGCACGTAGCTTTAACTTTAAGCAAACATGAACAAAATGGATTAAACGCACAGTTTCCTTCTATTTACACCTTTGACAAGGCGTATTTTAATGTTTTGATGGAGTTTTGATGCTCTGATCATGACACCCGTACTTTACAACGGAGGAAAGTTAGGTGGAAAAGATAATTACAGTAAGACGTCGAACTTTTCATGTGCCTTTGTTAAAGTTCATTTGCATTCGATTCGGCACATGAAACGGACCTTTGGGATAAACGTAAGCTCGTATAGCAACAATGATGACTGATGCATGGTCGTATGGCAAAAACTGTTTACATTGATTTCATTTGATAAGAAATTGAAGACGCCAAACTTTCCGTTGGGAGGATTTGGGAAAATGTCTCCCCCAATGCAACACGACCAAATTTGGCAAGATTGCAAAGGCGCGAGATCAGGGATGAAAAAATGAAGCTGCGCAAAAGACTTTTGAGCACCTGAGCCACTTGAGTATATCGGAGATTTGCTCGAAAAGCAATGAGATTTACGTGAATTTATCTGCGCTATACGTAACTAAGGAAGATAAGAGAATCCCCCACAAATATATAATCACAAAATCTATGTAATTATGGTTTATAACACACGGTATCCGTATAAAGCATATTTAGCCAAAATAACTTGTTTTCCTGACGATCATGGCCCTTATCTCAACTCACACGATACATTATTTTGACGAAGACATTCTATAGCTATTTACAACTCAAAACAACAAGCGAATAAAAAAGTCTAGACACGTTCGCATACTTGAAAGGTCGCCCAGGCAGCGCGGCGAAAAATGTCGCAACAAATCATAGGAATCAGGATATATAATGCATTAATGTGTGAAAGTCATTCAGTTCAATAAAAAGTTATTCCGAAAAAAATCTGCACATTAAACGATTTCAAAACCATTGATAAAATATCTATACCTTTTATACTTTCCCTAAGAATGGACAGACATTTCGAGAGGTGTGACGTTGTTAGAAGAAAACTTGATTAAGCTACAAGATATCTAGAGTACATGTAATTAAATAAGTGTTAATTGAGTCGATATGTCATGCAAACAGTGGTTGTTTTTTATTGCATTTTACATTGCCTCGGGATACGAGACACGCATGCTGGGATATGCATGTAACGTCTCGTGATTCAGAGCAAGGCTCATGCACAGTTACGATTCATCACCCTATCTGCTTTGTTGTTCTGTGTATATTTCCATAGAAAGCCTCAAATTGCCGGAAAAAACACAAAGAACAAATGTGGAATAGATATAAATTGGGATTTAAAAAATCCCGCCTGTAATTTTACCCATCTTTTGGAGTCAATTAGAATATTTCCTAAAATGGAACTAAATTGAACAAGGCATTCAACTTTCATTTGCACTTTAAAGAATTTTTCAATTCGACTGCAAAATTCAAACCATCGCAAATATCTGTATCTCTTCAGACGAGTCGTCTGCTGTTGATGTAATTATACTTACTTACATCACAGGAGGGGATCGAAGTCGTTTATGCAATTTTTATGGGAGCTCGCGTTCAGCTACGGACGTGGAACATTTAAGAGAAATAACTAGTGTAAAAGAAAATGGGCTCGAAATATGCTTTAATTCCCTGTTTTTTGCGCTCGAGAGAGCATTGCAAACTGCTTGCCCGATTTTAAGGACCCGTGATTCAAGGTATGCAGGTAGTCGCCCTTGAAAGTACGACCTTGCATGGCATCCCAAAGACGCAAGGTCACATCAAGCAATTAAAAATGTTTTCTAAAATAAAATCGTATGACTGTGTGCAAGGGTTAAGGTTTAATTGATAATACTGTAACTATACTTCTAATTGTAAACATTTGCCATAGCGTTGTTGAAATCAAATTTAGATGAATTCATCCTAAGAGCACTTGATTTAAGAAATGGCTAGTTAATAAAACTACACGATGCAATAAATTTCATAAAACATTGCTACGAACACTCTCAGATTGGTCAAACAAATGCTCCTTGTGAATTCTTTACAAATTAAGGTACTTCGCAAACTGGACGTGAATTTAGATCCATTAATAGGAAATTCCAACTATAGCTATATAAGATACCTTTATTGTATCACTTTTCAAAAATAAGGCTTTGGAGAAAGTAGAATTCCATAACTGACCTTCTAAACCCTTTCTACAGTCAGTGTATATGCATTTTAGTAATCTAATTTACCGACAGGAAGGAGTTGAAATGGGTTTAACTGAATCATTGCCAAAACAAATTTGCCCTTTTATGAACAACGTATATCAGTTTAAATACAAAATACACTGAGAAATATAAAATGAAAGAATAGAACGAAAAATCGTCGCAACCAAACACTTCAGCTACTCTTAGTGACTTTCTAGAGCAATAGAGCAACCATTTTGGAATATTTGTGTAACCATTTTTTCCACCTTGGCAATTTCTATCTGTGAAATTTAAAAATATATTGCTCAAAAATTGAGTTTTGGCAGCGCCCTGTCAACGAACTTTTGAAAATCAATCACTTTCATACGAATATTTCGATTGGGATAATAAACGAATTGACGACGTATAAAGTACGTATAAATTAAGCAGGCCCTACAAAGAAACGTTGTTCAAATTGAATATGAATTTTTCGGGACGATAAGACCTTCACTTCAAAACGTTCATCAAGCGGTTCAACCGTATGAAACCTGGCTATATATATACTCATTTAAACACTGACTGAGTTTCCGAATATAGAAATATGTCCAAGCCAAGGTGAGTAATTTGATTACCCAAACGTTGCGAAGCGGCTGCTCTTTTGGTCATTAGCGATCTTAAATTTTGTGCTTTTACTAATGTTTTTATAAGAAGTTCAATATGTGTGAGTAAAATGCACTTGGCATGCATGTTTACATCATCGTGTCTTTTCGAAATATAATACAAGTGTGCATTTTGTCAAGGTTTTTGTTCGGCATGTTCGATAGAGATGTGTTCGTGTTACAATGTCTCTATTTTGGGCAGGAAGATGTGCGTACTACAGAGAAGTGTCGATGGCATGTGCGTCTTAGAAAGATATCGATCAACTTTTATAGAGATCTCAGTATTTTATTAAAGTTTAGCATTCGTGACTGCAATTTAGAGATTGTAGCAATGTAGGAATTTAGGATTCTAATATCAATATATAACCAAGGGATGTCAATTTTTTAGAGTTCACTACAGATAACAGGGATTTTCATTTATGTCAAATTTGAAGTGTTTGTTCTCTGTAATTAAAAGATATGCCCGCATTTTTTAAGAACATGCCCATATATTGCATTATTGCATGATGCAACACAAAATTAAGTTAATAACATTATCGCTATTTTTTTTCAGCCGACGAAGTTACTCTGAGAATACTACTTGCCGATTACAAAAAATATTTCATGATTTTGTAATAGAAATACGAAAATACAAATAATAAAATGAAGAAATATAAGACTATGTGTAATATTTAAAATTGGCATTCCTATATTCTTATAATCACTGAGGCGATTTGAAGGTTCCTCTGAAATTGTTCCTGCTTATGTTTTCTTTTTAAGACATGTTATTTCATCTTATTTCCAGATGTAAAAAAAGAGACGTTTATCAAGCCGGAGCAATTGAAGGTTAGCCTAATTCAGAAATTTAGCCTGTAGAAATAAATCACTTTGTTAGTGTCTTCGAGAATGACCTCTTTTCTCGACCAATCAGAATCGAGCATTTTTTTATATTTATGTCGTGGTGTATCGGGTAACGATCTAATGAATTTATGAATCCTATTATGGAGGCCATAAATCGATTCTATCTCGAAAAGCAGTCTTTCTGTAATCGGTTTAGGAGATATTTCGGGATATCCCGAATTAAATTCTAAAGGACTGTCTAGAAAAGCGATCATTCTCGAGTTTGTTCAATAGGGAAAAATGGGACAATTCGATTATCCACCTAGAATAATGAGATTTGTCCAAGAACAGACGCTTTGAACAAAACAACAAACACCATGCATGCACACAAGTTTTACCCACTCCTAAGGAGTAATACACTGGGATCATCTTGAATGTCATTTTACGCCCTGGATAATCCTTTATAAAAAGTCTTCGCTGTGATCTATAGTTTCGAAAAAAGCCTGTTCCTGACAGGCAACTGGAAGCATAAGCCAAACGAAGACATACTTCGCCCACAAACGACGTCACAACGCAGACCTATAAAAGGCTATATTATGCATACAATGAGTTGTTGTCTGGGACTAGAAAAACTGCATGGTGTAAGATGTGGCTCAAACTCTTCATTCGTGCAACAAAGGCTAACACCAGCATCCAATATGAGAAAAATATAATTCTTACTTACGACAACAAGTGAAAGTTGGTCGAACGTATTTTTTAAAATTTTTCTTATCTTTTTTAGGGTGAAAGATATTCTGGAGAGGTGTGTATTTATTTACATTCTGAATGCATTGCTCTCTGGCATGTTGTCTGGTTGTAAAAATGGGAACAGGCTTACAGTGTGAGATGGTTAAATGATGGTGGGGTGTTCACAAAGGGAAAAAAATTGTTAAATAGTAATAAAGTACACTTAATGATGCGTCGGATGGTTGACAGATAGAGTAGGATGGTCATTACGGGAATGATTTTTTTAATGGTGAAGATCGTAACCATGCTTTAGCGGTGGTTTTACTTGCCATTCAGCGTGATATGATCATCATGATCACAGGTCATATGTATGGAAAATTTGTCAGATAACGTGGTCACATGTGAATGCATGGTCGTCAAACCGTGTATTAATACAGAGTGGCTTTACAAATTATAAAGTTGGTTGAGACGATGTCTTCGTTGAACGGGGTTTCATCGGTTATCGATGGTAAAACAAAAAAGTTTGCTAGATGTTTGAACTGAGATGGTTGTTGAACAGTGTAGAAAGGTCGTGTAGAGAAGAGTTTTTCGTGTGGGATGTAGAAGACAGTACAGTACACAGCCATGTGCCTGAACTGGGTCAGATAATGCTGGATGATCACGAATTCGTTTTTATCTATTACCTTTAGCAAAGTCAGCAGCCGAAAATGAGCGACGGGGTAAGATCTTGTTCGAGTCTAAGTTTAGCGGTTTTAAATTTACACTTGTTTACCTGCAAATATATTACATGCTGATGCATGCCCGCTAATTGTTAGGCTTAGACGGTATATATGGTGATAATATTATATTTTTATTACTTTTAGGAACTTGAAAAGATAAAAGAACAGGTAAAATAATTTGCTCGAATATAAACACAGCTTGACAATGTTTAAATTTGTTGCTTATCTGGGAGAGTTAAAATATTGCATGCTCAGTGTAAGTACCGTTTTTACTTCAAGGTTATATCCTCAAAGAAAAATTACACAGAACTCGAACAAAAGTACAAGGAGATGGAGGACAAGGTATACTTAATGGGGCTTTTTGGACCAGGAACTGGTCCCTAACCGCTGCTAATCTTGTTGTTGTTGTTGTTGTTGTTGTTGTTAGGGGGCGACGCTCTTTAAAAAACCCTAAGGCTCTAGCATTACTTGTTTGATCGGAATGAAACTTGGCACAATTATTCTAAGCAATATTCTGCATCGATTGACGGAGTTCGAATTTCTACTTTTGACCTTTGAAGCAAGTTACAAGCAATTCTTGACTATATTTGCAGCAAATAATATATACATATCATTAATATTCAGCCTATATATAAGTATAAACGCAAACGATTAGAAATACATTGTCCTCTCTATTGTTGTAAGTACAATGCAGTTCAGAAACTCGTTCACGCAGTTCCTGGTCCACAATACAGGGTGTCCCAAAAAAATGTCCCCTCTATTGAAATCAAGCCTTTGTTCGAATCTGATTGCCTTAATATTATGATAAACCCAATTGAAAGCAAGACGCTTTATTTGAATGCCTCAACCTAATAAATATGCTATTTACACACTACTGCGTTGATCATGCATTCGAATTCCAACAAAAGCTTCATTTCAATAGCGGGGACTTTTTTTTGGGACACCCTGTAGTACGATCGTACTTGTTATAAAGAATCACGAATCGCTACACCTGAGTAAACTACCAGAGTAACTTGCGAATAAAACAAGCACTAATGGTTATCGAACTGTGCCAAGTTTGTCGCAGAGTAGGGTGGTGATGTTGGAAAGTGTGTTAATTTATACGTGGCAAAAAACTATTGCTTTTCAGAAACATTACGGTTATATAGAGAGCATATAATTAATATAATTTATGCAGCTACTAAATTAATTCACAAAACGTGCTTAAGACCGATTTTCCACTAGGCGGAATTTTTTGACCGAACGAAATTTTTCGTCTGGTATTTTTTTCAATTGTGAGAATTCGACTGTAGCGGATTCCCTTCACCGGTCACAATTGAAAAGAAAATCGAGCGAAAAATTTCGTTCGATCGAAAAATTTCGCCAAGTGGAAACAAAAATCATGCAAACTTTTGATTTGATGTTTCCACTTCCAGGTAAATTCTTTGCAGCAAAACAACGAGAGATTGTCGAATCAGGTGATTAGTACAAAACGATATTTTGAAAAATAGAATTTCAGAATTTCATAGAATCTGATATTGCGGACTTTTAATACTTCCTAAGTGGTTGTTCTAAGAATAATATCAGGTCTAATATGGCTGTGAATAAGTATAAAATATATGCTGAACATATATTTCACTATAAATTTGCATCAAATGTGGTATAACAACTGCCAAAAAAAACCTTCTCGACGTTTCGACCTAAGGGGATTCGACAGAGAGTTATTATATTTCACTATATTTTTCCTGCTAGCTTCTTTAACAGCTAATTTTTTGACTAGTTTTCTTTTATTTTAGTTCAGAGCCAAATTGGAAAATATCACATCAACCTTTAGGAGAGAGGTTCGTCAATATAAAAAGGTTTTACTTTATAGCATAATCAGAGCAGAAACGCAGGTAAAAGGCAAGCAAAAATATCCAAGTACAGCAAAAGGAATGTGAATTTCACGCAAATGTCCAGTGATTTTTGAGACTGACCCTTGTCGTCGATTCGACGCAACGATGGTGGCCAAATTACCCTCAGTTATCATTCCAGTGTAAATAGAGTTCACTGGTCATGACATGTAGGATAAAATAAATAGAAATCTAAAAGAGGCTATGATGAATCACGATGGATAGCGTTTACGCAAAACAAAAATGAGATAACTTTCTCTATGATGAGGCACGGAAAGGCTTAAATTCAGGAGGTGGGGGGGGGGTGGTGTTATAGTCGGAGGTTCACGTTAACATTCTCTCGGTACACAGAACCTCCCAATAAACTCAACAAGACATCACATTTTTCATTGAGTCTGATCATAATTATCAGAAAATATCTCATGTTTTTTTGCTACCTTTAGTTGAACCGAACAAATTCAACGATGATTGCAACACATCAACAACTAAACAACGTAATTCAAACTATGAACTCAACGTTCGATATCAAGGTATTTGAATCCGAAATGTCCCGGACAAAATCTACCAGAAACTCGTTTTGCATGGTCCGATATTCTTTCACATGTTACAGTAGCAGATGCCCTCCTTCAAGGCGCGCTTGGTTACACTTGTATATCCTAATTACATCTCTGACGGTGTTTTACGGGGGGTGGCTCACAAACAGCGTTACGCATCCGACCGAAAACTTTCTTGTGATTGGTTGATTTGATTAATGAATGCATGGTCCTTGAAGAGTGATAATTACGATTGATCCCCCAAAAAATATTTTTTCAAAAGTATAAGTAGCATTCAGGGCCGTAGCTAGACCGCTTAATTGGGGGGGGGGGTGTATATTCATATATTCATGTTTATATACCATAGGAACAATAGCATACAAAATAAATCATTCGGGCATAAGACGAATATATGAATATGCACCCCCAATTAAGCTTCTAGCTACGGCTCTGGTAGCATCTTATTGTAATTCATTTTAGTTGAGAAATTTCAGCAAGGAACTGGGTCCTCGTGGGTTTAATGGATCCCAAGGATTGCAGGGACTTAAAGGAGTTAATGGTTCGACAGGTCCCCGGGGGCCACAGGGGTTACGGGGATCACAGGGACCGCAGGGACCACAAGGGATCCAGGGAGTTGGATATATATCCGCGTGTAACGTTACCAAAAAGACTTCTCATACTACGTTTACGTCCGATTCAGATGCGTATAGTACCGTTACATATAAACCTCCAACGGTAAGCTGAAACACCCAAACTCGCCAAACTTTGAACCACACTTTGTAAAGCATCCAGTGGCGTGGCCAGCCTGACGATTTTGTCCCGCTATGTAAATTTTGAGTTATCATAACTATTCATGTCTTTAGAAATCTATAGTTTTCACAGTCAGTGAACACTAAAATATTAGCATTAGGGAACAAATCGACAGGCTGGCTACGCTACTGAAAGCATCCATTTTAGTTCTCTCATAACCCACCAGAACAACACCGCAGAAACTGGTGTTTATGAAGTTTCAACCCAAAAATCCGATCACTGATTCACAGTTGTGCATTTCTGCCTCTGACAGCTGTGAAATAGACATTTCGAGGCTTTTGTACAAATTATATTTTGTTAAACATTTATAAATCTTTTTGCTCACGAGATTTGAAGTCTAAGTATCACGAACTTTGGAAGTAAATTAAACCTCAAAATGGATTGAGCTCTGATAGGGCTATATCTGAAAATGTGTTATCTAACTTTATCAAGGGCTGGAAAGTTATTTCTGCCGTCTGTTCAACGAAAGAAGATGGTGGAGCGCTTCATACAGTCCTAGCATTACTGGACGACGAATACAGATGCAAATGTGCAGGACCATCCAAATATGGAACTTTTGACGCTCTAGCTTCTAAAGAATTATACTGTATTATTTTCGCGTGGATATGCCCCATAATCACGTAAAATCGAACATTTCTGTGAGCGATTCGAATTTTACGTACAGTCATAAAGTTTCATTGACGTTGAAAATGCTGAAAATGCAAAAATAATTTCCCATTTCCGCGAAAGGAAAGCTGAACAGTTTTGTAGCTATTTCCAACGATCTTTTTTTGAGTGGAAAAACATGTGTTGCTTTTCGCTTCGCTTTAGAAACACTGATCTCAAAATAGACTGGATGAGGCATCACTGTGTTGCCCGTCGAGCCAGAATCCTAATAAGACCGCCAAAAATAAAACAATCACTTGAACTTGCTATCAATAATATATATATATATATATATATATATATATATATATATATATTTATGTATATATATATATATATATATATATATTTATGTATATATATATATATATATATATATATATATATATATATATATATATATATATATATATATATATATATATATATATATATATAACAACCTTGCCTACAAAAAGCTCAGCTTATTCGTATTGCTCTGTCTGTTTCTGTGAACACAGATGGAATATTGCAAAGCTGGTAATCCCTATAACCTAAAGAATTCGCAACACATATTCCAAGGTGAAATGCCTCTTTTCGCCAATTTTTTTCAAGCAGTATTCCAACTGATGTGATCACAAAAACGTTGACAGTCAGTAAGACTATGAGGTGATGTGAAACGAAACTGTAAATTGTATATAATTATATATGTATATAGTTTTTCTATTTAGTGCAGGTGTAAGGACACAATGACATGACAAAGGCAGTCTTTGCTGAGGTGTCCACCTGTATAAATATTCCTAAATTTTATATTTTTTATATTTTTACACTACAAATTGTAAATAATCTTTTTTCAGTTTTAATTCATGCACTTTAGGTCTTTACTAAAGTCCTAGCTAGGTTTAGGTATAGTTTGTATATAAGTGTCAAGGTATAATTGTTGTAACACGGGCAATTTCTGATGGAGGTTCAAGATATTTGAAATGTGCGTTGTAATCGTGAACATGGTAACGAAACGTATCTATCACTATAAATCGCCATTATACATTTAGCAAAAGCCAAAACCTGGTAAGGAAATCGCATTTGTGTAAACATACGTCCCTCGGCAATGTATAATAGATATGAAGTTTTATAAACTAGTTAGACTTGTAAATAGGTCAACAAGATAATCACCTTAAAAAACCAATGAACTTTTTATGTGAAAAAATAGCATTTTCTGAGCCTTATTTATGCGTTTCTTTTAAATTACCAAAGGCATAAGCTAACAATTTATCTATCTTAGAACCGGTTTTGAACCCAAAATGTGTTTTCCGGCTTTATCGTCAACAGAAGTTAATTAGAAAGTTGCTTTATATGGGTCATTTTAAAAAAATAGAGTTCTATATTGGAGTTTTGGTCAAGGGTCGAGAGTGAGGTCGAGGGTAAAGTCGTGGGTCGATTTTTAACGGATTTTACGATCGGCAATGTCGAGGGTCAATTGTAGAAATTCACAATTTGCCTATATTAATATTATATTGCTTTCCTCGATTCTCGAACAAAAACCAAACTCTCTATATTGATAGTCTGGTTCGTCAGAAGAATGCAACAGATTGACTAGTCTGTCAGCTAAAACACTTTTAGGCCAAATATTGTCGCTTCCGAGTCCTGCTTTGTTTAAGAATTACTTAAAAAACCTTTGCCAACAGACAATTTGATGAAATGAAGGAACCAACTTGATCATGCCTTCAGTTTACAAGATGTTGCTTTTCAAAGCAAAATAAAATTACTTATTGCTTCATCTTTAACTTCGACAAAAACAATTCACTGCCATTTTGAAAGATCCGCTTAGCTAATTAACGCAGCCTTTGCTCGACCAATCAGTAGCCAGAGCTTTCGATAATTACCTTTGTAATTACGCTAATAATATGGCAAAGTCGATATTCACAGAAAGTTCGATGAGAATCTGCGCCGCAAAGGAGCTCTAAAAACGGAAAGGATATGACCCGTTTTAACATCATTTTCCTTTGTCGAAGGTCGTAAAATATTGGCAACGACGAACTGACCATGAGTCACACACTGTCACACCCAACGAAACGACGGAAATGGCCCACACGGACAATCGTCGATTATTTGTGAAATTTGAATGACGCACAAACACCTGCTGATTAATTCCCGCGGAACATTGATGAGGGCGCAAAATATGCAAATGAGGAAACTGCTAACTGTCAGGTGAAGACTGTTGTGAGTCAGCAATGGCTTCCCATCGAAACACCTCGACAAAGAGAGGCTGTGATAAAGTTACAGCTATGGTAAATACTGATTAAAGGTGTGAAGCTGACGAACTGATGAAATGTGCAGGAAAAAGCGCGGTTTTGTCATTTGTGTGCATCACAGTAAACTTCACACAAATGTAAAGTCCATTCTGCGCATATTTTTTTCTCATAACAAACCACTACTTAACAACATTCCAAATGTGGCACCTCCACTGTAGGAAATTCAATTGAATCAAAATCATACAAACAAGACAAAGCTTCTATTTTTAGTTTTGCGGAGTTTACGTCATCTTAAAAATAAGCATGTCACATTTTTTTCTGTATAAGAGGCTACAACCGTGCATTTTTAATTAAGCCCAACTCTACTAGAACGCAAATCGCGAGTAATCTACAGCTCTGCTCAAATATTGACTTCTACTGTCGAGTTTACGATAATAAATAATGCATATGGTAATCAGAGTTCATATAAACATCGCGTTCACAACATAGCGAAGCATTTAACAATTAAACAACGAGTCCGAGTTGTCTATGAGCGAATAGTCAACGAAGGCGAACTGAGTTGACTGTTGACTATTTGCTCATAGACAACGAAGGCGAGTTGTCTAATTGTTTCAGTATACACCCTGTACCTAGATATATTAATTTCGAGAAAATAATCGATACACCGCAATTACACCGAAAAATAATTTAATCTTATACGGTCGCGCGAGCGAATTTTTCCCAAACGTTCACCATCACGAATAGACAATGGTTGAGTGGCCAATCAGAATGTAGGATTTGTAATAGACAATAGTCGGGTGTATACTAATACACGATAGCTACAGACCCGCAATTAATGATAATCATGCAGTTGAGACAGACACTTCCGGCGGGTGCGCACGAAAAATGGATCAGTTTGAAAGCATAACTCGCAAGGGATATTTGTCTGCACGCAAACACATTTAAACCAGCCTTATTATACAATGACGAGGGACGAGGGTTCATACTGCATATATGCACCATATTAATATGCACTGTATTAATACGCACTATATTAATAATAATCTTTATGCAGAAAGGGTCCCACGCGCATAGATAATTATATTTACCGACGCGAAAAAAAACAAACATAGTGCTGATCAGACGTCTGCAATGTCTGTAATCTAAACAAGGGCTTTATTTACATTTTAAACCGCTTTAGTTTCAAAATACGACTTACGGTCTAAATATCTAAAGCACCATTTTAGTGTATGCATGCTTCCGTAAATACCTTGCTAGACATTTCTAAAATACGTTTCACTAAATATCTAACACCGTTTTGGCTCGTATGTTTCCGCCATGCATAAGGCAATATTTGAAATTACTCCCCCAGTCCCCCTCAAATTTTTATGAGCACCGCCCATGCGCAGAACAGACTTTACCTAATGCACATTAATTTGTAAATCTATTGATCAAGATCTACAAAATGTACAAAGGGTCTTAGTTTAGAAATTCATGAGAATGGTACTAAGTGTTCATAATTGCGGTATGGTTATTTGACGTATTGAGCGTGTGCTTGCCAATCTACGTAGTTCCTGGACATAAAGATCAAAATATGTATCGCATATTTTTGAACAGAAAAAAACCTGGAGATTTTAGATCGCAATGCGACATAGTTGAACATTTATATGTCATGATATATAATATATAGCTATTAGCGCGATTATGTGGTTAACAACTGAAGTTAGACAGTGTAAAATATTCTCAGAGCAGGGCTTCACAAAAATCTTCTATTATAGTCAGTTCCTTCCTGTATAAACACTGAAATTGGATATAAAAGAAGTTCAAAAACAATTTGTGAACTGAATCAAACGGCCGCGCTTTAATTCATGGGCCACATACAACGCAAATTGAAATTTAGCTATATGTAAAAAAAAACACATTTGAGGTGGTAATATCGTCAGGGGAAATCTGTTCCCATTAATCAATTGGGAGAATAATATATGACTTATATAAAACTAGACTATCTATAGATACATGCAGTCTTTCCTAATATATATGTTAGACATTGACAAATATGTTTTGCTTGAAGTTTTAAAAAGTTTAACAATCAGTAGCCATGTTCGGAAGAAAAAGATTTTAAAACTATGTCGTCGAGTGTTTAGTTTGGCCGAAAGTCAAAAAGAAAAACTGTTGGCTCAAACACCAAAGCAATCGCGTAATTCTAGAATGTCTGTGTTTTACAGTGGCAAGAACAGAACCAAACTGACTGTTGTTCCAACAGTGTTGGATGATCAGATTTCTATACGATATAAACAAAAGTAAAATTTAAGTCATCATCAACAAAATTATGAAATAATATACTAACGATGCTGGGTGCATGTTGTTCGGCCAACAATGATGTCGGATTCTGGCCTTTTAGTGGGGTGTCTTAGCAGTGTCTACGGGACTACACGATCAGTTTATCATTTGCTCTTTTCGCGCGCCAAGCTCTGTGTTTGGTTCCCTATCACCCGAAAGTCGTAAGACTAGGGGTTCGCGTTTCAATTAACGTTTTAGATATATCAAAAAATCTCATAGGTCGAACTTAAAAGCCCGAATTTGCATTATAAACAAACAATTAACGTTAAAAATCTAGAATGACGAATTAAAAGGCCTGAGAGTTTGTTCACACGGTAATTCAGTGTCTCTTCTGTGTCCACTTAACGCTGTTTTTGAACGCAATCTAAACGACAAAAAGTGACGCCATTCTTGCCGACGAACAGTGAAATTGACAGCTAAGTTTCGAGACGAATGAGATTCATTAGCATGGATGGTGAAACAAAAATAGGATAGATTAACTAAGCTTAATTCAAGATTCCTTGTTACATATTTTGTTCGCTAAAATCGCAATTCTCTCTCGCGAGTTTGCTCAGTATTGACAGACCGGATTTTCGCACGATCCAAATTTGTCATAACCTATTCCGACTTCTGACGTATAGAATGTAGCCTGCGCAATGTCAAAGCAGTGACGAATTTGATTTAGATGATTTGCTGGCTTTATACTACAAGTCAATATACTACAGAACATCCTTCACAAGTGAATTGGATTCGAAAAAATTGGTTTGTGTGAACCAAACGTAAACGTGGCATGATAAAACTTATCAATGTGTTCCGCACAGTTATCCTGTGGGCTTTTCGGGGGTGCGTCTCCAAGCAGCGGCCATTCTTTATTTACAAACTGTTTCAGTCATGTAGTAATTCACAAGAATAGGTTCAGAATTAGAACCCGTTATAATAGATGTGTAGAGTGTAGAGGGAACATGGTGTAGACTATTATATTTGACACCATAGCACTTTTTTATCACAGCAAACTTAGTAACATTGCATTGAGTAAAACATGTAGTTTAATGCATTCCTGTCGTTCTTGAATGAAATTACTAGAACCTGATTTGCATAAGTAAATATCAGGCGACATTGATCATGATGCGTATATCCAATCGATAGCCTTATTCATTTGCGACAGCCAATAGAATTGCTAGAATTCGCGCGCGCTATTGTATACCTCTCAGACAGGGTAAGTCGCGCATTCGCTGTCGGAATTTTACTACACGCCACGAGGGATAGCGTAAGGCAGGCGTTGACGTCTTCTGATATTAACTATTACAGAGAATCTGAAATAATATCTGTCTTCACCTACTCAAATTTCATCATATAAACATCCTGAAAAGTTTCATATCATCACTAACAAAAGAAATCTCAACGCAGAAAGAATCTCTGGCAAAAATGGGCTCGAACCAACAAGATTTTAACAACCAGGCATTCTTAGCCTACGCCGTCAACGGGAAAGACACTACGTATATATCGAATGGAAAGTACGACGCCCTCACGGACTGTAAAGACGATGGCTACGTCAAACCTTTTTTAAATGTCGATCCTAATAAGAATCACGAATATGAGAACCCGGCCGATGTAGCGAGGAGAGCGGGCTTGAATCGCGCAGGCAGCGGGCCCCGACGAAAAAATAACCAACTTTATGGGGAATCGAAGAGAGTGTGCCTACCAGATAGCCCTCCATCGCCAACCGATGGCGCAGAATGCTCACCCCTCATGGTCACGACCGTACAAGAGAGCGACAAACCTCACAAAAGGAGGGGAAAGTGCGACTTCAAAATGGTTATATTTTTCCTGCTCGTTTTATGTCTTAGCGCCGGTGGGCTAGCTCTGAGCCTGATGAACATGATGAACAAGGAGAGTTGTCTCTGTTCTCGTCGAGGTAAAAGTTATGTAATCTTATCGCAACTTTTTTGTATTTACTTGATGTCGGATACGAGATGCGTATGTTTTACTAGACTACGTACACACTTGGCATTAGTAGCGCATCATATTTATTCACGCAAAATAAATACGAGTTATGCATGCGTATATATTATAGATATAATGCGCGTTTGCGAATAATCCCACGAATATATTACTCAGGCAAATATTACTCAGCATCAAACATGGTAGCTTGGAATTTGACCTCGTGCCTTCCTTTAATGCCAACATAAATCGCCAGCAGGTTCGGTACGGGGAGAGGTATGGATAATATAATAAAATTAATCTCCAATGGTGGCTTGCCAAATGTAGGATAATTCTTTAAGATATCCATTCTAAGTAATCAAATCACCGAATGCCGTTATAAGTATGGGTATCACAAATGTGTTCATACACATGGAATATATTTTTTCATTCAAGCTCTTAAAAAATTAATCATTTGAAAGCCGTAATGGCTAATAGTTGGCATATTTTCGACAACAAATTTTATATGACATTGTACCCACGCTGTGTACTCTATCTGGTAACGTGGAATCAAGGTCAGGCACTCAGTAAAACAAACAATCTTTTTATGAATTTTCCTTGACGTTAGTCAAAAGGCTTATACAGGTTCCGACATTTCAATTGAACTAATATTTATCGAGCATAATTACCTGTATCCACGCAATTCTGAACGATAATACTAGCCTGAATTCTAGCCTGAATCTTTTCATTACATGAAAGCGCCGAGTTCTATATTAAAACTGTCTGTGACCCGTAGCAACAAATAACACTTATTCCTTTACACGTTATATATTAATATTTGAATATATATACATATATATATTACCTACAGTTCACCCTTTCAATTAGCTAACGGCGAGTCATTTCTCAAAATATAAGCTAAATGAAATATTTCACAATGGCCAACTGCATATAGAAAACACCATAAAAAGTCATGTATTTTAGTTTTATGACTCCTACATACGTGCAAATATTTTTCAAAATGCGGAATATACCGTACAGTGTTTAGTTAAAACCACACAAAATACAATTTATATACGAGTTGTTTACGCTATTGGCAGTGTTTCGCTTTCCTGATATTGTTTTCATGTAATATATAATCAGCCGTGCAGTTATGGCAGTTGCATTTGTAATTTCGCTTTTAAAAACGTTGTTTCCGAATGATAAGTTGAAATACTCCGTTGAAATCCACGCCAAAAACCCGTTTCAAACTACGTTGACTTTGTCAAAACGTTCGAGTACTTTCATTGAATATATAATTTCATTGATTGTCTCGAATTGCGATTCATTTTGACGTATAAACACGACAATTAGGACGACCTAGCCGATGTCTGAAGCGAAATAATGAATGAAGACTACTGCGAAATGACTTCCGTCCCTTTGTTTCGCATTACAACGATATAAGATGTTTATTTGCGAAAAACCCACGAAATATTGTTTCCTTAAAAAGTTACGACATTTGGTTAATCCTTAGACACACGTGGAATGTTGTACAATACAGAATAAAGCGATTTACTGAGGGAATATGCTAAGAATTAAAGTACAAAGTAATTAGGGCTCTTTAGAAGATCTTTTCAAACAAATACCTCTATCTGAAAAGCTGTTTCTTTCGCATATATACTGTCTTCCCTTATATTCATTCATACCTTGTTGCGCTTATATAGCTAAAGATAAGTTTACTAGTTTCTTAGTTGATTTAATGGTGAGAAGTTCTTTCATGACTGTCTTAAAGTTGCAATTCAACCGTAAAAAGCGTATCATTATTTCAAAACCGCATATGCATGCATCAGAAAACATTCGACTCATTAAATCATGGTCGGTTGCATGTTTAACCTTCTCACAGGCTTAATATACACAGCGAGTACTTCATTTTGCATTAAATTTTCATTGTTTATGGCAGAAGATAATTACTGAAGCCGATATTCTGCATCTATTTCTGACTTCGGTCTGCCATTCAGTTGTTTGTCGGTAACTCTTCTCTTTTGGTACAACTAATGAATAGGGATCGACGATATTCATGTGTACGTATTCCTGCTTGTTCCAGGAAAACCCATGCGGATTTACAGGGAATATCGAACAATGGCCTAGTGTAAGGACAGTTCTATACATCCTTAAAACCTCTTAATGTTCGAGGAAAAAATGTAGCTGTCACACCCTAGCGAATTCAAGCAAAACTGTCCTTTACTTGAGAGCTATATACTGGCGTTTCCACCACTGAATGTATATAACAACGAGTGTAAGTTGGTTAAAGTGTTGCACCGAAATTGCACGGACAGAGTTTTGATTCAATACAGAGAGCTTATGATCGCGATTTTTGCAACTGAATACTCTCTGTTTTGTCTTAAAAATAGGATTGATGAATCCTTATATCCATTGCAACATTAACCCTCTACTGTTAGTCCTATCAAATGAGTTGAATGCGAAGAACAGAACTACATTCTAAACACCAAAAAAGCTATTATGTCTGAACGACAATCCATTTTAACCAAGCTCGTTTTAACAAGGGCAGAACAAGTAATGATGTGGGGTGCATTTATAGAGTACACGTAATACATGAAAACAGGAAATCTAAATTCACCTAAGTTGTACTTAACTGAAGAATGGTCTGTCTAAGAGCCAGTTGGCATAGCCAAAAATGTCTAAATTTTTTATCCACGAAATGCATGGATAGGCAGTAGTTCAAAGCAGTTGTCGGTTATAGAAAGAATTCATGACAAAATGCATGAACATGCTTTAGATTTTGCAAAGTAACCATCATTTTTTCGCTTCTATTTATCAATTTAGTTTGGTGCATGCATGCATGATAATGATAAATCTGCGACTAATGCAAGTTCGCTCTCGACCGTACAATTTAATCCTCCAGTGACACCGAGGAATTATGAACATGTTTACTTTTGGATTACGAATTGTCTATATCAACGAATTCGTAGAAATGCCTTACCCAAAGTAAAACGATTGTATCGTTTAACCAACTAGATGTTGGAATACTCGTGAGGATTGCTTGTTACTAGTAACTTCTAACAAAGTGGGCATTGTGCTGGTATTGGTTCTTGTCTGTGCGGAAATTTGTCCATTAGTACATATAGATGCATGAATGCTCGATTATCCGATTTCCCTTTGCGAACTGCGCCAAAAAAAACTATGAGAAAGCACGCGAGCTCGCGAAGAGGTGTCGAAATCGGCATGCACGAAAACAAGCCGGGACCTGCATGGCATGAAAGATAGATTAAAGACAATACAAGGAAATCATTATTGGAATCGGGTTACGTGGCACAAAGGGTGAATTCAGCAAGTCATTCGTTCACAGCTGACACGGCATGCTGATATGTTGTTGACTTTGTAAATACAAAAAATCCGGCTGTAAAATGAATTAGACCGTTCCCAAAGCATTCTGCACCTTCAGTTCCTTGTTCCATTGTTGCATGGGGGTGAAACGTGTTCTTCAATTAGGAAATTTAATACGGCAACTGACGAAAGTTCATAATCGTAATTTTTAAATAAAAATGTACCACATAGGCCTTGATAATACCAAGCAGACAGACATTCAATATCACATGCAACTCAGACAAAACTACTCTATGTTTCGCAAACAAGCGACTAAACTTTGAAATTGACATTCCCATAATTCCTTTAGCGCTCACATCTTACAATTGTTGATGTTAACCTCGATTAAATAGCGATATTGACTAATTGGCAATGACCAATGGATAGGCTTATGCGTTCAACTTGAACATTATAAAACGGAGAATCGGAAGAGAATAAATGATGGTTTTTCTCTTTTGCTCCTTCCTAACCAACAACTCATGAACCAACATCCCTGTCCGAGAAGTTTTACCCGGAGAAAAATCTCCGCCCTTTCCAAGTCGTGAACGGACAGACACATACGAATAAGTGTTTCTAATGAAAGAAACTCTTTCATGCAGTAATATACAATAGATATACTGCAATTGAATAAGAATTTGACATGTTGGTTGTAACTTGTAACTTTACAAGACGCGAAAAACAACACTTATAAAAGATTTGACGAACGGGAGAATATAACGGCGGACATGACTTCATATGTTGGGTTTCCTGTTTCCCGTTCCGACAGGTAGCCAGGCCGAAATAATTGTCATATTACGCTCTCCAAATACCTATAATGGTGTGTATATTGCCATGTTTTTGAAAGACATGGAATATTTTTAATGACTCAAGTGGTATGTTTGTATGACAAGGGAATAGAAGAAATACGACACTTCGGGATACTGTTACATTCACACAGACCATATATAGTTAGAATATAACCAAGGAGTAGCGTGGTAGCGCTTTCATTCATGCTAACTCTCCTGACGAAGGCCCCTAGGTCGAAATGTCGAGAAGTTTTTTTCTCTTTTTTAGGCAGTTATATCGCATTTGATGAAACCATATATAGTGTTCACAATATCACATTACAAGTTGAAAAACTTCACAACAAATAAGATGAGTTGTATAACTTTAAACAGAGAGTCCTGATAAACACAACTAAAATAATCACTAGACCTTGTAAAAGTCCTTGTAAATCAGTCAAGTTGTGTCTTATTGAGATTTAAATTACCACAAACGTTGGTAAAAGTGTATACCTAACTATTTTAAAACAATTTGCATACGAAGGCGAGCCGCCATTTTGGATGGAACACATTAAAAACACCGACAAGAAGTAATATAGTTTTTTACAATTACAGGGTATAGCATGATAGCTCATAAATCCGGTATAGAAAATTCAACAAGCCTTCTTCATTGCCAGCAATGATCAACGAACTTTAACACAGAACTTCCTACGTCCGACAGACATTGATAATTTAATGATAATAAAACAGCCTACTGCGTTCCAGACAGTTCACATTAAAGCATTACTGCATTCATAATGAAAAACTTTCATGTACGTTCATTGAACTAAAAAATTTTCCTCAGGGAGAGCATACAACAGCGATTCGTTTTGTTAACTTTTTATCAAATAACCTTTTCGTTACAAACAACGAGGCTTGCTTAAATTTACAGCAAATTTTATAACATACACATCCTTTAATGAAGATTGACAATTTCACTATATATGGCATATCTATCGTCTACACCAGACAATAGCATCGCTTATTTATCTTATATAAGCATGAATGTTGAGAATTATTGCCATATATTTTTATGAGAGAATAAAAAGAATTAGAATGGAAACTTTTATTATACGCTATATTTCGTACCGAACATTACTAATAATTCATTGCGGCACATGGCATAAGCCACGTGCGCGTATCGAGGCTTTTTATTGGCTGACAAAACAAATTTGGCGCGAAATTAAAAAACATTAGCATAGAGGAATATTTATACGCCAAAATATTTGAAATATATTAATCACCATGTAGGTATACGAACACCGTGTACAAATAACACACATGGGAAATATCTCAAGCATCTTGATTTGCCTGGATATATAGCTAGATGTCGGGCTTTATTGGCAAACCGTAATGACTAACAAGGTTTCATTTTATATATAGTTTATAGCTTAATAATTTTGTATGCACAAAAAGCATGCATGAGTATTAATATAGCTTTAAATATTTGATAATTTGGCATTTGTACTTTCTACGGTGAGAACTTTCACTATACACAAACATTAAGTATGCTTCTGTATTTATGAATGGCAATTAATCCACTAAAGATTTACTTAAGTGCCATGGCAGCTATGCATAGGGTATTGTCCATTAATCTCCAAGGATTCAGACTTCAACGAGATGTTTTGAATGTTTTGCTGCAAGTAGGTATATAAAACCACGCACACACACAGGGGTTCAAAATGTTCCCATGACCGCCTGGCAGAATATAAAACTTTCCGTGATTTTGCTTCAGAGTTCTTACATATGTACTTATCTCGAGGAACTTGGCAATCGAACACATGGTATATATACTTATATATCACTCAGCATTTAACGCTTGTTGACTTGTAAGTACAGTTTGAGCTCTCTCACAAGTAAACATTCATGTACTTTTACTTAATCACTACAAATACAGCGTCGTTCGACACGCCTCATTTCTCTATTTACATCGCATATAACATCCAAGGTCAATCAATACCATTTCCTGAAATACCTGCATGCAATTTAAATGTTAAAGTGACTTTAATATCAAACAGTGCATTCTTAAACATAGCAACTCGAAAGTACACAGTTACTCAGCAGTAAAGACTCAAGCAATTGCATGATTTTGCAAGAGCCTTTAGTAATAATCACTTGTGGAATCCTACATAATAATTTAACCGAAGGCGAACCTGCGTTGTAAAACTTTTACATATATAATACTCAATTCATATATCATTTGAAATCCATACATACAGGACATGCAACAGTGGACCGATAAAGATTAGGGAAGGATTTATATAATAACGAATGAGTTTAAGTGTTTTAGTTGTGCTGTATTACACGTTCCACTTTAAGTTTGATTGTTAATTAAATAAGTTTCTTTGTAGCAACGCATGCCCCAAAATACTTGTAATAAAACACGAAATTCGTAAAGTGAATGCATGTAAGTATTCACATACAGTGTATATTTAAATCGTTAGATTAAGGGGTGTAAATTCCATGTATATATGGCTGGTTATTGAGAATCGGTGATATATATTTGTCGATTTCATTGTTTGTTCATGGTTAAAATGCTATAAACAGAAAATGAAACATAAAATTTTAATTGGAATTTGGAAAGTTTATTTCAATAAAACACCGACAATTATTATTAAATGAAAGAACTTTCTTTTTGCATCCAAACGTTATCGGCAGAATAGTTTTGATAAATGATATTGTATTGGTATATAATAAATGAAGCATGCATGTTAAATACAAACGCAAAATGCACTAGTGTGAAAAATTCAGGCAATTGTCGAGTTAATGTATATGAATATTGTCGTATCTATTGTACTCTTTTTCTACAAAAACAGTGTTGTAAGTTAGATGCAGGTAGAGTAGGTAATGATAGAAAAGGATGCACGTGAATAGCATGAGTCATGACTCAGAGATTAATCATCGCAATTCTTTCGGCTAAATTGGATATATGAATTATATGTAAATATTTGCTTGAGGATATTCGGCAGCAAGATTTATGATTACAAGGCTTTCGCGGTCGGTCTGCCAATCGGGACTCCATTTAAACGACATATAATTCTTATACCTGCAATGCATCCCTACCGCATATGTACCGAAATATACTGTACTTTACTAAAATTTATAAAATTGAGTCCTATATATATATTAGAACTAACACAAACTTGAAAAATAATTTCAGGATTTCTACCATTGAAGTGATCAAACATTCATTTTTATCGCTGACTTAGTAAACAAAAACGTTTTATAAATTTGCTTCGGCATCGGATCATTCTTCTGCATAAATTATGTCTAGCCGTTCAATATACCACATGCAATAACACTCGGTCAAGCAAAACGGCGCTGTCGGTTTCATAGCACCTAAACAACCAATCCTCTTTTTAAATATATCTACTGCATCCGGTTGTATTGCAAGTAAAAAGCAAAAGTTTCCGTTGCAGTTCCAGCATAAATTCTAGTGAAAAACCTGAAAAAACCTAAACATTTATACACGTGATATAGCTACGATAGTTTTTTTTTGAAATGGGACCAATTTCAGTTTCTATATATAAGGTTGTTCAATTTCGATTTTACCATAATGAGGCATTTTGTTATATTGAAGGCTACATATATTGTTGTTGTTAATAAACAAAAACATCAAAGATTGCCATTACTAGACCAATAAACATGTCTATAGGGCAAACAATTTAGATATAATTCATGTACATCTATATAATGTATCCTGCAGGGTCTGTTTACAACCATTACCAATGAAAATGATGAACTCTTGACGATTATTAAGACGACTACGAACTTTAATATTTTGATAGCTATAAATGCAATATTAAGTTGTATACAATGACCCATTTTAACAAAATTATGTTTTTCTTCAGAACTACCAGTGGCCCCCGTAATTGGCAACAATCGTGTTGAGAAATACGATGATACGTCTGTTAAAGAGAAACTGGATAGTTTACAGAAACAATTTGATGATCTCCAGAGGAAACTGGTAAGATTCTTGCTGTCACTTAGACGGAGTGCGTGTGTGAGTGTGTGCATATAACATAAAGTGCATAATGTGAAAGGGGGGGGAGGTTAGATAAAAAGGTGGGGGGGCATAACATGACATATCATATTTGTGCCACGTTGGATGAAAGAAGACAAGATTATTGTTGCGGAGAAGCGGAAAATGGGCAGATGAAAGGATCCACTTAACAACAATCCTGTGTTTATTTATACTGGATAAACCCTTTCACGCCTTCCTCTTCATATAGACGATACGATTATTAGAAGGGAAAATTGAGAAAACCTCGAAATAACACCCCCACCCTCCCCTTCTACGCTGAAATGACATACAGTATTTTTGAGACGAAATTCCTCCTTTTGATAACCTACGATAAATAATTTACCATGAATTATTTTGTTTATAAATTTCCCGGGCCCAATCGAATTGAGTACAATTATGATAATTGCCTCGAATCACAATAATATTTCTCGGGCTTCGGTCCAACGTAACTTTTGATTATTTGTCTGATATGGATTCTAATCAAACTTATACGAAAGTATTCGCAGGATATCGGTCGGTCCAAAGAGCACTTTCATCACATGATGGATGAGGCATGGCATTAATTTTGTAAAGCAAAGATACTCTGGTATCCACTTAGTCACTCATCTTGAGCACAAGTGTATACAGGATGTACGTCGTTTGCAAAGTCACGAAATATTTTGAAATGCTTACATACAAATCGTGCTTACATACAATAAAACTATTAGGCCTATAAATTCTCCATATTACTTTACATGTTGCATGTAAATCTCTTTACCATATTGCAAAGGAATTATTTAAGCATAAATCGCTCTCTATACCCATCACTCTCCTTCACACCTTTGTCTTGACGTCTCCATGCAAATAAGCTATTTTGACTCCAAGTGTTCCTGTCATTCATGTACAAAACTTCCACACTCCAAATGAAAGGCTGTTATTATTGTCACCAACAGACTTTAGCTTAACTCGTTCTTCTTGTTAACATCTTATATATATATAACTAGCCTCATACATATAACCTAGGTTGTTCTACGAGCCTCGTAAGAGAAATACCTGATTGCATTATTCATATACTATATTTAGATATACTTTTTACAAGTAAATATCTAATAAAAACCCTATATTCTCGCTTGGAAACGAAGGACTTTTCATGAACTGTTGCGTGCACATGATGCCAAGTTGACAGTCTTTTTGATTTAGATGAAATACATACATGCAGTATTATATACAATAAATGCGATATATTCGAAATAAAATAAAGACTGAATAAATATTCAATACATTCACCTAGTTTGAAAAAAGCTATTCCTATAAATTTAAAACACATCTACTAACCAAACTAACCAATTATATAATTATAAATTCCTACAGGAAAACCAAAGACGCCAGTTGGAAAGGGTAAACAAAAGTGCAACGTTTAAACCTAAGGTGGGTTTCCTAAGCAATTTTAAAACCTAGATTCCGAGGGAAAATTACTGTTTTATATCTTAGAAGTATAGAACGCTACACTTAGCTACTGATTGGTCGAGGTTGTGCTGCTAACGTTAGTCCAAATATACGCTGGAATAGGTTTTTTATCTATCGAGCTTAACAACCACGCATGCATATAATAGGTTTGAAATGCAAGCAGCCATTACACTATATATACGTTGGTTAAGTATATACGATATAAGCTTCGTCAATGTAATCATGTTTGTTTCTCAATTCAATATTAAGCAACGATATATTAAATAAGATTTCCAATTCTTAATTCCATCAAAATATCTCTGAGATGAAAAGAATTACTTTTTACATTAATCGACTAAGATAGCCGAGAGGTGGAAAATACTTTTGCAAAAGTAGATATGTAATACCACGCAGTAATGATGGTATCTAGCCATATCATTTAAGCAGGGTGACAACACGGAATGCATTATTCTTCATTGTTTATGCATTAAATAAACTAATTCCATAAATGGAAGTTACTAGAAGCATTCAACAAGGGTTAAAACGTATAAACACAATAAAACATGCTTTAGCCATTCACCAGAATTTCCGATGCATGAAATTGCTTTAATACTAAAAATATTTGTAAATATTTACTATAAAAACATGAAAACATAATGTTGAACTGCAAAAATGAAAATATACATCAGTTTCGCGTGTAAGAAAGTAAGAGGTGTCAATATGTGCATACAAGGCTACTGAGTACTGGCTGCTTAAGGAACTATTGGCGATCGTGAAAGAATGTTGTTTTGACTGTTTCGTTGATGTAATGGATAAGATTAGCAGCATTAGTTTAACATAAGAATAAAATACCTGTCCATTTAGGTATATTTGGACAATTTTTTAAACAATATTATCAGTTCATTAACGATATAGCAAATTAAAACAAGACAATGGCTTTCAAAGGAACAGAAATATACAAAAGTTATATAACAGACGAAAAGAGTAAATACATACTTCATACATAATTAAGTTTGGACTGATTGTATAATTGTGTTGGTATAGCCCAATAATACACCTACATAATGAAAGTTAAAGTCCTTCCTACACAGTCTCAAAGATAGCATGTTTATAAAAAACATCAGTAGCTATAAACGCCGATATATACACACATTGATATCCTTCGCAATTGTATAACCTAAACCTGCAGAAAGTATTAATACAAAACGACACTGATAGAGCAGATATGCAAGTTAAAACAAGAAAGTAAATGAACAACAGCAATTGTGGTGTAAAATGATATATTATGTTTACAATGAAAGCTTTGGTACAGTATTGTTCCTTGTTCAGTAGTTTTTGTGTCGTGACAACTAATTATTGTTATAAAGAAGGTAGAGAATGGCATCGAAACATCTTGACATCTTTAAAGAGAGGAGTGTAAATTTCGCTCCAAAAAGGTCACGCAGTTTCTAGAGTATGTACATAGACAACATTTCATGCTTCACATATCAGTCTTCCTAAAAAACATCCTACTGGTTTCGCATTCCGGTTATTGTTTAGCCAACATGCAACCGAAATTACACGGTAGCTTTTTTTAGCACTAGACACATACTGATTAGACTAATCGCGGTTTGACTATAACTGCATGCCTATGGTTATGGTATGATAACAAGAAATCGTGAGTTCCATACAGTGTCCACGTGGCAGTGTACCACAATCATGTTTACCTTGCTTGCAGCTGGGGCTACAATACGATAAGATTCCGCCGTAGACAATACACTAGCAAAATTAAAATTAAAACTCTTTGTATCAACGCTCGGGAAAAGGCTCGCAAAATAATGCTCAATTAAAGTGGAGAGTTTAACCGCCTTATATGTATACAAGCTGTGTATAATGGCAGTAACAATCCTATATTTCCAGTACTCTGAATTATTTCATCAGAACACCTATCACGTAGAGTAGAGTATACGGCTAATTGAACCTCAATTGTGGGTTGACAACAGTTCCTGGTTTCGTACCCCGGTTCTGTCCTCGATTAATTTTGTTTATTGAATGTCTGCCGATCACTTTCGTTTCTTTCCGATGAAGTTCGACATTTATTTCTCAGTAGACTATATAGCCATTTAAGGCAGACATAAATTGTATTAAATATATGTAAACGACAGCGGCACCATGAATATCGCTGAACCTTTACCCGAAGTACTTTAAGCCCTCTAACCTTCCTTTTGCACACGGGAAGACAGAAATGAAACCCACAAATACACTAACCCCTCTTCCTTTTCCTGTTATTGTGCCCTACGGAATGTGGGTTTGAAGTAGCCATTATCGTTGGTTGGCAAAACGGAAGAAAAAGCGTAAAAGCATTTCTTATCGGGAGACGTTTCGATTTGAGAAATTGAAGATATTTTGTTCACAGTTTGAACTCTATATATAAACTGGAACGATAAATCGGTCGGCATCTTTGTCCCAGAGCCTTTGTTCTCTCGCCAGAGGAATCGCAGGCTCGAGAAATGAGATTGATTTGCAGCCGAATTGAGTATTAGTGCCAGTCCATCCGACAGAAACAATACAAAGAGGGCGGAACTGGTAACAAATTTGGCTTAAGCCAAAAAAAAAGCAGCCAAATAACGGCCAGTTACCGTTCCAGTCTTTATATAGAGTTCGCTGTTTATTTAGTATTTAATTTTTTTTTATTTGTTATCTGCACATTAATAAATGTAATGTTAATAGATAAATGATAAATGCAATGTTAACAGATAAATGTAATGTTATAGAGTTGCAAAGTGCTCCCACAAGTCAAGTTCAACTCGCCATTTTTGTTTCCACTTATCCCTACTTTATACAATCCTTACTATGAATATCTTCTGTAACTCGAGCATCAACATTTATGGTTCAATTATGACGAATTTAAAGATACATTTCTCTTTTATTGCAGTTGGAACGAGGTCCACCGGGACCAACTGGTAACAAGGGTCCCAAGGGTGAACGAGGTGTCCCGGGACCGCAAGGGGAAACAGGGATACAAGGACCCCGAGGCATCCCGGGAATGGGAAATGTATCCAGATGTACATTCAGAACTAAGAACGCCATATCAACGGTAATCAAAGGCATGCCAACTAATTCGCGAGCAAAGGTGGTATACAATGAACCTCAGGTATGCTTCAAATATTTTTCGCAGTCTTTGTGAGAAAATTTCAGTTGGACAGATGTTTGAATATTGTACATCTTTCAAATAAACTCATCCCCATCTAACACCATTACAACTCTTCTCTAAAACTTTCTGCACCGCTTCTCTAAGATATCCTCAATATCCACATAACTCTCTAACACAGACCTCTCTCCAAATGGGACGCTTCGGAAATATTGACATACCTTCCAACGAACACTTCTCTAATGCAATAACCACACCCCCAAACGGGGTGTGACTTCTCTAATGCAATGACCACACCCAGTATAGGGACTTCTCTAATGCAGATACCTTTAATTCTGCAACGAAAACCCCCTTGCACCTCTACACAACCAACATTTTCTACCGTTCCTAAGATAATGTATGCCGTAGTTGAAATAAAATCCTTTCACTTTTAAGGATATCAAAGTAATGGCCGCATCCTGTTCTACGTCTCAAGGCAAGGGGGTCGGTTCGGCATATTTATCCACAACAGAGACGAATGGGAAAATGACATACACTTGTGAATGCGCAGGGATATCTGTGTACGGAGTTTTTAAGCCGACAAGGGACCGTTATGGTAAAAAACAAATTGAATGCATCATCCAGATATGGGAGTGTCCGCTATAGAGGTAGCTGCTTCTATATTTGTAATATTATAGGGAATTTATTAAGAAAATATATTGTATTACAGTAGGTCTTTTTGCAATCAAAAGCTTGTATATGTGTACTGTCTGCCCTACATACTCCGATCAAATGGAACTGACATAAACTGTTGCATAAGAAATATTCGGACGCTGAATGGCACAGATATCGTTGAACTATTATGCACAATCTTTGTGTATTATCAAGGCGATGAAATTGGTTATTTAGGCAAACTACTGTAGCCGAGACCTTTGCAATAAGTCACACGCCTGTGAGCGTTCTCAAGCATTTTACCAAGCACCCTAGACACAAGACAGAACGTCTTCACCAGTTTTAGTTGTCTCACAAAGCCCGTGCAAGTACTCAAAACTAGTTTTTAAAAAACACCCAACTTTTTGGAACATATTTAGGACAACCATCCATCTTGTAAATTGAAAAGAAGAGAACATTTAGACCATAATATATTTTGAAGAGATTATATTTTGAAGAGATTATATAGAAGAGAATATAACATTTAACACAACCAATGCAAAATTTGGATTCTTACACTTGCATGGGCTGGGTGACTCAAATGAAAACAGTGGCGTCGCCAGGGGGGGAACTGGGGGGGACAAGTCCCCCCGAGTTACTCTAAAGACCACTTTTGAGATTTTTCTAAATGTGAAGAGAAAAGTGAGGGGGGGGGGGTACAATGATTCTAATTTCCAACAGCCGTGTAAATAAAGAAATTTTCGAATTAACGTTACTTTTGATCACCTAAAGAATAACATTAGAATAACATATCAGCATAGGAAGAGACATTGCAGATAAGATTGAGTTGGATACTCTTGTTGACACATTTAGATAAGCTAACAACAGAAAGTTGCAATTGTGAAAACTGTTGGTTTATAACAAAAATCGTCAATCTGTGGCTTTCAGATTGTCATAAAACCTGCCTGAAAATGTTGGAAATTGCGTTTTAGAGACCCTAGAAATAAAAATTTTCTCGAGGGGGAATGCCCCCAACCCCCCTAGGGGTCTAACGCCTTTAATTTTTACATCGTCCCCCCCAGTCTGAACAACCTGGCGACGCCACTGAATGAAAAGCCATTCTTTTCGAAGCAAATCATTCAATGTACATTAAAATAAAATTGGTAAATTTGTGATTAAAATAATCTGATATGTAAATAATCGCATGGAAGATGTAATTTGTAACATTTGTAATTATGAATATCTTGCTGAGTAAAATTATATTTTTTAAATATTTATTGAGGTTGAAAACTCATTTAATGAGTCTATGAAGCCCTTTCACAGTTTCACAAACCATTATGATTGATCCAGTGCCTGTCAGTACCTTCTGATGACTGACAGTTTGTTCCTTCTACTGACAGTTTAAGCCAGAATCTCCACTTCTGGAATTTCAAAACCATAAATGTACTTCCAAGCACAATCATTGGTTTTAAGCTAATGATTGGTAAAACACTGTTACCAAAAATCAGCATGTGGCTACACTATTAAAAATCTTAATAGTGATCCAGAGAGCTATGTATTTGAAAATGGGATATACTAACTTTGACAAACTTGAGTGACATTAACAGGGCATGAACATTCTTTTCCATGTGCACTGCTTTCTTACCTCCCCTCCTATTAACTTCAGCGCAATCCCCACCCCCCCTTGCACTGCCCCCTTTTCTTAAGCCCAAGGCCCAGACCATATTGCCATCCATTTGCTCAATGCTACCCAATGAGCCCCAGAGGACAAGTGGGAAGTGGGGGGGGGGTTGTTAATTATTACATAATACGCAAGAAGCTTGTCTACCTGATAGTGTAGCTACGATAATAGCAAACGAGGTCTACAATATCAGTATTAAGCAACTTTTATGGTAAAAATCTAATATTGTCTTACTTGTTTGTGCAAATATTGGTAGGTAAACGGTACTCACCAATCCAAGGAAACCTTTCTTCAAACCGAAGAAATAAAACTAACCCAGCGAATGAACAAGAATCTGAAAAATTTAAAAAGTCAAAGTCGATGAACGAAGATCACATTTTCTTGCCCATCTGGGCGAGTATAATTTTTTACACCTCTCATTGCCAGTCGATGAGGAAAATCATCGATCTCAGATCTTAGCTCTTAAATCTACTTCAACTTTCATTAAAGCTTTGTATTAAACTTTAAAAGCTAAACGGAAAATCAAGAGAATGCACAAGACGTGCACGTGCAGAACCACTTTCACCATGCTGAATCAGCATAAACTTCCATCTTTTGGAGGTTGCATTCGGAAAAAGTTCGGGATAGCACGTACGTAGCATAACGTGATATTGGAAATTATTCCATGTAAAACTTTCCGATATTCTCCAGCTTTCTGAAGCATTTAAACAAGTTCTTATTGAAACGCACAGAGGTACCTAAAATACTTCCGAATGGAAGAGTAAGAAATTTAGCTGTTCATTTGTACCAGTTTTGTACTAAACGAATGTTCTCGACGTTAGTCCGATGGTTCCCGATGAAGCAGCTTCCAATATGGCGTGAAAACATTCGGAAAAGGAAATCGAAATTCGAAAATGGCCTACTTTCAAGCGTATATTAAAAGTAATTTGCAGGCGATCGCTGAATATTTGCCTTCGGTGAGGAAGCAATGTGGAGGTTGCTTGCCTTTGGCATTAACCTTGGAGGAATCCATTCAGCGATGCACGGAGTATACCGAACAAAACAGCATCGTCTTATCGCTTATGACTTGTGAACATGCTGACTCTTTTCATGAAGAAACATTTATCGATGCTTGGATATTAAAATCCCTAAAGGAAAACGAATCTACTCGAGGCAAATACCAGTTTGAGGAAGCCGAACCAATGACAATATATCTTACAAGCGAATTGAGAGACTACCCCTTATTAAGTCTCAATAAAGATGCCAGTGAGAAATGCATTCTTTTAAGAAAAGTTACCCCCATACCTCTTAAACGCATAATAATAGGGGCCTTGAGTATTGAATCGTTTCATTGGGCTAAGGACAATCTTGGTGATTATCTGATCAATATTATCGAGAATCGTTCGATTGTAATTAAGCAAAATGGCAACCTTGGGGAGGTTTTTATTGAAAGCGATTTCCACAACATGTTATCCATGCTGATAGTTCTTGAAACAACTCCAGTTATGCAAGGAGTTGTAACTGAAGAGACAATGCTGGTGATCTCTGACATTCATGGAGATGGTATTGGAAAGTTTCAATTGAGACGGCTCAAGTCAATTCAGGGTGGTGGCAATGTACCTCGTCTGCCTAGGCTAAAAATGCCTACCCCAAAGCCAGCCCATCTTTTACCACAATCGGTGAACCTTGACGAACCGGATGCAGGTTTCTTTGAAGATCGCAAATGTGAGGCCTTAACCACATTGAAGGTTGCTTTGCTGGAAATGCCATTTTGGAGCAAGAATTTGACAGTTCATGATAGCGTTGCTGATGTCGACCACCAAGTTTGGATTGCGAAAAAAACTATGAATGAAATGGGCTTAAATAATGGGACCTGGGTGCGTTGCCAAGTTAATTATGAAAGACTCAGGAAGGATGGAAAGTCTAAATCGGGAAAAATTAAGTTGGCACAAGTGTATCCAATTGAAGAGCAACCATTGTTGGCATGTGTCTGGAGAAATCCACACATAATTAAAGATGAGGAGTTATTTAAAGATGAAATTGCATATGTTTCACCTGTATTTGTGTTTAATCTACTTCAACGCCCATTCCAGGACATTGAAACGATCATGTTGTGCTTGGAAAGAGCTGAGGTTGGAGAATCACCTCCCAGCTTTGCATATGAAGTCAACGTTTCAGTCATTAGTTCACCCATAACGAAAATTACAAAGATGTACGATCTTGTTTTAACTGAGCACTTTAGGACTCCACGGCTTGTTTCCAAAGGCGATGTCCTTTCCATTTATTGTGATTGGAAGAACTTGGATGCCCCAAATACTCAGGTGGCTTTAGATGAGGGCCTACCAAGAAGTCATGTTCTTTATATTAAGGTGGACAAGGTTTTAGGGAAAGAAGAAAGTTTATCGTATTTTGTTGATGCAAGAAATTCTAAGTTGTACCAGGTATGCCCCAAAATTTTTTTTCTTTAAAGCTCCTCAATGCTTTATTGTGCGTACTTGACCAGTTAATTTAGACAAGAATTGTCGACTGGATACCATTTTAGGGTGAAGTGGCACAAAGCTATATTCCATCATCTGCTGAACTGTTTGTACAGAACAGTTCAAAAGTCAAACAACCGAGATCTTCATATTGGTTGACCTCACACCCAGGAGGTCTTGAGGGCTATATTTCCAAGTTGGAAGCTGCCCTTCGGTCGTTGCTTTACACCAGGTAAAAATATCCAAAAATATCCCAAATAAACTCGCATTCCACACTCAAATCTACCTGAACTGTTACTGTATTAACAATGGGTAGGCAAGGGTCAATATACCAAAACACACATTGAAACAAACAGATATTCTCGCATGCTTTCAATTATCAATTGCAATATTCTCCATCAATACTGTAATTTTGTTTGTGCAGAAAGTTGAATTTTAATGCTGCCAAAATTGTAGAAAGCCTTCAATCACATTTTTAACGTACTTTCTAAAATGAGAAAATCAACGTTAATTTAAATAATTCGACACTGGCGAATGATTTGCAAAACGTCTTACCTGTGAGTGTCACTTTAATCACAGTTTTCTCAGAAACACAGCCCCTGCAGTGGCCTTGTGGGTTCATGCCAGATTAATTACTCGCGAGACTCGTGAATCTAAATTTTTGAAGTTCTTTAATTACGCAGTTCATCAAGTGATGTTTTTCCAATACTTTTGAGCGGTCCAGCTGGGGTGGGAAAGAGAACGGTCGTCATGGCAACATGTCGTAGACTGAATTTGCACGTAGTGGATATTAACTGTAACGAGATATGCAGTGACACCACTGGGGCGACTGAGGCCAGAATGCGAAACAGCTTTCAAAAAGGTAGAAAAATATTAAAGTTGTAAACCCTATTAAAAGTTCATACTAAACACTGATTAAACAATATGAAACACTAATTAACTAACTTAACAAATAAACAACAGTAACAGTGACTGATGGGACAATGGCAAAACATACAGCCTTCAAAGTATTCAAAACATAAACAAAATCAAAGACCACGTCTTTGCCATTCACGAATCTTTAATGCCACAATTGCCCGTTGGTTATTAAAATCTACCTTGAAAACCATAAACTTTGTTTTCAAAATGTTTTTGCAAGAAAAATGGAAACAAAGTGTTCAATGCATGTAACTGTTTTATGCCCGAATAAATCAGAAATTGCAAATTTCCCGCCAAACCAGACGGAACGATACTCTTAAGGAACCAATCAAAAGGCTCCATTTTTCTGATTTTTTACTTAGACCGCTTAGCCAAAATAATAATAATGAGTTGTCCATTCATTTGCTTCCCCAACAATGCATCACTCTATCAATCCTGCTTTGTCAAATACTCTACGTAAATTTAATGTTTTCTAAAAATACCACACTATTAAGGCTATGCAACTTTCCTTGCAACTTGTAATGCAATTCATACTCCTGAGGCATCTAAAGTTGTCAAATACGAACATTTGTTACAATCTGCTAACGTTTTCCTAGCATATCGAACACTCTTTACTAATTAACATCCCTCGAAATTAAAATTTGCAAATTGCAAGGAAAATTGCATAGTGTATAACACCGCCTTTAATATTTTATGCTGCAACTGTTTCACGTTCAATAACTTTACCCCAGCTTTTACATGTGCTCCGTGCGTGATGCTCTTGTCAAACATTCACTGTCTGGGTAAAGATAAGGACAATCACGACAAGGAACCTCGCATCATCACAACTCTGATGATAAACCTTCAAGAAATCCAGAAGGTCTCGCAATATCCCGTCCTAGTCCTGGGCACCACTTCCAACATCCAAAACATGACGTCAGATCTCCGCTCGTGTTTCTCTGACGAATTTGAAATCGACGCTCCTGGCGAGGGCCAAAGGGTGGAAATGTTAAAAGCCCTATCTACGGGTATGAACTTTGTGAATAATCGTGAGCCTTGACACAGGCTGGTTGTGGTATAGTGCTCCTCGCTTTAATTTCTCTTTATCTTATACGCAAATTTTCGATATGTTGTGAAAGCCGACTCAGTGACTGGCTGAAGTAAGGTTGAAAGTGAAAAATCAACTGATGTATAACATTAAAAAGTAGTTAGCTAATCCTTGTTTCCGAAATTAGTAGCCGCGCTTTGTTGAAAATTGTATAATACAAAAAGCTAGCCTTACGTAGCTCAAATATTATTGTATGCTTGTGTTGCTTGCAGCTAAACAACTCCTTTGACTGAAAAACGTCCAACCCCATTGCGATTGGTATGATTTTCATGTTGTCAATGTTTTTCTCTGGCAATCCACAGGGTTCCTTGTTGGTCCCGGGGTGTCCTTTAAAACGCTCGCAAGTCGAACTGCCGGAATGGTCCTTTCCGATTTCTGCACGATGTTCTCCGAAGCTGTTCTTCAAGCAAAAGACGATATCATGGGGTACCTTAAGGAGGTACAGCTGATTCCACCGAACGGCGATGCTCAAAGCTGGGGATATCGGAATCAGTTGATCGAGATGCAAAAAGATGTTTGCAGCGCCGGTGAGTTAGGGACCCGGGGATGTTAAGACCACCACTGATTTGCGCAAATCCCCCCGTCCCGTATAAATCTCACACAGAGATTGCCTGTATTTGATGAGATGGAAACTGGACTTTAGAACATCAGTTTATCTTTAGGTATCTTGCTTCATCAAAATCATTTCGACAAAGCGATACAGGTACTACAAGCAGCTCACGCCGACAGTATCGGTGCTCCAAAGATTCCGAACGTTTGTTGGAAAGATATTGGTGGTCTCAGCAATGTGAAACAGGAGATTATGGACACCATACAATTGCCGTTTCAATATCCCGAACTGTTTGCCGCTGGCATGCAACGGTCAGGTACGCTGTAATACACACTAAAGGCGGATTTCCACTTACTAGCGAAATCGTTCGCTAGCGAAATATTTGCATATTTTCTTTTCAATTGAGAACAGTCAAGTCGAACTAATTTACTTATGCTGTTAAAATTCTAAAGAAAATATGCAAATATTTCGCTAGCGAACGATTTCGCTTTAAGTGGAAATCCGCCTCAAATGTAACTGATTTTGTTCGCTAATGCGAAAATGTTATAAAGTCGAACCGATTCTGTATTTAGGAATCCTGTTGTATGGCCCTCCAGGGACAGGAAAAACGTTGGTAGCCAAAGCTGTGGCAACTGAATGTTCACTCAATTTTCTAAGGTAAATTCTTAGAAACATTGCTTATATACCGTGTTTTTCAAATGAAACATGATTTTAGGAGCAAACAGTTTTGACAACAGTTTCTCAGATATTCGAAATCGTATCATTGTAGTTTAGCAACAGCTAAGTAAACCTGGTTCATTTGGGTTTCATTATATTTGTAGTGTAAAAGGCCCCGAACTGATCAACATGTATGTTGGACAAAGTGAAGAAAATGTTCGCGAGATATTTGCGACGGCTTCACGGGCGGCACCATGTGTCATCTTCTTTGATGAACTGGATTCTCTTGCTCCGAATCGTGGACGGAGTGGCGACTCCGGCGGAGTTATGGACAGGTATGAATATCAGTTTTTGAATGACATATATTTTGCGTTTATTGCACGTTCCTAAAAAGTTAAGTGGTAAGTAGAGCAGAGTTGCTTCTCTTTTCGCTGTTACTCGGTTATTTATTGAAAAAATAGTTATATATTTTGTTCTCTAAATGGTTTTCTGACAACACAGAGTTGTTTCCCAACTGCTGGCTGAGCTAGATGGTTTGAAGAGGTCACATGATGTATTCGTGATCGGAGCGACAAATAGACCCGACTTGCTCGATCCAGCCCTTCTTCGTCCCGGACGGTTTGACAAACTCCTGTATCTTGGCATCAGCAAGGCGAAAGAAGACCGTATGAAGATCATGAAAGCTCTAACCCGCAAGTAAGCTTCCGGAAATGCAGACAGACTGACCGCCGATCTAACGGGCAGACAGGAAGTTGGAGAGACACATACACGAATGACAAACTGATAAACAGACAGACAAGACAGTAAAACAGACAGCAGGCAGACGGACAAGAAAGACAGACAACAGGCAAGACAGACAGACAGGCATGCGGACAGACACAGACAGACAAACAGACAGACAGACAGACAGACAGACAGACAGACAGACAGACAGACAGACAGACAGACAGACAGACAGACAGGCGGCAGACATGAAAAACTAACAGACAGACATGCCAGCAGACAGACAGGCGGCAAACAGACAAGACCAACAGACAGACAGGCAGGCGGCAAACAGACAAGACCAACAGACAGACAGGCAGGCGGCAAACAGACAAGACCAACAGACAGACAGGCAGGCGGCAAACAGACAAGACCAACAGACAGACAGGCAGGCGGCAAACAGACAAGACCAACAGACAGACAGGCAGGCGGCAAACAGACAAGACCAACAGACAGACAGGCAGGCGGCAAACAGACAAGACCAACAGACAGACAGGCAGGCGGCAAACAGACAAGACCAACAGACAGACAGGCAGGCAGACAGACGAGACAGGCTGCAGACAGATTCAATCTTAAATCGGAAAAGTTTATAACAGTAGATGTATTCTGCAAGTGCACCATCATCAGTGCACTTCATCCCACAGTTAATTGATGTAGAGTTCGACTCCCCAAAGTTTGATGAAGATAACGATGTATTTCTAGATTCAACTTGCCAGAGGAAATAAGTTTAGGTGATTTGGTTGATATGTGTCCTGAAAACCTAACGGGAGCCGATTTTTACGCTTTATGCTCAAATGCGTTACTAAATGCTATAAAGCGACAAATCCTTAAACAGGATGCAGGTATGTGAACATGCCCGAGACAGGCTAAAAACATAAGCTTCAAACAGTGAACTCAATAAAGACGTTTTTTGTCTGTACGATAAAGAATAGGAATGAACTGGCCCTGGAGGCTGGTGCCAATTCCAAGATGGCGACCGAGTTATCGTTCTCATAGAGTTCAATGGTTTCAAAGTAACTACGCACTATAGATATTTTACATGATTGCATTAATGAAGTCTATACTGTATGAGTGGCAAAAGACAACAGAACATTCTGATTCTGATCAATGAATATGACTAAATAGCATTGTATTTTTATTGTATCTCTATTGCAAATATCATAGTTTACCTTGCCGTGATAGTTTACACAATCCTTCCGTTTTGCAGGCACTGCAAAGGCTGAACTAACACAGCAAGACTTTGAGCTTGCTATCGAGAACCTTGTTCCTTCAGTATCAAATGAAGAATTGAGACATTATGAGAAAATACAGTGGGAATTCAACAAGAACAAGCAGGCCGAGAAAGATGTTCACATAGGGGAACTGGAAATAGACGGAAAAGAAACTGACTTGTGATTGAAACCATGGCAACTTGACGCATAATGAACGTTCGTGCATGTGAACGGTTAAACTTGGTAAAAGCAGTAGTCTGTTCTGGTATTTGAAGTGTAAATTTATTTCCGCATAATATACGAGAACCTGCCAAAGGTTTTGCTAAATTTGTTCATAGAGTGGACTCTAGTGAACCTCTTTTATAAAGGAATAGCGTAGCCAGCCTGACGATTTTGTCCCTCTATGTAAATTGAGACTTATTGAGTTATTATAATTATTATTCATGTCTTTAGAACTTTATTATCTTCACAGTCAATGGAACCAAAATATTAGCATAGGGGGACAAATTGTCAGGCTGGCTACGTTTTAAAAAGTATTTTTGCTGGGCAGAAAAGAACTCGAAGACCGTTAAACTATTTAACATCTATACCATGCATGAGCTCGAGTTATATCAAGGCCCATTTATACACAATGCGATTTGTTTTATATACGATTCTTACCCTGGCGTATGTGAACGCCGGTATGAACGTGCACACGTATACAAATCAAATGTGACACTTTAAATTCCAACCTTAACAAAATTGAATGAAGATTGTGGCATAGGCACTCTTTTGCATTCGTCACAATATACTTATCGTATAGTTAAATATATAGGCCTTTACTATTACTGTTTGTTTTCGCTATGTGAGTAGCTTAGCCATGCAATCAGATAACGTAACAGCTTGAATTTAGTGAGTAGCTGTATCATAATATATATCTGAATGTGAAAATCCTATACAAATCATGCATCTTGTACAAACGCTTTACCTAATAAAAATTTTATGTCTGAGTCTCCTGCATTTCTAACAACATTTACATCCTGTGAATATCCTGTAAGTATATAAATATTAAACGACACACGCAGTTGGTGACGTAATCTTCGGCACACAAAGCACAAATCTCTTGTTCTGATTCTGCTCTGCAAGCTTATAGTCATGCTTATCCTCACAAACCTGGTGGAAAGCCCGAGCATTGTAATCTCTGCATTGAAGAAAAACTTTGCCTAATGAAAGCTGATGAGCATATACTTTTAAACAAAAGATCAGAACTATATATGCTAAATGCAGCCATCGCGATAAATTTTATGCTGGAAATTTCAAACGCACGCGCAAACATTAACAGTGCGCGTGAGCCGACCGTTAATCACGCAATCCAATGCAACGAACTGAATTTAATCGCCTGAAGATCGAGATAATCGTGAAACTCAGACTTTCAGCGTTTATATATAATACATATCAAATATGAATTCTAAGATTATATATATATATATATATATATATATATATATATATATATATATATATATATATATATATTAACGAAAAAGGCCAGTCGAAATAAAGATTTTGGCATGATTCTCAAAAAGATTTTTGTCTATGGTTAACAAATCGTCTTAATACGTTTTTAAACCCTCGCGCGTGAGGAATTGACGTAATTTGTCAAAACTCTTGGCATACGGGCAGGAAAACGTTTAGTTGAAATAAACACTCATTGTATTTCATAACTGGTGGCGGCGACAGTATGCTCTGATATTCTCCAAGACTTAATTTCATCTACTTGATTCGCTCTACTATAACATCTTATAGTATTGAGCACTCTTTTGTCTCTCTCTCTCTCTATATATATATATATATATTATACATGCAATCTTAGAATTCAATCTTGTAGTTGTAGAATTGTTAGGCTGACCTAGGCAAAAAGGTTATAGCATGTGGTATAGAATTGTCATTTTGTATGCAGGTACACCGCGAATATTTTTTATAGTTCAAAGCTTTTGGTCCCTATACCCTTCATCAGTGCAATCAACTTTCAAAACAGAAGCTTTTTACTTTACAGCACACTAGCCACGATAGCTTTATTTTCACACTCTTGCACCTGGAGAATATCAGAGCATACTGTCGCCGCCACCAGTTATGAAATACAATGAGTGTTTATTTCAACTAAACGTTTTCCTGCACGTATGCCAAGAGTTTTGACAAATTACGTCAATTGCTTACGCGCGAGGGTTTAAAAACGTATAAAGACGATTTGTTAAGCATAGAAAAAAATCTTTTGGGAATCATGCCAAAATCTTTATTTCGACTAGTCCTTTTTCGTGAATGACTTTTCAAGACACCTAGTAATAAACTGCTTCCCCCTCGCTTGCATATACATCCGCTGAAAGTCTGTGGAAATTGCTATACTTGTATAAGTATAACATAACGCTGCCAATTATTCGCCGAAGGCGAGGTGATAATCGGAGAATACAACAGCATAATATACGTCAAATTTGACCAATCAGAATGTAGGATTTGTTTTATTCCCTTGACCTTGTGCAAAAATACTAAATGATGATATCACAGTACCTGCATATAAGTATAAGGCACTTGCGGAATGTCATTTTATATGGGAAAACGGAACTTATTTGCCCTTCAAAAAGCCCTGTGTATGTTTATACAGCTAGGTGAGTAAAAAAAACTGACACCTTTGAAATTCAAATCAGCCGCGAACCTATGGCTGGAATTTGACAATTCCATTTTAATTATATAATATTTGGCTAATTTCTCCTCCTTTGGCATTATAGCTACAATAAAAATATACAGTATAGTATTTTATATTTAGTATTTTGCCAGTATAGCACAAGTGAATATAACAAATACTATACATTCTGATTGGGCCGGTTGTTCAAAGCTAGGTTAGCGCTAACCCTGGGTTAAATTTTACTCAGTGTTTTGGTTTATATATATATATGCTTCTGCATTGCTGTTCGCTTCGACATGGCAAAATAGATTTATATTTATCCACAAAATATTTATGCATGGGAAAACATGTTCAACTGCAAAACCGAGCGATTAAAAAAACTGATGTAAAAATTTGAGTTAACCTGGGTTAACCGGCTTTTGAACAACCGCGGCCCCAGGTGAATATAACAAAACAAAAATTGCAAAATGGCGGCTAAAGAGATAAGCGAACAAATGCAGTTCTTGTGTCAAATCACTGGTTCAAAAATACTAAAACACTTATTCGCCTTAGGTTTGGTGATTATCGGGGACTTCATCTCGGGGAATAGGTGATTATTCACCTTGTTAAATACTGTGCTAAGAAGGGGGGGGGTTAGATCAATCAGCACGTTAATTTGTTTACATTTTCAGTAACCCAATCAGAATGCATAAATTTTTACTATACTTTCGGTAAAAAGGTACATTATTTTATATAGCCCCTATAAACTTTATTTAACTTTAAGCCTTCTGATACTAATGATCAATGAGAAAATCCTTTCCTGATATTATAAGTGGCAAGATCACTGAAAATCACGCAAGTCTTATTCGAGAGAAAATATCGTCACGAAAACGATTGAGATCTCCCACTCAGTGAGTTTGAGGGTGAGCCAGCTTTTAGAATACATGCAGGGGTCGGTTGTATGTATATAAAACTCTTTAACAACATTTTGCATAGTTAAATCCTAGTCAACTCAGAAATACACAACTCTGATTGGCCAGTTCTGCCCTTAACTACAGTTAAATGTTAACTATAGTCTCAGCTTATATTAGCAATATATATATATATATACTAAACTATATAATCTCAGCTCTTAACAACTTGCATCACGCAATCTTGTTTCTTTTAAACATAACGGTGTTTTTTTCTCGCCCTCACTTTGGTCAATTATATAGTATACGGCATGTTTCCCGCGCTTGCATGCATATCTATATACATATGGCTCCTGCTATAAGACTTGGAATAATGATATTTTGATGCATGCAAAATGCCGAACGTGAGATGCTTGGTCTATTTTTGCAATCTCATGCATTTGACAGGGAACCGGACGAAAAATAACCGGACGGCTAACTCACAATGACGCACAATTGTCAATGTGGCACGGACGGAACTTTGTTTGCATTTAAAAAACCCACACAGTATTCATCTAATCCTGTTCCTACCCGTTGGTAGTGCAAGGTATATATAAGCTCGCTGGAATACCGTTCTTCCACAAACAGTTAGCTGTGTCCTCGTTGAAATTGCAGACTTGAAAATTGTGCAGTTAAAGTTGAAGATAACGAAGTTCTTTTAAATATTGTTCTTTTGAAGGTGAGCTCTCGTTGAGGTAAAAGACATGTATAGCTAACTAACTAAGGACGCATGCAGTTAGAAAGGGTTTAAGGATTCTAAATAATTTATACTTCGCGTTATAAACATGAAACGGCTGACTTCATCGGGCGAAGAAAAAATTCACTAGAAAAAATTCACAAAACTGAAACAGTCAGTACATGCAGTTTAATCGTTGAAGTTGCAAGCTGAATTAAATTGTGCTGACGGACTACTGAATTAGAAGTCTGTTAAGCTCGTATTCTGCCAAAGTTGAGTTCTGCATGTCGTAAAGATTTAAAAAGTAAAAAAAAATCATATGAATGATCATCGCGTAAATGATATAGCTATTACTTTTTGTATTTCTGTAGTCGAACATCAGAGTATATACGATGAACGTTTTGATCAGCTTAGGATTCGTATTGGTCGTTGCAACTTTAGGTGAGTTATATGTAAAATCTTTTTAAAAAAAAGTTATCTACATGTTGTAACACGTCCCCTATCTCTTTGTATCTTTCAGCGGAATCGTCGGGGGTGTAGGGGTAATAGCCCAGCAACATATAGCTATATTAGATTTATAACCACATCAGTAACTTCTTCTTCAGTATATAGAAATGAATTAAAAAACTGTGCCTCCGGCTCGTGCTGTTGTCTCTCGCACTAACTTCAACTAAAAATGACTAATCACTATTCACCAGCCGTTTCTGAGGGTCAAGTGTCTAACAATTAAGCATTGTTCATTGTTTCACAATGTTTCATTGTTTAGTTGTGCAACGCCCGCGTGCATAAGTGCTTTATTTAAAATCTTGAACCCAGTTGCTTCATTGCGTGTTCGTCATGTTTCAAACCGTGTGCTTCCAATCATGGAATAATACAGTGCCTAAATCAGATTAATGCTTTCAGTTTTTTCGTTTTTACATATATAATATATATATATATATATATATATATATATATATATATATATATATATATATATATATTATATATTTATATATATATCGTTTTTACATATATATATATATATATATATATATATATATATATATATATATATATATATACACCCGTTTGCAAAAACGTTGTCCGCAGATAGATATATAGATAGATACCCGAAATCTAATTAGAATTGCATATGTTGTGTAATATGATTGAAATCCCATGCAAATGTATTCATATGCAATTCTAATTAGACTTCGAGTATCTATCTATCTATCTATCTGCGGCCAACGTTTTTGCAAATGGGTGTATATATATATATATATATATATATATATATATATATAATATATATATATTATATATATATATATATATATATATATATGTATTTATATCGTTTTTACTTACATAAATATATATATATATATATATAAATATACGACGAGAGTGAGCAGAATAACTGTTTTAAACAAACTTTGTCGCCCTTTCGGTGCATTTTGGTGTGCTATCATCAACTAAAGCTTGGATTTCTATTTTACTCAACTCCCCAAATCTTTCAGCCATTTTGTTTACTTTCTCTGCTAGACAGATATGAGCTAATATATCTGTCTAGTAGCCAACCAATGAAATTGCAGCATACCTCATATCTGGCGCTTGTGTATATAATAAATTAATACAATGCTGCGGGGAAACCTATGTTAGGGCTGCCTTCCACTATAGCTGTCGCGTATTTTGGACGCACGGCCGCGGCTGAAAACGTTCCAATTAGATTAACGTGCGTATACGCACGCATACTAAAAACGCGGAAAGTGGAAAGCAACCTTAGTATTGTTAAATGATATATAACGACATGCATGAGCTACTCAAAGTTGCTGTAGTCAAGGCGCATAACTGTGGCCGCACATATATTGAAAAATTGTCGTATTCGTTCGTAACGTCCGTTATTAATTGTTTGGTGTCGTTTCAGGAAGCGCTTTGGATTGCTATCATTGTAGAAGCAAGGAGAAATGCAGAAGTGTCAGCTGCCCACCCCAATTTGACAGATGTGTCGAAGGAACCCTTGTCTACAAAAATGGTACAGAGGCGTATCACGCTAGCTGTGCTCCTGTTACAGCTTGCAAGATAATTGAGGCGGGGACGACGTGTGATAAACTAAAGGCATCGAATGAAATTAAATCCTGTGACATTAAATGCTGCAGTACCGATAATTGCAACAGTGGCGCAGCTGGTGCGACTGTTGCAAAATTCACACTTTCTTTAATGACAATCGTATGTTTAGTTTCCACCTATCTCTGAGTTTTAAAGTAATGTATAACTGCATTCACATGCATGTGTGCGTCCATGGACGCAATTTCTTAATAACCTATACGCCGTACTTTATATGATAATTATTATATATATATACCTTACATTACTGGTTTATCTTACCTATATGTATATATACCTAGTATATCTACCTACTAATATGAACGAGTTTTGTGATTGGCTTTTTGTAACAATAGTGAACAGTGTTTATGATTCGTTCTTTTAGAAATCAATTTACCTATACGATTATATATGTTGTTTTATTTCCATTTTGTATACAACTAATATAAGGCTATAGCTGTCCGCAGGTAAAAATTTAACCTCCATGTTGTTGATTTTGTTTATGAACTTATTATTTATTTAAAAGAATGAACATTACAACTTAGAATGCATGGTTTGCCTGAAATTGTGCTGATTTCACATTCCCGCTCTCGAATTTGGGACGTTGATATCTTCGCCATTGGTATGACGTCATATAACGTGGGATACGACTATTTATCACACGTTATGACGTAGTAACGTGTAAGAGAAAAGTCGCATCACACGTTATGACGTCACACGTTGGACATGACGATTAATGTCAGTTAAAAGTTAATTATGATTTTTGGCACTTCACTTGATGCAAGAATATTCTAGAGGTTTTAAAGGGTCTTAATTTCGAGTGGTATTATACGAGGCACACTTTTAATTCAAGCAAGGAACAGTTGATGGAAAAATGAGTCAACTATACTCTATAGTTTTTTTTTTCTTTTGCGATGCCGGTTCAATGTTCTTGCCACTGATCGGCATCACAAAAGCGTAGGTTCGATTCCTGTCGGAGGACCTATAGTTGACTCTTTTTTCCATCAACTCTTCCTGACTTGAATTTGAAGTGTGTATAATACCACTCGAAATTAGTATCAGTTAAAAGTTAACTATATAATCTTACAGATTACAGTTAAAAGTTCACTATATATAGTCTTTTATACAACTGCATGGCCCCTGCATGGTATTATATTTATATTATATATCTTCTATGATGGCATTGCAATTTGCAAAGTTGTTTGAAGGTCAAAAACATGTAATTTCTTTCTACTTTCATCCTTCCTGTATGTCAAGATCACGTGTTTTTTCAGTTGGCAAATGACGCCTTATCGTGGCGTCAAACTTTCTTTATGATATTGATCAATGAAGACTTTATATAAACCAACAAAATATAACATCGCGCAATCTTGATTCTATTCATTGTTGTACTATTTAAGACGTATATTATATGAGCTCCAAATAAAGGCTCCTGTATACGAGCAGTTATAGTTGAGATTGTATATGATCAAATTAGACGCGGTAAAGCTCGAAGGTACGTAAGCCTTAATTCTACCATTCATCCACCTAAGCTTGACGGTTCTTGCTTATAAGCTCCTGTGGCGAAGGTTAATTAAGTCGATGTAGGTAAATTCTAGAGGTTTAAAGGTCTTAATTTCGAGTGGAATTATACACACTTCAAATTCAAGCCAGAAACAGCTGATGGAAATATGAGTCAACTATATATAGGTCCTCCGGCAGGAATCGAACCTACGCTAACTGTTGCGATGCCGGTGCAATGGAATCGGTCAATCAGAGTTGTGTATTTCTGAGTTAGCTAGGATTTAACTATATGCATAGCTAAATATATAGCTATAAAGAGTTTTATACAACCGGCCCCTTCCGCATAATGACGAAACAAGCCACGGCCCCGCGTCTGCAGGGAATTTTGAAATGCTATTGGGACTGACATCGTCGCTATAGTGTTCAGACAACATCGATTTTAAAAAGTATAGAGGTTATTTATCTAAGAATACAAATATTCAATAAACCGTTTCTGTACATACAATTTTACTGTACAGTCCATAATGTAAACAAACGCTATCTTTTGCTTTGTTTGTTTTTATCCGTTTAATTCTATTCTAATAGACGAGCATCCCGGAGCCGATGAGGAAACAACTTTTAGTCGCCTTTGGAATCTTGTTGACCTTCGCAGCTGTAGGTGCGTTATACGACAGTTGATAAAATCAAAAGACAGGAAATTTGCCGTTTCGTAGTCACAACCGACCTACACTAACTTAGACTTAGTATACAGGTCAATGGTGGTGACGTTTTTAACGTGTGATTGCCTTAAAGGCCGTGTTACACAATGCAATTTTCCTGCAACTTGCAATGTGATTCTACTTCTGGAAGATTTTGCAACTTTGTGCATGAAAGATTTTCAGTTGCCACTCTGCTCATTATTTCAAACCGACATATTTTCAAAACTCTCACACAAATTTACATGTCTTAAAAAAGCAAATGAACGGAGACATGGATCATAGGTTCGACATTCACATGAAAAGTTTGACGTCTCTCTATATAGTTGAATATAATTGTAATTTTTCAGTTGAGACAATTTTTTCGGTTTATGTCAGAGCTATAGGCCTGTATAATTCTCATATTGATAATTAGGAAGATCATATAATTTCGACTAGTTTAATAAAGAATAACAAAATATACTAGCAATCGATTAAATACTGAAGAAGGGGTTTCTAGGTATTTTGACAACCAGTCTGAACCTTGCAGATTCGCCGAAATACGATGGCAATGCATGATGCTCACGTCAGCTAGTCTTCATGCATGGTTATAGCCATTGACATCTATATATATATTATAATATATATTATATAATATATATATATTATATATAATATATTAATATATATATATATTATATATATATATATATATATTATATATATATATATATATATTAATTATATATATATACCTGCATGGACTACTTGCTTGTGCACATTTAATCAGCGACGATTTGCTGACATATTTGCTGACGAATATGAGAGTAAGGCCCGTCAATGCAGACGAATATGAGATAAGTCAGTGTGGTCAGTGCATGGTCGACTTCATGAGCAAGCACTCTCATAATCGACGCCATTTTGAATCACGCATTTTTAATGACGAGCAGACAGTCCAGGTATATATATATATTATACACACTTCAAATTCAAGCCAGGAGCGATATCGCAAAAGCGTAGGTTCGAATCGATTCCTGTCGGAGGACCTATAGTTGACTCATTTTCCCATCAACTGTTCCTGGCTTGAATTGAAGTGTGTATAATACCACTCGAAATTAAGACCCTTTAAACCACTAGAAAATTCCTGCATCGAGTGAAGTGACAAAAATCATTATTTATTTACTCTCAGGTATATATATATATATATATTAATATATATATATATATATATATATATATATATATATATATGTCAATGGTTATGGCGGCTATATCATTCTAAAGCCCTGTTTACATGTACTACAGTCAATTTATCGGCTAAAATTGGTACCCGTACCCAATTTTATTAGTGCTCAGGCTACCAAAACAAAGATCGAGCACAGATGGAATGGGTACCTATTTTAGCCGTACCGTGCCCGGCATCAAATCTCCATTGAAATTTTCCGTGTTGTTTTTGAAATCTCGCCTTGCCTCGTTTGGTTTTGTTTTATTAGGAAACGGTTTGAGCTGTTATCAGTGCACTGCTTACGAAGAGCAAGAGGCATGCCAGAGTTCGAATTGCTCGTCCACATTCGATAGATGTTCCACGACCACAGTTGTCGACCAAGATGGCACGAAAAGTCATGAAAGATCATGCAACCATGCTGATATTTGCAATACTGATAGGGAGTGTCGTATCGAAAAGGCAGCTAATCCACATCTGAAATCATGTGATTTTAAATGCTGTAGCACCGATGATTGCAATAACCCAAGCGGTACGTGAACGCGGTAGCAGTCGGGGCAAAGATGAAGCTGTAATGATACAGTGCCTCATTCACAATAATTAATATATATGCCTCAGTTTTCACCTATATACCTTCATGAATTGCTGCACGCAAAAGCTCGTGCTGTGAAATGAGAACTCAAACTATACCCATATGCTACACTGCTTGCACGCACAAGAAAATTATTAAAGAATTGTCGTGTTCTTTTCTAAAGTCTTATTGACGTGTCTCTTTGTTTGGTGTCGTTTCAGAAAAGGTTTTGAAATGTAATGTTTGTGATAGATCGAAAAGAGGACAGAAATGCAAAAGCATGAGCTGCAAGTACGGACGTGACAGATGTGGCGCGGGAAACATTGCCTTCAAAAATGGTACTGAGTGGTCTGCGAAATACTGTACCACTGCTTATAATTGCAAACGTGATCAGCGGTTGTGTGATAAATTAATGGCCTCGAATGAAGTGAAATCCTGTGACATTAAATGCTGCAGTACCGATAATTGCAACAGTGGCGCAGATGGTGTGACCGTTGCAAAATTCACACTTTCTTTAATGACAATGCCAATGGTGTGTTTAGTTTCCATGTTTTTTTTGAGGCCTTAATGTAATGTGAATGCATTCACATCAGTGCACGCAATTTCTTAATGATAATCTATTCGCGTAGTTTACCACTTTAACATGTTATCGACTGTATTATAAACAAGACCGCTTTGTTGTCAGCATTTTCATCTATGAGTTTATTATAGAATTTCATTTTAGTTTGATAGACAAGGTTATTTACTGCATTGCTCAACATATTTTTCTCTGCTATCGACTGATTTATCAGTTTCTCCATACTTTTTCTAATCTTCGTCTCTTTTTCTTATACTTTCTCTTTTTCTGTATATACAAAGATACTGTTTACAACTACATATTCAGTGAATAAAATTCAAGTTGACTCATTCAAGAGAGGTGTGAGAGTGTTATTTAACTTTGAGTTTCCATGCACCATTAAGACTAAACGGGCTTGATACAACCGGACCCAGGTTTCATGCTGTACTTTCGTACGATATGTATCTTATGGTAAAAGTTGAAGGCCATTATGTTAAAAGTTAAATGCAAATTAGTATGCATGCAAATCTTCATGTCGCAAATTTCTAGCAATGAGAAATGACGCACAATGTGTCCGCGTACGTCATTGGATCGGCGGAAATTTTTTAAACCCACACAATATTTTATTCAGTTCTGCATGTTCCTGCTGGTTGTGTTGTGTGAGGTATATATATAAGAGCTCGCTGGAATAACGATCTTATACACAAGATACAGTTACTGTGTCATCGTTAAAGTTGCAGACTTAAAAATCGTACAGTGAAAGTTGAAGTTAGTAAAGTTCTTTTAAATTTTGTTCTACTGAAGGTGAGTTCTCGTTAAGACTGTATAATAATGTATAACTAAGAGAGCAGCACTAAGAAAAAAATAATAGAGTAGGCACAATCTAAAAAAAAATAAAAGAGTAGGCACAATCTATCTTGCCGTTTGTCGGGAACGCGAATCCTAAACTCCCTAATTTATAACATCAACGCAAAGAATTTCTTTCTTTTATATTTAGAGTCGAAAATCAGAGTATGATGAACAAAGTTTTAATCGCCTTGGGATTCGTATTGGCCGTTGTGACCTTAGGTGAGATACATTATAATACAAATTCATTAATGCTTGCGAACGACGATCGTTGTGTGACTAATTTTGCAGATTAATGCTTTAGTTTTGACCGCACACGTAAAATTGCACGTTTAACAAGTGAATGACTTTCGGATGTAGTTATTAATTGTTATTTTAGAGTTCCGGTTTCATGCTGCGATGCATGCCTGCACACATGGGACTTGTCACAGTGCTCGGAAGCTTTCGTCCAATTGGATAACGCTTTTCTATGTTTTCTAAAGAATGAAGCTATGCTATTGGTTGAAACATAAATGTAATTGTAAAGTTTAGCCAATGAAAATCATTCTTGCGAGGAACTGCGATGCATACCTGCACACATATGCGTACAAGACGAGGAGGGGAGGGCAGCCTCAGCTCCCGGCCGCCAAAATGTTCTTTGAAATCCAGGTGTTCGGGCAAAACAGAATCACAAATTATTTTCATTTTGCAAATAAAAACATCTTCCCCAAAACTTATCGCAAAGATGCGAGCATTTTTCGGCATGTTGTTATTTTTCAATCTATCCTTGCTTGTTTTAATCTATCCTTGCTTGTTCTAATCTATCCTTGCTTGTTTTAATCTATCCTTGCTTGTTTTAATCTGTCCTCATTGTTTCGTGCTGTTTTTAGGTGGTGGTTTGAAATGCTTTTTTGGGGGAAATACCCGGGAAGGGGGAATTTATAGCAGGAGTTTCGAATGCCGAGATGAAACGGATATATGTTACATGAAAAAATATACTGATCAAAATGAAACGGAGCAGTATTTTGGTGGCTGCATCGATGCTGAAACGTGCAAACTTGGTCAGAAAGGCTGTGAAGACCTACGGCAACACTCATGGACGGCCCTCGGTATAAAATCCTGTGAATACAAATGCTGCAGCACCGATAATTGTAACAAACTCATCGGTAGCAAAGGTGGCAGCGATGGTAAAGATGGCAGTGGTGCAGCTGGTGTTGTTTTTACAAAATTCACTCTTGCTACGATGGCAATTATTTGTTTAGTTTCTACTTATTAAGTCTCCTTGAGTCTTTCAAGGAATGCAAGTCATATAGTCCCGTCGTGTCCCGCAGCTAGAGCCGAGATTCAACGAAGCGTGAGATGATTTTGAGGTATTGAAATTAGTATTTATGAAACTAAACAAGCACATGCTATTGTCAAGGTGATCACACGACTGCCAGGATCATGTTATATTCTCAATTCAATGCCTCAAAATCATCTCACGTTTCGTTAAATCTCAACTAAGCGGGCAATCTCGTTCCCCGAGCCCGCGATTCCTCTGGCGAGAAAACAAAGGCTCTGGGATAATCCAAACCGGAAGCCCGAAATTCTGGCTTCCGATTTGTAACGGTTTTTTGTTTTTCAAAATTAAAACGGCCTGAACAACCAATCAGAATCATTTCTGGTTTGGATTATCCCAGAGCCTTTGTTTTCTCGCCAGAGGAATCGCGGGCTCGGGGAACGAGATTGCTAAGCGGGATCATGTAGACAAGCACTAAAGCGCCCCCAGCCCCCACGTCTTCGCGGTCATATATAATTATTTATATGCTGCAATTCAATTGCCAGTTATACTGCATTAGCTTTTAATATTTATTATATTTCAGATGTTTTAAAACTTTCTCTTGTTTCATATGCAGCAGTGTAATTGTTGTGGTACGATTGTATCTATAACAGTTTATTTCTATAACAATTGCACGATTGTATCTATAACGGCTGTTTATAAGTAGTAAACATAAAACATTAAACGCAAAGTTTTAACTTCATGTAGTTTATTTGTATATTTTTGAGGCTGGGTATGTCGATTTGCAAAGACCTAACCAACTGTAAAAAGCTATTTCAACATCGCTTTAACAAAAAAATGAAACGAGCCATAACATGAGGTATAAAACGTGCTAACATGAGGTATAAAACGTGCTAACATGAGGTATATATAAATGCCTGCAAACGAAGTGTCAAATTTGTAACAACGACAACATGAAACCGCGGTTTTTGGTTTGCCGTAAACGTAATATACTAAACGATTCGCGGTGTGAACACGCTGCAACCTCGTACCCAGGGTAATTTCGCTGTGGTAAGAAGACCCTGGGTACGAGGCTGAATACGCTGTCGCTGTGTTTCAACAACACTATACTTTAAAGTATCGAATAATGTGTTAAATCATGAACGTTTCACCAAACTCGTGATATTGATTATTATTATTATTGATTATTAGGAATTGCTGACGTTTTGAGCCAAAAAGTATATGCATCATATAATTTATAGTGCAGTTTGTGTTTGCGTTTGCCGTGTATATAGAATTTAATGCTTGAACGGCTATGGGTGTGTATGCAGTCGCTCAATTAAGCATATATAGTACAACTTAGTACGCCGAAATCGATCGACGCACACTGCAGAGCTGAATTTACTGCTTTTCTAAATACATCAGCAATGACCTTTGACTTTGTTCTCTTGCATTACTGCTGGACGGTATTTTTACCGTTACTCATTACTTAAGTTGTTAGAGTCCGTAAACTGTGTGTTTAATATGGACAATTGTTTCCGAATAGTGTAGAGATATTGGCCTATCGACTCGTTTGAGTAATTTTGTAACACAATACTGTATATATAGTTATATACTTAGGATACTTGTAAATAAAGGAAGTCAAGGAACCCCATAACTGGAGTTAACTCTGTGGGTCTCATTAGCCAAACATGGCGAAGAGTATAAATAGTCAGAAAACTTGCATGCACAACAGCACATTCATATTAAATTGCCTTCATGAGATAGTTTTAAATTCTCATTGAAAACCCCGCCCTGCATGTGAATGACAATGACAATTATTTCAAGCAAAATAATTGACTAGCGACGTCGAGCTAACCGCGTCGTAGATCGTAAACTCCCTATTGTTACGCCTACATGCGACCTGCAGAGTGTTCTAGCTTTTTTCAGCTGAGAAGGAAGTTGAAACTGTTTACATTCTGAAATATGAACAAGGAAGGACTGGTAATTAACGGGCAAGGCCCTGATGGAAAGTTTGTACTTCATTGAGACCGTCATGCAGCAAGTTTAATTTCGCAAACTATTTCGTAAAAACTACAAAATAAGAACTTACAAAATAAGATGGGCGAAATAATAGATAACAAGGAACATAAAAAAAAGAACACGGATGCAGTTTAAGGCCCGTATTCAAAAAGCTCACTCACACTCACACTCATTGAGTGTGACATATAAATTTCGTTAATGCTGATCAATGAGAAAGTTTTCTCTCAATAGATGAAAAGATATAAGATAAATCACTGAAAATCAAACCCCTGTTCGGCTGAAAATACCGCCATTGAAACGTTATGGGCAGATTAAGATCTCCCACTCAATGAGTTTGAGTGTGAGTGAGCTTTTTGAATACGGGCCTAAGACTGGGCGGTGAAAGTTTTAAATAGGAGCGATTTACAATCTATAAGTTAAGACCTCTTTTAATCAGGTATATAGCTGTCTACTTTTTATTCCGTGTTTGCGGTACGGATGAAGTTGATTTGTATATACAAGGTTGCGTCACTTGCATGACCTCTCGTTTCGACCACGATAAGCCGCTTAAGCACCATGGCTTAAACGTTAAAAGGTTTCAGTTGCGGAAAGTGCAAATTTAAATTTTGATAAAAACAAATGACACTTCAAAAGCTCTTGAGCTCTTACAGCCGGCTGCAACTAACTGCATGCATAAATATTCTAAAAATAACACTGATTCGACTTGTATTCCTTGAAGATTTTGTAGCTACTTCCTACTGTTTTGATATTTAGTTAGTTGTTAGAGTTGCTATAAACTGTCTGTTTAATACGGAACAGAAAAGATGTTTACTTCATTTTTATGACTATACATTGTTTCCGAATAATATAGAAATATTGCCTACCGACTCGTTTGCCGAGTAAGTCTGGCTAGCTCAGGAAATTATTTGCTTCGTTTGAAATATCGAAAGGTTGCTGCATGTATGTATTTCTATATATATATTCTTAGGATACTTGTAAATATAGTTAGAAAACCTGCATGTACAACAGTTG